CTGGTATGCCCGGTGGAGGACCTTAAGGTCCACAAATGACAACACTTTGGAGGTCCCAAGTCACAAGGTGGTTAGATTGGTCTCAGCTAGGGCCAGGGCCTTTTCAGTACTGGCCCCGACTTGGTGGAACGCTCTGTCACAAGAGACTAGGGCCCTGCGGGACTTGACATCTTTCCGCAGGGCCTGCAAGACAGAGCTGTTCCGCCTGGCCTTTGGTTTGGACTCAGTGTGACCCTTATGTTTCCCTCCCATTACGGTTTTGATCTATGGGCTACTTTTAAAATGAGGCTGCATTTTAAATTGCATTTTAACCTGTATTTTAAATTGGTGCCCCCCCCCATATTATTTTTTTACTGTAATTTTACTGGTGTTAGCTGCCCTCAGCCTGGTTCTGGCCTGGGAGGGTGGGGTATAAATAAAATTTATTATTATTATTATTATCTTTTTTTAAAAAAAATAATTTTATTCATTTTAAAACATATTAATTGTCATACATACCACAAAATTTCACATCTTATACAATTTTTTGGACTTCCATCAGCACCTTTGATGATCCCCCATTTTTATGATTTCTTCTGCATTTCTTAAATTCATATTGCTTTTAATTATCATAACTAACGTCTTCCTTTTCATCCAATTATGCAATAATTCAAATTATTCACCTCACAAAACTTCCTGCATACCTACAAATGTAATCTGATCATCACAATTACTTTTCAGATAGTCCGTAAATTTACGCCAATCTTCTGTGAATCTCTGGTCCCGCCGGTTTCGAATTCTTCCCGTTAGTTTATCTAATTCTGCATAGTCCATCAATTTCATCCTCCAATCTTCTTTCGTCGGTAATTCTTCTTGCTTCCATTTTTGTGCCAATAATATTCTTGCTGCCGTCACTGCGAGTAAAAACAGCTTACAATCATTTCTATTTATATCATCCCCTACAATGCCCAATAAAAAAGCTTCTGGTTTTTTAATAAATGTATATTTGAAATGTTGAAATATTATTACTATTATCTTGTCCAACCCCCAGCAACGCAGGAAATAGCTCACCCCTTTATTCTGGCCCTTCTCTGCCTTCCCCATCAGTCCCTTCCCTCGTGTGCTTTATCTTTTTCAATTGCAAGCATCATGACAGATCTCCCTCCCTTCCCGGAGCATTCCACCATGTTTGTACCGAGCTTTTCAGCACTATGGGGAGGTGGGGGAAACCCCATGTATATTAAACAATGAGTAATAATTCTTTTGCCCGGCTTGTTTCACTATTGCCTTTCATTGAATGAAACAAGATATTGAGAAAGCTTAGGAGCCTCAGGAAAGATGTGTCTCGATGGCCGTTCTACTTAGATCGGTTATGTGTTGCCAAGGGGTCGATATGGTAATTTTCCATTTCTCGCTTGCTGTAATTCAGCCGCGTGAGGAAGCGGCTCCTTGCTAATTGCTCTGGCTGCAGCAAAATGCTACGACCTTTGGCTTGGAACCAAGGGAAGTGGAATTAAGTTTGAAAATTCACATGCAGGGGATTATGGGTGCTGTAAGCGGTCCTGCCGAGAGCTGTTGCCTAGCAATTCGGTAAGGAATCAGCACCAGCCAATAAGGAAATTTATCTCTGCCTGAAGTACACCACCTTGATTTCCTAAGGATTACACAAACGACGATTGTGTTGGCTGGTCGAAATCAATATGTGAAATTCAACTCCCTGAAACAGGGTGTTCATTCGCAGGGGAGGTGGGAAGAGAGGAATTCCAGGCAGGCTGTCGAGGAGAACTGGGAGCTGAAGGAGACGGTTGTTCGGTTAGACTGCATGAAATATACTCGGAGTCGAGAGTGGATTTCATGCTCTTTATTCAGCTCATAGTGGTGAGGAGGAATGGAAGTTCCCCCACAATATCTGCTTTATATACATTATTTACACAATGGGCTGCACATGACTGGCGAATTCTGTGATTCTCCTGTAGGCCAATCAGGTTGTGGATTCACTTCCACCTGGAGCTGGATTGGGTGGCTCCTGCAGACCAATCATACTGCTGCATTGTTCAAGGACCAATCAGACTGCTGCATTCTGAATCCTATTGTTCTAGGACCAATCAGACTGCTGCCTTTTGGATCCTATTCAACTCAGTACATAACACTGTACAAATAGGAGAAACTGGCTGGGGAACAGCACTGCTGGGACGTGGGCCGACTCACCCATGAGGCAAGGTGAGGTAACTGCCTCAGGCAGCAGGATCTACAGGGGCAGCAGATCCTGCCATGCTCACTGCTGCTGTTGCTTCTCCTCTGCCTCCTTCTCCTTAGCAGCCGTCCAATGCCATTTCTACAGAGGGTTTTGGCGAAGAGGAGGTCCTGCTGGCCTCATCCCCTCCTAGTTCTTGGTGTAGATCTTCACTCACCCCTTATTCCCTGGCTGGGGGTGGGGTAGGGGAGGCACCACTTTGTGGGGTAATAATAATAATAATAATAATAATAATAATAATACTCTGCCCATCTGGCCGGCCTCCCCAGCCACTCTGGGCGGCTTCCAACAGGATATTAAAAACACCAAACATTAAAAATATCCCTAAACAGGGCTGCCTTCAGATGTCTTCTAAAAGTGTTTATTTCCTTGACATCTGATGGGAGGGTGCCACTACCGGGAAGCCCCTCTGCCTGGTTCCCTGTAACCTCACTTCTCACAGTGAGGGAACCGCCAGAAGGCCCTCGGCGCTGGACCTCAGTGTCCGGGCTGAACGATGGGGGTGGAGACGTTCCTTCAGGTATACAGGACCAAGGCCGTTTAGGGCTTTAAAGGTCAGCACCAACACTTTGAATTGTGCCCGGAAACGTACTGGGAACCAATGTAGGTCTTTCAAGACTGGTGTTATGTGGTCTCGGCGGCCACTCCCAGTCACCAGTCTAGCTGCCGCATTGTGGATTCGTTGTAGTTTCCGGGTCACCTTCAAAGGTAGCCCCACGTAGAGCGCATTGCAGTGGTCCATACTGATTTCGACTTTAGGTGCTAAAACATCTTGGATAATCCCTGGCCAAAAGCAGCTACTAAGGGAAATGGGGCAAAGAACCCGAGGGGAAAATGTGTGGTTGGGACCAAGATGGGGGAGACCTAAGGAGAAAGCAGAACCAGGTCAGAACTTCATACTGGATAGACATGGGAGAAGTAAAAAGACCATGGAAGTTTGGGAGATAGGGGTCTGTGGGTCAGGCAGACAAAAGGGGTTTAGGCCGAGGCTCCAAAACGACTCATCAACCTTGAAGTCACATAGAAGTGGGCTTTTGCTAGCTTTTATTTACAAAGCACACAAAAGATTTCTAGAGATTTAAGTGCAAGACAAGCCCTCTGCAGGCACTTTTATTTTAAATTAAGTAAACATGCAAGGGAGATGTTGAGAATTCCTCATGCAATTTAGAACCATGGTTTTCAGAGCTGCTGCCAGAACCTCTATCGGCATGAAGAAATCCTGTTGAATTCATGAAGCGCCACTACAATGTCTATATACCCTCAACCGTTCAGGAGAGGAAATTCATTTCGTTTCGCATCTTAAGGCAGCCTTGCCTAGTCATCACTTTCCTGAACAAGAACCAAAACACAACCATCCTTTGACATTTGAATTTTTGCAATAGTTTTCAAGCCATGTAAAATGCATGCATTGTTGAAGACATCCAAAAGCACAGTGTTTTAGAGGAAATAAATGTGTATATTAGGGGAAATGGCACACAAACCACAGGAGACCTGACATGAAGAGAAATTGCTGTTTTCATGAAGATTTCCTTTAAAAAATTCAGGAATCACAAGACAGAGAAACCAGTAAAACACTTCAATCTCCCAGGACATTCTATACAAGATCTCAAAGTAGCTGTCTTATTACAAAAGAATTTCAGAAATAGACTGGAAAGAGAAGTTGCTGAATTGCAACTTATTACCAAACTTAAAACCATGGAGAGACCTGGTCTGAATAGAGACATTGAATTCTTATCTCATTGTACACGATAAAGCTATTTTTAGCCATTTCACCCCTTGCTTTTCCCTGTAAGACCAAATGCAGTTGTTAACAGTCGTCAACAGGTTTACCACACCTATCAGCCAATCACCCATTCCCACCACCCTTCTGAGTAATACCCCTCCCCACCCTCTCACTATATATAAGGGTCTGCTGACTTCTGTTTCAGTGTATCCGAAGAAGTGTGCATGCAGACGAAAGCTCATACCAATAACAAACTTAGTTGGTCTCTAAGGTGCTACTGGGACGCGGGTGGCGCTGTTAGGATGCGGGTAGCGCTGTGGGTTAAACCACAGAGCCTAGGACTTGCCGATCAGAAGGTCGGCAGTTCGAATCCCCGCGACGGGGTGAGCTCCTGTTGCTCGGTCCCTGCTCCTGCCAACCTAGCAGTTCGAAAGCATGTCAAAGTGCAAGTAGATAAATAGGTACCGCTCCGGCGGGAAGGTAAATGGCGTTTCCGTGCGCTGCTCTGGTTCGCCAGAAGCAGCTTAGTCATGCTGGCCACATGACCCAGAAGCTGTACGCCGGCTCCCTCGGCCAATAAAGCGAGAGTCGGTCACCACTAGACCTAATGGCCAGGGGTCCCTTTACCTTTACCTTAAGGTGCTACTGGAAGGAATTTATTTATTTTGTTTCAACTATGGCAGACCAACACGGCTACCTACCTGTACCTTTGAAAAATTCGCACACTGATGTGGAAATGTCAAGAACGGAACTTTATAGTGACGTGGTATTGAGACATAGTGAGAAACCAAAATGGACAAGATTCGCCTGCCCTTAGCAACAACAGGCCATGGTGCTTGGGACTGATGGTAGTTGCATATCAAAACATCTTGGGGAAGTGTTCCTTAGGAAATTCCACTTATGCGCGCAAGACTTTGGAACGCTGTGTCCTAAGTTAAGCTTTGCTACCTGAAAACGTTTAGGGAGTTTCTCACGTTACCAATATGCCTTGGCTTTCTAGAAGTTATCGCAGCAATGATTGAACAAGGAGAAACCAGGAAAACCTTTTTATATGCAACTTAGAATACTGGAGTAATCTTTATTGAAAATATAAAAGATATACAAAGCCACTTATACCCAGCATGGAAGAGTTCATTAAATTGTACACATTCATTATTATTTTTAAAGAGTAGCATAAAGTCAACAATGTTTTACATGAGATCTCTTTTCCATTCGCTCAGATTTTTATGTTTGAAATGTTCTGTGCAAGAGCTGCTTTTTCATGAAAGCCAACATTTTACAAGCCATGAATCCATTCATTATATAGTAAAAGAAACACAACAACGCAACTGTTTTCCCCAGTAACAGTTAAAGTAAACTTCTAAAAAATAGATATCATGATTTTCAACATTAAATGCAATCAAGAGGAGCTAGTAATTAATGCTGCTTTCCACTACACACAATGCTTATATTGCTGTGTATCTTTTCTCACGAAAGGTTTTAATCATATGCAAAGTGTACAATGCAAGAGCATTAACAGAGGTTTATTTCCAATTTAGCTGCCAGTTTATAGCTTTAGGCGTCTTCCCCCTGGTTAAAGGAGGAATGACTACAAAATAGATGGCTGCTTTTGAAGTAGCATGGTTTGGTTAGTAAGTTCCGGGCTAACAAGGTCTGTAAGCTGCCAAAAGTATAGCCGACCTTTTGTTTTCTGCACTGTGAGCACCACGGGGAAAATAATACACTGAGTATTAAAGGAAGCAGCAAAGGCTGCAATCTTAAGGTGTGTTTTGAAAATGCTTCGCCCTACATCCTGCTGGGGCTTGAGCTGGCAGAATGAAGAGCGGAACACCAGCATGCCTGCCTCCGTCTATTTCTAGGCTGCCTGATTTTAAAAAATGTTAAAATTCCCACTTGTTAACCCCCAGTTTGAAAATAGTAGGAAGGAAAGCGGAAAGGTTTATTGATGCTCAGAAGCAGGAGCTGGCAGTGATGGGGGCAGGTCTTGCCCTAGGGTGCCTCTGGGATGCCAGAAAGGCACCCAAAATATTTTGTTTCACCCTTCTCACCAGTTCGTTGCCGTATAAAATTTAGTTCAACGCTAAAACTATTCAATTGCAGCCTTAGGTTGTAGCAGCTGACAGCATGGCCCTGATCCTGCGGTCTACTCAGTAGATCCCTGTCCCTAGAGCGAGTCTCCCAATTAATTTAAACGGAAAGAATAGTTTTCTCACAGAGTGACCCCTCTCCGTTTAAATCAGGAGCAGAAAATATCCTTATGTGCATCTGAACACATGGACTTCTGGAACAGAGTTTATATGGCTTTCTTGGAAGCCACTGATCAGAGACGCATGAATATTACATGTTTTTAAAGTGGGGTTAAATTATTGGGTATAGGCATTGGAATGATTATTTTCCCTGCACTAAAAGCATCTTTTTTTTAAAAAAAACCAAGAGGTCTCAGAGCTTCACCTTCAGCAAGATGATATACTCAAACATGCTGACTGGTGCTTCTGAAGTAATCACACTAAGGTTTAAAAACAAGAAAAGGAAAAGGAATAGATCAATGGTCACCAAGGCACAATTTGACTAAGGTGAAGAGTCCCTGAGACTCCGATTCAGGTATGTAACTATTCCCTTTCTCTATATGAGCAAATGGGAAGAGTTAGGAAAAATATAATACAGAGTATTTAATAGGAAATGTATTTACAGGCAATATAACATGTCTAAAGTCTATATAGCTTTTAATCTTTTTCATTTATTTAAAAAAGACCTTAAAGTAGCGATGCAAAGATTGGTCCATTTTTAATTACCAGCAAGCCAAACTCTAATGACTTCACTAAGCTTAAAGTGTATTAAAAGGCAAGGTTGCAGTATTGCTACAATCGGGGTAATTATATTCTAAACATATTGATGAACGCTAAATAAACGATGCAATTTTACAGCATTTTCTTTGCATGTTGTAAGGAATTCAAATTCCAATGATAGTATACAAAAGAAAGAAAAAGGTTTAATATGAATACTGTAATTTAAAGCCATGCCTTCCATTTAAGTGTATTTGCAGCTGTAGAAAGCAATATAACATTGAAAAAAAATTAAGCAAACAGTTTTGCTTTCTTCTAAACAACTATATGATAATCCAGCTCTGGTTCATTCGAGCTCTGAATCCTTCACAAAGAATACTGAAATATTGAATGGTAAACATTAAAATCAATTAGAAAAAGAGAGTGTGTTGGCCCCAATCCAGCTTGTCCCATCTGACTACGTGAGACTAAATGACCTGAATGGAGATACATAATGCAATGTACACCTGACGCTTCCATCACTTAAAACGGGAACTAGATAAGCATCATAATATATGATATGTATCAGCTGCAGACATGGGCCTCCTCTGCTGAATTGACATTCACTCGTTTGGATCTGGCACAATCATCAGAATCACGGTCTGAGAAGGCGGGAATAATAAATGCAAATACAAAAAATGAAAATCCTGAGGGCCAAGTGCTACATACGCAGTCAAAGCATTTCGTGGAGAGTAAAAACAGGGGTACAATAAACAACCCTTACTAAAAATCACCAAATGAGAGGCAACTGATCTTTGTGCACAATAATCCTGACCCTCAAAAGTTAGCAGAGTGTTTTTTTTTTACATGTGCAAGCAAACGCGATTAATTTTTTTTCCGGAGTTAGTCACTATAAAAACATAGAAAGCTAGGGTCATTGCACATTAGGTCCTGATTAGAATCAGCTTTCCCCCCCATCTTTTGAAGACGAACAGTACGCTTGATGATAAATCAAGAGCATATACATTTTTTTTGTGTGTGTGTCTCAAAAATATCGAAAGAACTTCTCCTATAGGAATATTTGCTAACCAAAGTTGTTGGGGTTCTTTTTGTAAAATGATAATGTACTTTTAAAAAAAGTATATCCTCCCCCCCTAAATTTTCAATCCTTGGTCTACTACAGCCAGAATCCAAAGAATGTGGATCGCAAGCAAACCACGAGCAGAGATTTAGGGTTAAGGCTACGCTTCCATTTGACCTGTGCAAAGAAATGGTCCGAACAGTTTTGCCTTTGTCATGTCACTTTCTCCTGGAAAACCCGCTCTTAATTCAGAGAAATCCCAATCAGATTCAGTGGTAAAAAGCAGGTTTTCCTGGGAAAGACTGTTGTGGCAAGCGGAACTGTGGACGAGCCTTTAGCGCGCCGTTTCGGCTACAGAAGTTCCTATTGCCAGAGACAAACCCATTTTTGAGCGTCCAACAGAAAATCTCCATCTGCGTGTGTAGTTATTTGCTATGCCCACTTTGTATTTTAACATTTTTTGGGGGGGAAATCCCCTTTAAAAAAATATTTTTAAAAAGCACACACACACCCACCCAGAACTAACAGTGTGCACAATGGCTACAATAAAGGACTTTAAGCCGCAACTGTATCTAATCACATTTTGTAGAAAAAAACATGATTTGCAATTTATTGAATATACCAATCGTCGTTCGGCGAACCCTGGGCACAAAACCTCCTTTCAGATTACTGTGGGCTGAGGTTTTCTGGAAGAATGGCAGTCCGGCATATTTCGTGTAAGTGCTTTAGTCAGAACGTCCTGAGTTGAGCGGTGCCCTTCGACGCTACAGAAGCCTGGCATTGAGTCTGTGCGAATGTGTGTAGCCGCTGTCGCTCGAGCTCCCTTGCAAACTGTCTTCCGCATCGCTGGGACTTCTGCTACTGTCCATTTCAGCTGGTGGGAATTCCATTCCTTCGATGTCTACTTCTAAATTGAAATGGGAGAGAAGACGGAAGTTTCAGAACTGTGACAAGCCGAACCGCACCATCTGATGTTTATACAGTGCTTTAGAGCGTTCAAGTTAGGATTTGAAAAAGAAATATCAAAATTTGATAAATACTTAATACAAGAAAAATCAAAAAATATATCTAAATTATATAATCTGATCTTAGAGTGGGAAACAAAGGATGAACTGGTTAAAGCATCCATGATTAAATGGGTGCAAGATATTGGGGAAAATATTATGTTTGAACAATGGGAAAAATTGTGGAAAGAAGATATGAAATTCACTTTGTGTTATATATTGAAAGAAAATTACTTCAAAATACAACATTAATAAAAATTGTAGCGATGTCTGCTGGCGATGCAACACTGGAAAAGGTACTATGATGCATATATGGTGGAATTGTTTAAACATCAAACAATTTTGGGAAGCACGAAATGAAAAAAATGTTCAGATATTCATTTAGGAAAACACCAGAAGGTTTTCTATTGGGAATAGTACCAGGAAGTCTAAAGGAAGAAGACAAGACATTATATTTATACGCAACAGTAGCCGCAAGGCTATTGATTGCGAAAAACTGGAAAAGTGGTATTATACCAACAAAAACAGAGTGGCTTGCCAAATTATTGGAGTATTACAATATATCCAAAACAATGGGAGAAATTGGAAGGATCTCAAAAAAGAAGATAGATAGGGACTGGAAGGTGTTTAAAGGATACTTGCAAAACCATATTAAAAAATCAGAACTCCTTTTAGAATAACTAAGTTCCGTTTTAAATACTGAAATACTAAATAAGATGGATAACAATGTGTAATAGAAAAAGAAGCATGAAATTAGGTTAAAGGTGTGTGAAAGAAAGCAATAGAAGTGGAAAGAAATTGCAATTGAGTAGATTGGAAGTCTAACACAAAGGTGGGGTGAAGGGTGGTGGATGGCGATGGGAAAAGGAATTATCTGTGGGAATGAGTGTAGGTATGTTTGAACATCTTTAAGGATTGTATGAAATGTATGTTTGTATGCTTGTATGTTCGCAATATGTGTGTATTAATGCTGAATTATTTTAATAATAAAAACTTTACAAAAAATAAAAATAGAGTGTTCAGAGGGCTTCCTACACAGTGGGACCTTGGTTCCTGAACGGCTTAGTTGTCAAACAAATCGGCTCCCGAATGCCGCAAACCTGGAAGTAAGTGTTCCGGTTTGTGAACCTTTTTCAGAAGCCGAACGTCCGCCGCGGCTTCCACTTGAGTGCAGGAAGCTCCCGCAGCCAATCGGAAGCCACACCTTAGTTTTCAAACACTTTGGGGAGTCGAACGGACTCCCGGAACAGATTAAGTTTGAGAAACAAGATACCACTGTAGCCATACTTACAACTTTGTAAGACGGGTCATTATTATTCCTATGATGTAAATGTGTGCACACATTTGAAGGGCAGGGGGGAAAGGGCTTGTCTAAGAAATCTTTCCAAGTGCACAGGAGGTGCGAGATTCAAACCAGTGACTTGCCAACCCAGAGCTCAGTCTCTTAGCCACAACCATATACCACATTTCTTTCCTGTGTAATAGTTCATGTCTCCATTCAAATACTCAAATTACGTAAGTTTAATGTAAGGGACGCGGGTGGCTCTGTGGGTTAAACCACAGAGCCTAGGACTTGCCAATCAGAAGGTTGGCGGTTTGAATCCCCGCGACGGGGTGAGCTCCCGTTGCTCGGTCCCTGCTTCTGCCAACCTAGCAGTTCGAAAGCACATCAAAAGTGCAAGTAGATAAATAGGTACCACTCCAGCGTGAAGGTAAACGGCGTTTCCGTGCGCTGCTCTGGTTCGCCAGAAGCGGCTTAGTCATGCTGGCCACATGACCCGGAAGCTGTACGCCGGCTCCCTCGGCCAATAAAGCGAGATGAGCGCCGCAACTCCAGAGTCGGCCACGACTGGACCTAATGGTCAGGGGTCCCTTTACCTTTAGTCACCATGAGGTTGTTACAGTGAGTGCCACACTTTTTAACAAAAAAAACAACAACAAAAAAGAGGTGTGTGTACCCCCTAAAAAAACCACTGCTTACTACATGCAAGTGTTGGTGCTGACCTTTTAAAGCCCCAAACAGCCTCGGTCCAGTATATATGGAGCGTCTCCACCCCCATCGTTCTGCCCAGACACTGAGGTCCAGCGCCGAGGTCCTTCTGGCAGTTCCCTCACTGAGAGAAGCAGGGTTACAGGGAACCAGGCAGAGGGCCTTCTCGGTAGTGGCGCCCGCCCTGTGGAACGCCCTCCCACCAAGATGTCAAAGAGAACAACAACTACCAGACTTTTAGAAGACATCTGATGGCAGCCCTGTTTAGGGAAGCTTTTAATGTTTGATGCATTACTGTATTTTAATATTTTGTTGGAAGCCGCCCAGAGTGGCTGGGGAAACCCAGCCAGTTGGGAAGGGTATGTACAAACAAACAAACAAACAGGTAAACATGCCTTGACACCATTTTAAGAAGGGGAAACAGCTTTGGCACTGCAGAATTTACAGTGGAGAAACAAAATGGTGTATTTGTGTGGGAGGGGCATCTTCTTGTTCTTTTTTAGCATCTCTTGACTCTAAATTGCAATGCCTATAGTAATAAAACTAGCTTTCCTGTGTGAATGCAATACATCATCATGCAGAGAAGCGCCTTCACTTGTGGTGCTCCTTTCACAGAATCACAGAGTTGTAGAGTTGGAAGGGACCCTGAGGGTCATCTAGTCCAACCCCCTGCAGTGCAGGAATCTCAACTAAAGTGTTCATGACGGATGGCCATCCAACCTCTGCTGAGAAACCTCCAAGGAAGGAGAGTCCACCACTTCAAGAGGGGGACTGTTGTCCAACTGCTCTTGCCACCAGAAAGTTCTTCCTGGCGTTTAGTTGGAATCTCTTCTTGTTCAGTTCAAGCCCAAGCCTCCAGAGCAGGAGAAAACAAGCTTGCTCCATTCTCCGTGTGACAGCCCTTTATATATTTGAATATGCCTTACAAGAAAATGTGATGAAAATGATGTATAGATGGTATATTACACCTGTTAAATTAGCTAAAATGTATAAAGTGAGTCATAAATGTTGGAACTGTAAAGAAAAAGAAGGAACATTTTATCATATGTGGTGGGAATGTAAAAAAGTGAAAAACTTCTGGGAAATGATATATAATGAGATGAAAAAAATGTTGAAATATACATCTATTAAGAAGCCAGAAGCATTTTTACTTGGCATTGTAGGAGATGATATAAATAGAAAGGATTGTAAATTATTTTTATATGCAATGACGGCAGCAAGAATACTATTGGCACAAAATTGGAAGCAAGAAGAAAGACTGACAAAAGAAGAATGGAGGATGAAACTGATGGACTATGCAGAATTAGACAAATTAACAGGAAGAATTCGAAACCTGTGGGACCAGAGATTCACAGAAGACTGGTGTAAATTTACGGACTATTTGAAAAGGAATTGTGACGATCAGATTACGCTTGTAGGTTTGCAAGAAGTTTTGTAAGGTGAATTATTTGAATTATTGCAAAAATGGTAAAGAGGAGAATTGTTAGTTAAGATAATTAAAGGCAATATGAATTTAAGAAATGCAGAAGAAGTGATAAGAAAGGTGGATCATCAGAAGTGCTGATGGAAGTCCAAAAAGATTGTATAAGAAGTGAAGTTTTGTTGTATGTATGATAATCAATATGTTAAAATTAATAATATATATATATATATATATATATATATATATATATATATATATATAGCTGGAGTATCTTCTTTCCCGATCCCTAGATCCTTTTCACATGTACCACTGGCAATGCAGGTGTCCTCCATCTTATATTTGGCCACTGATTCTTCCTGCCTAAGTGCAGAACCTGTCACCTGTCCCTGCTGAAATTAATTTGTTTTGGCCCAGTAATTCAATCTGTGAACGTAATCTTGAATCCCAATTCTGCCTTCTGCAGCATTAGCTACCCCTCCGAGTTTGGTGTCATCTGTGAATTTGATGAGCATCCCCCTCAATTCCTTCATCCAAGTTGTTTATAAAGTCGTTGAACAACAACGGACCCAGGACAGAACCCTGCGGCACCCCACTTGACACGAGAAACCATTAATGGGTACTCTGTGGGTTCAGTCAGTCAACCAGCTACAAATCCACCTAACAGTTACCTCGTCCAGCCCACATTCTACCAGCTTCTCTGCAAGAATATAATAGGAGACTTTTGTCAAAAGCCTTACTGCAATCAAAATATACTGCATCCACAGCTTTCCCGATTTATTGTTTTTTAAAGAATTGACTATTATGCTTTGAACTGTCTCTACTTCTGGCGCTGGACATTCTAACATACATACCGTATTTTTCGCCCCAGAGGGCGCACCGGCCCATAGGGCGCACCTAGCTTTTGGGGGGGAAATAAAGAGAAAAAAAATTATTTCCCCCCCAGGCACAGGGCTGGGGCGGGGGAAGCCTGAGCTTCCCCCCACCCCAGCCCCCAGAACAGGCTGCTATCCGCAAGCGCAGCTCTCCCACGGCTTGCAGAGAGCCGTGCGAAGCCCGAAGCCTGGGGTGCGCTGAGCTCAGCGCGCCCCAGGCTTCTGGGTGCAGGCAGCTCTCCCACGGCTTGCGGATAGCTTCCTGGATAGCTCTCCAGGCTTCAGCGAAAGCCTGCATTCGCCCCTTAGGACGCACACACATTTCCCCTTCATTTTTGGAGGGGGAAAAAAGTGCGTCCTATAGGGCGAAAAATACGGTACTTGTTTTGAGATGCCCAGTATATAACCTGGAGAAATATACGGTCTAAGTTTAGTTAACAGTCCCATGGTGATTTCTAGGCCCCCCCTACCTTGCTCAGAATCCGTAGATATTGTTGATCCCAGGCTGTCTGTGCGAATTCGTTCCAGTCCCTGCATGGAGAGCTGTTCCAATCTACGCTTGAGGTATCGATGTTCTCGCTGTAACTGTTCTTTAATATTTAGAGCTTTCCGGTCTTGTTCTTCCAATTTCTATGGAGTTAGAATAATTTTAACAGTAAAAACAGTGTTCTGGTTGCACTGATTATCCGGTGCTCTCAATAAAAAACAAAAACAAACAACTGTTTAAAAAGTGGAGACGTTCTCCATGTACTAAATTATTTGGGTTTTAACCTACCACATCAGCATCGAAGACTGAAAAAATTATACCATTAAGGAAGAGCAGCACCTTTTAAATTAGGAAATCTGCAATCTCGCCCTCTCACAAAAGAAAGGGTGTGTGTGTCAGATTGTTGTTTAAGTAAAACAAAATAAAAGGTAACTCGCTTTTTTTTTTTACCTTAATATGCATCTTGGCTCTTTTCAGCAGACTGAGTGTGGTATGTCTAGTGCTATCTGCTCCCAAAGGGACAAGTTGTTTTAACTCTTCTAAATATAGTCGTAGTTTAGCTCGTCTGAAATTTTAAAAAAGCAAACACATTTAGTGTTGTTACAGTGCACTTTAGCTTACTAGAGTGCAACAGATAGCATATAAATTCAGGATTGCTACCTTCAAACAAGCAAAAAGGACATTCATCCCAGCACTAAAATGACAACCCTTGTAAAGATCTGATGAACAAAGTTCAAAGCATCAAACCCACTTTTTCTCGTCATTGTTCCCTCCCCCCCACCCCCAATCATTGCACTCTTTGTTTTAACACATTTATATCCTGTTTTGATTTCCAGGGCAGCTGGCACTGTGTAAAAGACTCAAGACACTACAAGGACACAGAATGTTGAGAGGCAGAGGAGAAAATGGAACAAGGGCTCGTTCTACGGTTGGAAGCTTCCCCTGGACTAAAAGCTAAATGATACATTGACACTTATAATAAGAACCCGTGAAGACCCCCCGACTGCTCAGAAATTGATTGGTATCAGTGAAGACTTATTAGGGTTGCTAGGGCAGAGCCCAGGGGGAAATCGCTAAGCATTTACCCAAAATTTCAAAGCCACTCTCTCCTGCCCTTCCTACACTGATACCAGGGCCGTCTTTACCAGGGGGTGCAAGGGGTGCAGGGCACCCGGGTGCCAAATTCTGGCAGGCGCCAATTGCATACCTACTGTATACTGGCCCTCTCAATCGGCGGCAGCGAAAAGCAATGGAGCCAAAGTCCCCACTCCCCTCCTCTGTCGCTCTGTTACTGGCTTCCCCCTCTCCAAAAAAAGGTCAATAAAAGTTAATTTGGGGGCGGCTAAACTACATTTGGAGGCGCTTCTTTGCACCCCAGCAGCACATATGCTAAAGACGGCCCTGATCGATACCCTTCAATTTCCACCTAGAAACTCCCTATATCTGCCAATCAATCAATCAATCAATCAATCAATCACAGAACAATGTTATGGCCTGGTCCTTTCTACCCATCTCCTGGCAGATGTTTTGCTTTCCAAAAATAGCATTTTTCTAGGGCATCTGGACCCTACAATCTTGCAGACTTGCATTTCAACCCCACCAGGATGCAAGGATTAGCGTCTAAGATAGTCACACACTGAACACAGGGAACAGGGTGAGGGTCACGGCATTCCACTTAGCGGGCCATGCCTTTGGCTGTTGCTCCACTGAGCTTGCACAGCCTGACAGCAGCAGGCTTTGAGATCCAGGCTGCAGGAGGCTCCGCTCTTGTTTGGAGCATGCCTTCTGTGTACTGTCTGCTGCCGCCTTTGCCCTGCCTCCTGCTGAAACAGAAAGAGTTGTGAGTGAGTGAGAGGGACAGCCAGCACACAAGCACCAGCCTACTGATGCCTTTTTATTTGAGCTCCAGTGAACAGCAGGTTTTCCCAGTAGTGATGTATGGAAGTGAGAGCCGGACCATAAAGAAGGCTGATCGCCGAAGAATTGATGCTTTTGAATTCTGGTGCTGGAGGAGACTCTTGAGAGTCCCATGGACTGCAATAAGATCAAACCTCTCTATTCTGAAGGAAATCAGCCCTGAGTGCTCACTGGAAGGACAGATCCTGAAGCTGAGGCTCTAATACTCTGGCCACCTCATGAGAAGAGAAGACTCCCTGGAAAAGACCCTGATGTTGGGAAAGATGGAGGGCACAAGGAGAAGGGGACGACAGAGGACGAGATGGTTGTATAGTGTTCTCGAAGCTACCAGCATGAGTTTGACCAAACTGCGGGAGGCAGTGGAAGAAGAAGAAGAAGAAGAAGAAGAAGAAGAAGAAGGGAAGAGTTTGGATTTGATATCCCGCCTTTCACTCCCTTTAAGGAGTCTCAAAGCGACTAACATTCTCCTTTCCCTTCCTCCCCCACAACAAACACTCTGTGAGGTGAGTGGGGCTGAGAGACTTCAGAGAAGTGTGACTAGCCCAAGGTCACCCAGCAGCTGCATGTGGAGGAGCGGAGACGCAAACCTGGTTCCCCAGATTACTAGTCTACCGCTCTTAACCACTACACCACACTGGTGCAAGACAGGAGTGGCTGGCGTGCTCTGGTCCAGGGGGTCACGAAGAGTTGGACACGACTAAATGACAACAACGAACAGCAGATTGGTTTATTTAATCTGGGACCCTTGCATTTGGGGGGGCGCGCTAGCGCTAAGTTGGAGGGTCAAGTTGCTGGAGCGAAATTCCATTCTCTACTGTGTGTGCCCCTACAACCAGGAGCCCAGCACCAATACGGGGAGGCAATTTATTGCGCTGATTCTTTCCCTTTCTCCTCACTCCAGCCCTATTTCTCCAGCTCTATGTCTGCCCTTGCTGGAAGAATGCATTGCAAATGCCCTGTCTGCCTACCCTGTTAACTGCTCAAACTTTTTGGTGCTTCTATAGGCACCCTTCAGGACGTTCTGCTGTCAGAGGTAGGAAACCTTGTGCAATTCCTCTCTCGGCTCTCCGTAGTCGCTAGGCACTGCCTTACTTTTCTAGTGTCTGTGGAAAGGTGCCATTTGTTTTTGATGCTCCAGCAAGCAACAGAGCTGCCAATTATTAGCCAGGAACGTGCCCCTTAAGAGCTACAGTAGACAGATTCAGAAATATTTTAATGTCATTGAAACCTTAAGTATAAACAGCATTATTCACATAGTATAATTCAACGTTTAGATGCCTGTTTCTGAAAACGAGTGGTTGGAATTTGACAGCAAACACTTTCATAAAATAAACACAAGTTAAACAAATATAATTCCCTGTTATTTCCAATTTTTAAATGTTTCTCTTGCAGGATTGTGCCATAGCAGAATAATAGTGTCCGTACTGGTTCTGTTTGATTCGTACTACTTACCTATGCTTTTCTAGTTCATTATGTGAAGACCTATAAAAACAACAACAACAGAAAGTATGATATATTATAGAATTTTATTTGCTAATAACCCGAAGTTCAAATGAAACAATGCACTTTCAATCAGTTCCTGTCAGAAATCCATTAAAAAAATATCTTAGGGACCTATTTTGACATATCCAGAACACTATTAGCACATCTTATTTTCTCCCCCAAGGCTCAACCTTGAATCTGGTTGGGATTTTTATATTTCACACTTCACAAAATTAAATAACCCCTCCGCATACAAAAATAGTAAAAAAAAAAGGAAGATGGTTTTGTAGGACTGAAGTCTGCAGGCCACATGTCTCTTAAACAGAACTACAGTGGTACCTTGGGTTAAGTACTTAATTCGTTCTGGAGGTCCGTTCTTAACCTGAAGCACCACTTTAGCTAATGGGGCCTCCTGCTGCCGCCACGCCGCCGGAGCACAATTTCTGTTCTCATCCTGAAGCAAAGTTCTTAACCCGAGGTACTATTTCTGGGTTAGCGGAGTCTGTAACCTGAAGCGTATGTAACTTGAAGCGTATGTAACCCAAGGTACCACTGTATTGCTTATGGCAGTTAGCTATTGCAGGAGCAATGGTGCCCCCAGATGTTGTCCTGTATATCTGAAGGAGCGTCTCCACCCCCATCGTTCAGCCTGGACACTGAGATCCAGCACCGAGGGCCTTCTGGCGGTTCCCTCATTGCGAGAAGTGAGGCTACAGGGAACCAGACAGAGGGCCTTCTCGGTAGTGGCTCCCACCCTGTGGAACACCCTCCCTTCAGATGTGAAGGAAATAAGCAGCTATCCTATCTTTAAAAGACATCTGAAGGCAGCCCTGTTCAGGGAAGTTTTTAATATTTAATGCTGTACTGTTTTTAACACTTGATTGGGAGCTGCCCAGAGTGGCAGGGGAAACTCAGCCAGATGGGCGGGGTATAAATAATAAATTATTATTATTATTATTGGCCCACAGCTGCCTTTGGACCCAGCCAGCGTGACCAATATCAGAACTGATGGAAGTTGCTTTCTAACAATAAATGCCAAATGTAGTATACTTAAGCAATATGATCAGCAGAAAAACTCTCTCATGTTCCTTTGGGAACAGATGAACTCACGTCTGGCAACGTGAGCCTGTTATGCGGCAGATCCTACTTTGGACAAGAGGCACAAGACGCAGCCTGTGTCATTGCAACTGTTATCAAGAGAACATTTGCCCTGTTATGGTGGGAAGGCCCATCATTTCAGAGTTCCCAAACCGGACAGTTTAAGAGAGAGGCTGGGAGAAGTCATCTGCATGTTCTATCTTCCAAGGAAACGATCTCAGAGGAAGGGAACTGCAGCCTGGAAAAGGCGAGTAGGAAGTTCTCAAGCCAGAAGGCTCCTGCTTTCGTAAAATATCCAGATAAGCTCCAATGGACAAGAAGGACAGCAGTTGCAAACCTTAGAACACTCCAAGGTGGATTTGAAAGGCACAGCCTATAGAACGATTCCTCTGTCCTTCCTCAGCCATTTAATTCACTAGGATTGGGGTACAATAATAATAATAATAATAATGAATTTTATTTATATCCCGCCCTCCCCAGCCGAAGCCGGGCTCAGGGCGGCTAACAACAATAAAACAATACAAAAGTACAGCATAAACAACACTCTAAAATCATTCATTATAAAATTAATTAATTCAAGCCACTGGCAGCCATTGGGCCAGAGCTCCGCGAAGATTGCCGAGGGAGGGAGTCAGGCTGTGCCCTGGCCAAAGGCCTGGTGGAACAGCTCTGTCTTGCAGGCCCTGCGGAAAGATGTCAAGTCCCGCAGGGCCCTGGTCTCTTGTGACAGAGCGTTCCACCAGATCGGAGCCACAGCCGAAAAGGCCCTGGCTCTAGTTGAGGATCTAACACAACTTAGTGTTGCTCTAGGTATGTTCATACAGTTTTCAAGAACATGGATAAGGAGATAATGGCTTAGTTGAAAACAGACGTCAACGGCCAGCACATATAACAACTCTCTCTGCACATAGGTCATACCTGAGCTGTCTAGTTCCATCACCCAGAAGCCAGTGGCTGCTTTTGTAACCTGCCTAAAGAGTTCCCTCAGCAATGATGTGACTCTCACGGGCATAGCTGTGGACACAGCTTGGTAGATAAAGACAACTTTGCCGCTGGTGTGCGCCATCCTAATTTCGTTCACCAAGCAGAGGGAGGCTGCTTGGCACTCTGTAGGTGAGGCCAAGCCTAGGGTTTGCCCTGTTCAGATCAATTTGAGAAAGTCACTTCCCATCCTCACTGACAATTTAGGCATCACCGTCTCCTGAGAGTTGCTAAGTCAAGATCTTGATGGGACTCCTGTGCTTCTAAGCTTTGCGGAGGCAAGAATTTGCTATGTCCTGGTACAGTGGTGCCCCGCAAGACGAATGCCTCGCAAGACGGAAAACCCGCTAGACGAAAGGGTTTTCCGTTTTGGAGGTGCTTCGCAAAACGAATTTCCTATGGGCTTGCTTCGCAAGACGAAAATGTCTTGCGAGTTCCTGCGGGGTTCCCCCCCCCCTTTTCCCCAAGCCGCTAAGCCGCTTATCAGCTGATCCGCTAAGCCGCTAAACAGCTGATCGCTAAGCCGCTTATCAGCTGATCCGCTAAGCCGCTTATCAGCTGATCCGCTAAGCCGCTTATCAGCTGATCCGCTAAGCCGCTTATCAGCTGATCCGCTAAGCCGCTTATCAGCTGATCCGCTAAGCCGCTTATCAGCTGATCCGCTAAGCCGCTTATCAGCTGATCCGCTAAGCCGCTTATCAGCTGATCCGCTAAGCCGCTTATCAGCTGATCCGCTAAGCCGCTTAACAGCTGATCGCTAAGCCGCTTATCAGCTGATCCGTTAAGCCACTAAGCCGCTTATCAGCTGATCCGCTAAGCCGCTTATCAGCTGATCCGCTAAGCCAGCTAAGCCACTAATAGCGCTAATCCGCTAATGGGCTTGCTTCGCAAGATGAAAAAACCGCAAGACGAAGAGACTCGCGGAACGGATTCTTTTCGTCTTGTGAGGCACCACTGTATGTCCCACAGAGGACCTTACGGTCTTCAAATAAAAACATCTTGAAGGTCCCAGGCCACAGGGAGGTTAGGCTGGCCTCAACCAGAGCCAGGGCTTTTTCGGCTGTGGCTCCGATCTGGTGGAACGCTCTGTCACAAGAGACTAGGGCCCTGCGGGACTTGACATCTTTCTGCAGGGCCTGCAAGACTGAGCTGTTCTGCCAGGCCTTTAGTCGGGGTTCAGTCTGACTCCCTCTCCCCTTTCATAAGAACTTGCATGAAAGTGGCCTCCCAATTTTTCTCACAGGCCCATATAAGTTCAGCACAAACAGTTGGGCCTGGTGAGCATTTTAGGTCCCCATCCCTAATCTGCCGGTTGCCATCTGATTGGATTTTATTCTGATCCTGATCTGATTTGAGGATGTATTTTAATTGATTGTCTGATGTTATGTTAATGTGTTATACATTTGATGTTAGCTGCTCTGAGCCCGGCTTCGGCTGGGGAGGGCAGGATATAAATAAAATTTATTAATTATTAATTATTATTATTATTTCGCAAGGTGTGGCTTTTCTCGCCTCCATCTTGAAAGACGTGAGAAGCAAACTTTTGTCCTATATTCATCTCTTCAAGGGGAGAGTCCTCAAATTTGGATCCAGCAACTCTATATAGCTCCTTTGCTCTGTGGTCCATGGATTCTAGACCTTTCCTGCTTGTACAATGGCCACTCTTTAGTGGCCCTTCTCCTGCACCTTTAAAAACAGCCGGGCACAAAAGTCAACGGAAAAAAGCTCCCCACTTTCACCTGTCACCTCAGAGAGGCTCATGGAGTGGCAAGGGGGGCAGGGGCTTTTGGGGTGTGGCCCCTCCACCAGTCTGTGGAATGCTCTCCCAGCAAAGCCCACCCGGTGTCTCTTCAGCACCAGGCATCTGAAGGCAAGTGATTGGGGTTGTTTTTAAAGACCATTAAATTTTTGTTTTGTTTTGGTTAACTGTATATTCTACTGGTTTTGATTTTGTTAACTTTGACGGGGAAGTGTTCTTTTAGTATCATATGGATTTGTTTTTTTTACTGTTTGTGGTTTTAAACACTGCATGTTTTCAGGATTTTATCTTCCTGTAATTTGACCTTGAGTGGTTTCTGAGAAAGGTGGCTAAGAAATTTAAAAGGCAAATTCTTTGGGTCAGGCTGCTGCGAAGGACACAGGCAGGAGCAGAGCAGCTTTCAGCTTCTGCTGAGTACTATATGAAACTTTTACTGGCACACAAGCCGAGCAGCGAAATTGCTAACCCTAACCATGTGTAAGCTAGTCCCCATCTCACCTTTTCTTTGGCCACCCCTTTGACCCTGTCTAAGGGACGCGGGTGGCGCTGTGCTCTAAACCACTGACCCTAGGGCTTGCCGATCAGAAGGTCGGCGATTCGAATCCCTGCGGTGGGGTGAGCTCCCGTTGCTCGGTCCCTGCTCCTGCCAACCTAGCAGTTCGAAAGCACGTCAAAGTGCAAGTAGATAAATAGGTACCGCTGTGGCGGGAAGGTAAACGGCGTTTCCGTGTGCTGCTCTGGTTTGCCAGAAGCGGCTTAGTCATGCTGGCCACATGACCTGGAAGCTGTACGCCGGCTCCCTTGGCCAATAAAGTGAGATGAGTGCCGCAACTCCAGAGTCAGCCACGACTGGACCTAATGGTCAGGGGTCCCTTTACCTTTACCTTGGCCCTGTCAGCAAAACATCTATTTGCTCAAGTCCCAGATTTTGTCCCTACTCCTTTATCCATCCTGCTTTCTGCAGCCATCATCCTTCTCTGCCCCGAATTTTAAGTTCTTCCACGCTCCCTGTCGAAACATTTAGCTCTTCTCCTCAGACATTGCAAGAGCTTAGTCTAACCTGTCCACCATGCTTTCGTTAATCCTTTCTTCCCCCTCCACATCAACTCAGTAAACAGATGCCAGGAGGTTCCTTACGACCGCAGCTCGTGACAGTCACAAAATCTAGTGGCATATTCTTAGTATCGGCTAGTAACTAAGGCGGCCACTATCTGAAAATCTCAACGGTCTGGAGACTGTTACTGATTCCACATGTTATTGCACACTTAGATCACTGCAGACCTAAATAAAAATAAAATAAAATAAAAGACCTCTCAAGTCACAATAAGGATTTGTTTTTTAATTTTAAAAATCACGGCATAAAAAGTTGATACCACCCTTCGCCCAAAGATCACAGAGCAATTTCCAATATAAAAACACAGCTTTAGCCTCAAGCTCTCCGTTAGCAAGCCAGTGCCTTATTCTATCGGTGCAACTTTATAAGGCTGCTACCTATCAAGGGAGGAGAGTCAACATTGTTAATTTTGAAGGAAAATGCAGAAATGCCTGAGCTATATGGTCCGGAACATCAATGTATTATGAGACAGAGCATGAGTCCCACCAAAATGCGTTCAGCTGAGTGCTTTCCATAATAAATAAATACATAAATAGTAATAATAATAATAATAATAATAATAGTATCTGCCTCTTTCTTCCTTGCTTGTTTTCCTGTGGTTAGCTTACTCTAAGGTAGGGGAAACCTTTTCAACCTGAGGGTTGAAACCTTCTCAGCAACCTTCCATGCCATTAAAGGTAAAGGGACCCCTGACCATTAGGTCCAGTCGTGGCTGACTCTGGGGTTGTGGTGCTCATCTCGCTTTATTGGCCGAGGGAGCTGGCGTACAGCTTCCGGGTCATGTGGCCAGCATGACTAAGCTGCTTCTGGAGAACCAGAGCAGCGCACGGAAACCTTCCCGCTGGAGCGGTACCTATTTATCTACTTGCACTTTGACGTGCTTTCAAACTGCTAGGTTGGCAGGAGCAGGGACCGAGCAATGAAAGCTCACCCCGTCGTAGGGATTCGAACTACCAACCTTCTGATTGGCAAGTCCTAGGGCTCTGTGGTTTAACCCACAGCGCCAAAAATGGGCAGAGCAATGAATGCAGAAGGTTATCTTTGCAGAGTAAGCTTGTTTCTACACATGACCGCATACCCGTTTCTGTGCACTACCCAGGCAGAGAAGAGGTCCAAGGATGAAACCCAGCCAGGGGAGAACACTCAAGGAGGATGCAGAGCAGAGCTGGGGAGGAGTGGGTCTCAGAGGGCCAGACAGAGCTGCCTGGAGGGCCACACTTGGACGCTGGATCTGAAGTCCCCTATTCCTACTCTGAGAAATGCCTCCTTTTTCTCAACAGCGCTCCTGCGTCTTTAAAAGCTCCATGGATGGCAGAAATACAACAAGCAAAGCTTGTTGTATGCTTTCCAGAGGGGTAGCCTTGTTAGGTTGCTGCAGCAAAAACAACAGTCTGGTGGTGCCAAATTTAATATGGCGCAAGCTTTTTTGAATTGAAGTCAGCTTCATGGGATGTGTGAACTGTGTTCGCCCAAGTTAGAAAGGCAGAAAAGCAAATCGTGTGAAACAGAGAACAATAAATTAATTGTAAATAATGTGGTTACGGAAGAATTTAAGATAGAAAAAGGGACACGACAGGGGTGCCCAATTTCCCCACTGCTTTTTATATTGGTCCTGGAGGTTTTGCTAAATATGATTAGAAAGGACCGGTTGGTTAAGGGCATACAGGTCGGAGCTAAACAGAACAAATTGAGAGCATTTGCAGATGACCTAGTATTGACGTTACAGGAGCCAGAATCTAGTACTAAAAGAGTTTTAGAATTAATTCAGGAATTTGGTCAGGTGGCAGGTTTTAAATTGAACAAGTTAAAAACTAAGGTTTTAGAGAAAACTTAACACCGATTGAAAGAGAGAGGTTTCAGAATGAGACAGGATTGAATGTGGTAAAGAAAGTGAAATACTTGGGGATTAATATGACAGCCAAAAATGGGAACTTATTTAAAGATAATTACGAAAAATGTTGGACGGAAGTGAAAAAGATTTAGAAATTTGGTCAAATTTGAAACTCTCGTTGCTGGGCCGTATTGCTGTGATAAAGATGAATGTATTGCCTAGAATGTTGTTTTTGTTTCAGACATTACAAATTGTAGATAAGATGGACTGTTTCAAGAAGTGGCAGAGAGATATTTCTAGATTTGTCTGGCAGGGCAAGAAGCCCAGAATAAAATTTAAGATATTAACTGACGCCAAGGAAAGAGGTGGATTTGCCCTGCCAGACCTTAAACTTTATTATGAATCAGCAGCTTTCTGCTGGCTGAAAGAATGGCTACTTCTTGAAAATACAGACATTTTGGATTTAGAAGGTTTTAACAATGTATTTGGATGGCATGCATACTTATGGTATGATAAGGTCAAAGCACACAAAGCATTTAAAAATCATACTGTTAGGAAAGCATTGTTTAATGTCTGGATAAGATACAAAGACTTATTGGAAAATAAAACCCTAAGGTGGCTGTCACCAATGGAAGCAAAAGCTCTGAAAAGGCTCAATATGGAGGCCAAATGGCCGACATATTGGGAAATTTTGGAGCAAGAAGGAGATAAATTGAGATTGCAGAGTTTTGAAAAATTAAAAAATAAAGTGAGAGATTGGCTCCACTACTATCAGATAATGGAGGCATATAATTTGGATAAGAAAATAGGCTTCCAAGTGGAAAAGTCAAAATTAGAAACAGAATTGTTAGAACCCAAAACTAAAAATTTGTCAAGAATGTATAACTTGCTGTTGAAATGGAATACTCAGGATGAAACAGTGAAATCTGCTATGATTAAATGGGCACAAGATGTTGGACATAATATTATGTTCGCTGACTGGGAACAGTTATGGACCACAGGTATGAAGTTTACGGCATGTAATGCCTTAAGAGAGAATATTATGAAAATGATATACAGGTGGTACATGACCCCAGTCAAGCTTGCAAAAATTTATCATTTGCCCGATAATAAATGTTGGAAATGTAAAGAAACTGAAGGTACATTCTTTCACCTTTGGTGGACGTGCCCAAAGATTAAGGCTTTCTGGGAAATGATATATAATGAACTGAAAAAGGTATTTAAATATACCTTTCTGAAGAAACCAGAGGCCTTTCTCTTGGGCATTGTCGGCCAACTGGTGCCAAAGAAGGACAGAACCTTTTTCATGTATGCTACAACAGCAGCAAGAATACTTATCGCAAAGTATTGGAAGACACAAGATCTACCCACTTTGGAAGAATGGCAGATGAAGGTGATTGACTACATGGAATTGGCGGAAATGACTGGCAGAATCCGAGACCAGGGAGAAGAGTCGGTGAAAGAAGACTGGAAAAAATTTAAGGACTATTTACAGAAATATTGTAAAATTAAGGAACTTTAGAAGGATGCTGGATAGAAATTAAGAGGTTTTTAGCTGTAATGCTTTAAGAGATATGGAAAAAAAAAAGGTTAACAATTGGGTAAAAGACTAATGGTAAGGATTTGCTGAACCAACAAACTGAATTGGAATACAAAGAAGGGAGGTATGAGGAGGTCTGGGGAAATAAGAGTAAGGAAGATAGGTTATGGAACATTATTGTGTTTTTAACTGTTTTATTTTGTATGTTTTTTCTTACTTTTTGCTTTTTTGCTGTAATTTATACTTTTTTCTTTGTTTTCTGTATTTTTGTGAAACTTTAATAAATATCATTAAAAAAAAAAATGAAACAGAGAACAATAGTGCTTAAGATGCTCAACCTACTGCCAATGAGGCCTTGCCTCTCCAATGACATTTCAATTTCTTTGATGCGTCAGGACTGGAATACCCAGCCCATGATTTGCTGCTTAACCCACAACCCTCATCCTGTTGTTGTTGTTTAGTCATTTAGTTGTGTCCGACTCTTCGTGACCCCATGGACCAGAGCACGCCAGGCACTTCTGTCTTCCACTGCCTCCCGCAGTTTGGTCAAACTCATGTTCGTAGCTTCGAGAACACTGTCCAACCATCTCGTCCTTTGTCACCCCTTCTCCTTGTGCCCTCCATCTTTCCCCACGTCTTTTCCAGGGAGTCTTCTCTGTCCTTCCAGTGAGCACTCAGGGCTGATTTCCTTCAGAATGGATAGGTTTGATCTTCTTGCAGTCCATGGGACTCTCAAGAGTCTCCTCCAGCACCATAATTCAAAAGCATCCATTCTTTGGCGATCAGCCTTCTTTACGGTCCAGCTCTCATTTCCATACATCACTAGGGGTTTAATTCAGATTTGTTTGTCATATACAGTGGTACCTCGGGTTAAGTACTTAATTCGTTCCGGAGGTCCGTACTTAACCTGAAAGTGTTCTTAACCTGAAGCACCACTTTAGCTAATGGGGCCTCCTGCTGCTGCTGCGCTGCCAGAGCACGATTTCTATTCTCATCCTGAAGCAAAGTTCTTAACCTGAAGCACTATTTCTGGGTTAGCGGAGTCTGTAACCTGAAGCGTATGTAAACTGAGGTACCACTGTATAGCTTCTGTCTATGCTTCTATCCATGGTTGCTCTGCCTCTTCAGGTTTATTAGGTTGCAGACCATGAGGGGACCCTTGTACTCAGCGAGTTCCCAGGAGAAATTTCACAAGGTGAGGTGATTCCTACCCTAGTCTTCTACTTCTACAAAATGGTGTACGAAAGAAGCAAACTTGGCATTTGCAAATGAAGGACGAGGTTCTCAACCTTGCATTTCCTTGTGATGTTAGCTGCCTCGAGGTGTTTAGTGTTAGGAAACGAAAGGTAGGGCTTATTCTTCTTCAGTATTGCTAAATGAATAATATTGGCCCCCAAGCCACAATTTCTTGCATGCACCAGTGTCGAGCACCTGTTGGGGAAAGGAAATTTTAGGGGAAATTTCTTTCCCCACCCCTGCAAGCAATGCAGATTAATTAAGGGCAGTTTTTTCTTTTTATTAAGGTACATTGGGGCAACGTTTTACGGATCTATACGGAACATCTAAACTATGCGTTTGATATTATTACACTGTTACCGCTTTGATGAAGCACAAAAATGCAACGGATGCTCTTAAAATGGGGTATTTACCTCTGAATATATTGAAAACCCTGCCTGTCGAGAATTCCACCCACCTCCCTAATCTGAAAAGGTGACCCTGCTATGCACAGAAGAGACTTCGAATTTCTTGAGGGTGCGCATACTATTTCTTGAAAGTGAAACAACTGGAGGAAGGTTGTCTGTATCAGGGTGACTGAACTGTTGTCGGACTACAACTGTTGCCAACCCTGACCATTTGCCATGCTGGCTGCGGCTGAGGAGAGTTCGCTCCCGGGGTTTCTCTGCAGGTACTCGCAAAATGCATGAGCCTTCCTTTAAAGTCTTCCAGCATCTACAAGGTGGACTTCCAGAAACAAAATTCGACATCAGATTTTTGAGTTGATCCAACTACAAAGCAAAAAACAACGTTCCTTTCCTATGGCTAAAACCTCCATCTGCTGCTGTGTCTTTGAACCCAGACAGGGGAGCGGGCTTGGGTCCCAGGTTACGGGTGCCCAATGCAAGACCTTGGAAGTTGCACAGGTAACCCTAAGGTGTGGGTACCTGAGCATCCACAACAAAAAATTTGTGGGGGCTCAGGCATCCAGAGTCCCCCATAGTTGGCACCCCTGAACCCAGAGATGGTTTGTGACAAGGTTAAGAAAACTGGGTACTTAATTTTGATTCTGGGAGGGGCAATAGTAGGGGACGGATCACTGCCTTGTCGTGGCGAACGGGCTTGAATAACTCAGAGAAGCTATGAGCTATGATGCCGTGCAGGGCCACCCAAGATGGACAGGTCATAGCCAAGAGTTTAGACTAAATGTGATCCACCTGGAAAAGGAACTGGCAATCCACTCCAGTATTTTGCCAAGAAAACTCCATGGATATAAAAAAGGAGAAGCTTTGAGAAGAAAGTGAGAGTTTCCAAGACATGCCCTGGTCCATGGGGTCACAGAGAGTTGAACACGACTAAGATGACTAAACAACAACAACAAGTGCTTTCATGTTCTTTTTGTAGGCTTCTTAGAGTCATCTGGGTAGTTAATGTGAGAAACAGGATCTGGACCAGAGAGGCCTGTGATCTAATGCGACAGGGCTCATATGAGTTGCAAGAAGCCCTGCATTTAATTGTATATTAAATGTTGCAGTACAGATATATTGTGGTGCCTTAAGTATCTAATTGGCTATAGTAATAAAAAAGCATCGAAACATCACTAGACTCATTCCTGATTTCAGTTTTGTTGGCTGCACTCAGGAATAGCAAGCGACTGAGAAGCTTGTCTGATATGGCGAGCGCTTGCGATTATTTCAGATTCCTTTGTAGGTAGTTTTTTCTCTCTCTCCAAGATGATATTTTGCATGAACAAAGAGAAGGATAAGCAAAGGAGGGCATCAAGAACAATGAATGGGTATTTCAAGAAGTCAAGGAAGAAGCAGGCACGTTCTTTAAAACACAGGGTGTCCTGGACTTTGTTTGGGGCCAAATCTGCTGAGTCTGCAAAACAATCCTAAGCAGCTCCTTCTGATCATTAGGACAGGAGTCCCTGCAAGGGGGGTGGGGTTTGAAGGTGTGTGTGAGTAGTTTGTGCTTCACAAGCTCCTGCTTCCAAGGCCTCCCCGGTGCTCTCTTCAACAATCAGTATAAACGGCCAGATGAAACTCCCTTTTCAAACACTTACTGTATATAGAACAAGCAAAGAATAAAGGCACCATCTCACTCTATCCAGGCACACATCCAGTTAAGCAGAGCAGGAAAGCTCAGGGTAAAGTATCCAGAGCCGCGGGTGGCGCTGTGGGTTAAACCACAGAGCCTAGGACTTGCCGATCAGAAGGTCGGCGGTTCGAATCCCCGTGACGGGGTGAGCTCCCGTTGCTCGGTCCCTGCTCATGCCAACCTAGCAGTTCGAAAGCACGTCAAAGTGCAAGTAGATAAAGAGGTACCGCTCCGGCGAGAAGGTAAACGGCGTTTCCGTGCGCTGCTCTGGTTCGCCAGAAGCGGCTTAGTCATGCTGGCCACATGACCCGGAAGCTGTACGCCGGCTCCCTCGGCCAATAAAGTGAGATGAGCGCCGCAACCCCAGAGTCGGCCACGACTGGACCTAATGGTCAGGGGTCCCTTTACCTTTATAAACCTGGTCAAAGATAAGGAGATGCAAGGAAATATTAAATAACTCCCTTTATGCCAATCTTACAGCGTTCTGCCACCTTGCTACTCTCTTAGTGCATCTATTAAGTTGTACTTTTTATAGAGACCATGCAGAATCTCACCTGCAAGTCCCACTGAATCCAGTGGAAATCACTTCCAGGTTAAGCATGCAAAAAAAAGCAAAAAACAAACAAACACAGAGGCTTACAAGTGTGGTATGTGGTAGCAGCGGGTCTGGCATGATCATTAGGATGCAGACCTCAGAGGACACAGCTTTATACAGATTAGTTTTTGTTAAAACTGCCTGATAACATTTTACTTTTTATTTTTAATGCAGTTTTTCAAAGCTCAAGCTTACATGCGATCGACAATGTTGCGAAACAGACCAGTCGGGGTGGCAACCAATTCAACCCGTATTACCAGCACTCGACCCGAAGGAACAGGTGACAAAATTTGCAAAGGAAAAGATGCACATACTGCAGTTTTGATGCGCCTGTAACTGAAACTCGCAAGATACTTTTAACACCGCAGTTCCCAAGATTGTTCAGAACGATCTGTGCGCTGAAACACCTTTTTGTATTTGAGAAAGATACTCAAAGATCGCTGCGCTGCTTATTCTTGCAATTTAAAACAAGTTCAGCAGGTTTGACTTTCGTGCTTTTCATCCCCCCCCCCAAGGCACCTGCTTTTGAAAACTGAAGTTGACAATTTTGGGGTGTTAGCGATCCTGCCCTCGCCCAAGTCGAAATCCCTGGAGCCAAGGAGCAAAAGGGGACTGCGGGGTGGGGTTGGGTTGGGTAGCATCCAGTGGAGGTTGCTAGGGAGAAAGGAACCCCCGCTGTACGCGTGGCAGCTTCTTCAGGAGAGACCGAAACATAAACCCAGCCCAGAAAAGAGGGGTCGGCAGAAGGAAATGGCGACCTCCTGCTTCTGCGCTGGTGCTGAAGTCGCTGCAAAATACCTTGTGCTAGTGCATCAACACGGCCTCTGGGTCCTATCAGGTGGCGGGAGGACTACAGCTCCCATCATCCTCAGCTAGCAGGAGCAGCGGCCAGGGATGATGGGAGTTGTAGTGCAGAAACACATGCAGCCCACCCATAAATAAGGCCGAGGGAATAACTGCATTTAAGCAGAGGGCTCCTGGGTGGGGGGTAGGGAATCGCAGCCCCCCGCACTCACCGGCTGCTCTGGGGCTTCCCGGCCTTGCTTTTCCTCCTGGCGTAGCCGCTGTCGAAGGGCAGCACCGAGGCGTAGCCGTGCTCCGCTTCTGGTTGGGGGAAGAGGCAAAAAGACACAAAACACACAAAAGCTGAGCTCGTGACAACTGCCGCGTATTGCTGCTGCTGCCTGTGCAAACGTTGCAAGCAACTTATTGCAAAGGGAGGAAGCAGTTGCAAAGGGAGAGAGTTGGCGGAGAAAGGGAGCAAAGGCGGACCTGCAGCGCCACCAGACCAACGGTGGGGAGATTTTTCCTTCACTTCGTGGCTTTTTCTTTTTCTTTTTTTTTAAAGTCCTTTTTGCAACAAAACAAACCCATCTCCCCACCCCCACTCAAGGTGACTTTTTTTTTTAAAAAAAATAATAAATCCGGGGTGCATCGCAGCCCTGGGGTGGGAGCCCCTCAACTTTTTGCAGGGAATCTTGCTGTATGTACCTCTCTCTCGCCTTTCCAAGTATTCCGCAGCTTCCAGCAGCATCAGCAGGGAATTCCACTCCATTTTCACAGCCTTTTGCTTTTTTTGCAATTTAGGCAGCAAGGTAGGAAGGAAAAAAATAACAGCAATAGCAGCAATTAACAATGGTTTTGGTGTGTTTTTTTCCGCACCCGGGAGCTCACAAGCGCGCGCAGGGAGGCTCCTCCAAAGTGTTGCTCTCTGAGCCCAAGTCTACAAACCCCCACACTTTGGGCATATTACTTTCCCAGCTGACGGACGGCTGGCTGGGCCAGTCGATAGCGTCACCCGCAGGGTCCTGAGACATCGCGGAGCCAATCAGAGGCGAGGTGGGCGGGAGGGGGAAGGAAGGAAGGGGGAAAAAACACGCACACAACCCAACCAGCTGCCCGCCCTCCCTCCCTCCGGCGCAGAGAATGTTGACAGATCAAGAGCCTCGCCCCCTGATAGGCCGGCGACTATAGCAACAACTTCAGAAGCCGAAGCTTAGCAACAGCACGTGGTAGCCCGGCCCCCCGGCTCTGTGAGTGGCCGGCCGGGCTCCATGCAAAACAGGCGGCGGCCAGTGATTGGGCACGGGGAGCCCATGCAAATGAGCTTTGAAGTTGAACGCCTCGCGGGAGGCGGTGCCTCAGTTTCGGATGGAAGAGGGCGGCGCCGGGAGCACAGCTGGGCGCGCTTGCGCAGTGAAGGAAGCGAGCGGGCGGAACCGTCGAGGCCGTGGCCGCCCTGATGGGGGAAAAATTAGCCTCGGGGATAACCAGCGTGCTCTGGTCTAATTGGTGCATGGAAGGGGTTAAAAGCGTAGAATAAACTATTTCATACTGATATAGGGACACAATAAAAATATATAGTGACATACAAAAAAACCCCGCATTTTAGTATAGTGGTACCTCAGGTTACATACGCTTCAGGTTACAGACTCTGCTAACCCAGAAATAGTGCTTCAGGTTAAGAACTTTGCTTCAGGATAAGAACAGAAATCGTGCTCTGGCGGTGCAGCGGGAGGCCCCATTAGCTAAAGTGGTGCTTCAGGTTAAGAACAGTTTCAGGTTACGAACAGACCTCTGGAATGAATTAAGTACTTAACCTGAGGTACCACTGTACTGTAAATATAAGTTAACATGAAGCCCCCTCCTCACCTTCAAGCCCATGGTCTTCCAGAAAATGGCTGTGAAGAACAGCAAATCTTGAGTTCCTATACGGCCACTGGTCCCATCACCTCCTGGCAAATAAAAGGGGAAGAAATGGAGGCAGTGAGAGATTTTACTTTCTTGGGCTCCATGATCACTGCAGATGGTGACAGCAGCCACGAAATTAAAAGACGCCTGCTTCTTGGAAGAAAAGCAATGACAAACCTAGACAGCATCCTAAAAAGCAGAGACATCACCTTGCCAACAAAGGTCCGTATAGTTAAAGCTATGGTATTCCCAGTAGTGATGTGTGGAAGTGAGAGCTGGACCATAAAGAAGGCTGATCGCCGAAGAATTGATGCTTTTGAGTTCTGGTGCTGGAGGAGACTCTTGAGAGTCCCATGGACTGCAAGAAGATCAAACCTATCCATTATTAAGGAAATCAGCCCTGAGTGCTCACTGGAAGGACAGATCCTGAAGCTGAGGCTCCAATACTTTGGCCACCTCATGTGAAGAGAAGACTCCCTGGAAAAGACCCTGATGCTGGGAAAGATGGAGTGCACAAGGAGAAGGGGACGACAGAGGACGAGATGGTTGGATAGTGTTCTCAAAGCTACTAGCATGAGTTTGACCAAGCTGCGGGAGGCAGTGGAAGACGGAAGTGCCTGGCGTGCTCTGGTCCATGGGGTCATGAAGAGTCAGACACGACTAAACGACTAAACAACAACAACATACCAATAATCTAGGGATTCACACCACTTTGGAACTAAACTGATTTTTTTTTACTGTCTCTGCAGCCTTTCTAGCTCATGCACGGCAAAGCACATGAACCTGACTTTTGAAAAGTTTGTAAGCAAACCAGTTTTCAACTAACCAAACATCTTCTCCCTATGCTGGAGGAAGAGGGACATTTTTGGACTGGCTTGGAAGGGCATATTTTAAACGTCTTAACAACCTAGATTTCTACATTTTACTTTGCTGTGTATTTTGTGACTTTGAATCTCTGCTGGGGTTGTGTCACCAAAGAGTACTGGGATCTTGGAATCCAGGAATTCTCCTTTCTATATCTATATTTGCAGCAACACAAGCCAGGAACCAGCAATTTTGGTGATTTAGTGCAGAAGGTACAGGGCAATGCACCAAATAAACGCAAATATCCCGATTTGTTTAATAAATAAGGTATCTAATTGGTATTGAATATTTTGAACCATCAAATGTAATTTAGAAGCGTCTATTGCATCGCTCTTAAGTTATTCCAGTGCTTTTGACATTCACTCAACAGGACATTTCAAGGCATCAGAAAAGTTTATTTGTAGAGACCAGCTGGATATAAATGTTGCCTGCATGCTTTTACATTTCCATAATAATAATAATAATAATAAATTTTATTTATATCCCGCCCTCCCCAGCCGAAGCCGGGCTCAGGGCGGCTAACAACAATAAAACAGTACAAAAGTACAGCATAAACAACAGTCTAAAATCATTCGTTATAAAATTAATTAATTCAAGCCACTGGCAACCATTGGGCCAGAGCTCCGCGAAGATTGCCGAGGGAGGGAGTCAGGCTGTGCCCTGGCCAAAGGCCTGGTGGAACAGCTCTGTCTTGCAGGCCCTGCGGAAAGATGTCAAGTCCCGCAGGGCCCTGGTCTCTTGTGACAGAGTGTTCCACCAGATCGGAGCCACAGCCGAAAAGCCCTGGCTCTAGTTGAGGCCAGCCCTAACTTCTCTGGGGCCTGGGACCTTCAAGATGTTTTTATTCGAAGACCGTAAGTTTCTCTGTGGGGCATACCAGGAGAGGCGGTCCCGTAGGTACGAGGGTCCTAGGCCGTATAGGGCTTTAAAGGTTAAAACCAGCACCTTAAACCTGATCCTGTACTCCACCGGGAGCCAGTGCAGCTGGTATAGCACCGGGTGAATGTGATCTCGCAGCGAAGACCTCGTAAGGAATCTCGCTGCAGCATTCTGCACCCGCTGGAGTTTCTGGGTCAGTCTCAGGGGCAGCCCCACGTAGAGCGAGTTACAATAATCCAGTCTGGAGGTGACCGTCGCATGGATCACAGTGGCTAGGTCAGGGCGAGAGAGGTAAGGAGCCAACTGCTTAGCTTGGCGGAGATGGAAAAATGCCGCCTTTGTTATAGCTGCAATCTGCGCCTCCATGGAAAGGGAGGTGTCGAAGATTACACCCAAACTCTTAACGGACGGTGCTGGCACTAATTGCGCCCCCGCAAGAGATGGGAGTTGCCCCCAATCCCATATCGCCCCGTCCCAGCCACAGGACCTCTGTCTTCGAAGGATTTAGCTTCAACCGGCTCCCACGAAACCATCCAGCCACAGCTTCCAAACATCTAGTCAGTGTGTCTGGGGCCGAGTCAGGATGGCCATCCATCAACAGATAGAGTTGGGTGTCATCGGCATACTGATGGCAACCCAGCCCAAAACTCCGAACAAGCTGGGCGAGGGCGCATAAAGATGTTGAAAAGCATCGGGGAGAGTATCGCACCCTGAGGTACTCCACACACCAAGGAGTGGCGCGATGACAATTCCCCCCCAAGCGCCACCCTCTGTCCCCGACCAGAGAGAAACGAGCGCAGCCATTGAAGGACTGTGCCCTGGATCCCCACGTCGGCAAGGCGGTGGTCTAGAAGTTCGTGATCGACCATGTCGAAAGCTGCTGACAGATCTAGAAGAATCAGCAGCCCCGACCCGCCTCGATCCAGCTGTCTACGAAGATCATCTGTTAGGGCAACCAGAGCCGTCTCGGTCCCATGACCAGTGCGGAAGCCGGACTGGAATGGATCCAGAGCCGATGTTTCATCCAGAAAACCACCAAGCTGTTCAGCAACCGCTCTCTCAATCACCTTACCCAGGAACGGAAGATTCGAAACCGGGCGGTAATTGGATAGATCTAAAGGATCTAATGATGTTTTCTTTAAGAGCGGGCGCACCACTGCCTCCTTCAGTTCCCCTGGGAATGTCCCCGTGCCAAGGGACAAATTGATGATATCCCCCAGGAGGGCCCGCACCTCGTCTGGACACGCTCTAATCAGCCAAGACGGGCACGGGTCGAGAGGACAGGTGGTGGGCTTTCCAGCTCGGAGGAGTCTGTCCACATCGGCTGGGGATATCCGGTCGAAGTGGTCCAATACTGGACCCGAGGACAGTCGAGGGGCCTCCAGTTCCTTTATTGTATCCAAATTGGCCGGGAGGTCATGGCGGAGCAACAAGACCTTCTCCGCAAAAAAGCTCGCAAATGCCTCACAGCTGTGTGTCAAATTGTTATTTAAATTTGGCTGTCCCTCAAGGGACGTTAAAGACCTGATTATACTAAATAATTGCGCCGGGCGAGAGCTTGCGGATGCAATGGAGGCCGAGAAGTATGACTTCTTAGCAGCCTTCACCGCCATCTCGTAGGTTTTCATAAAAGCCCTATAAGATGTTCTTGAGGCTCCGTCACGGGCACCCCGCCATACTCGCTCTAGCCGTCTGAGGTCCCGCTTCATTTTCCGGAGCTCCTCGGTAAACCAGGGAGCCCGGTTTCTGCGGGGTCGCAGAGGGCGCTTAGGTGCGATCTCATCGATGGCTGCCAGGAGCTGGGTATTCCAGCCCTCAACAAGCTCAGTCAATGAGTCGCCAGGGGAGCAAGGTCCCGCAAGGCTTGGCGGAATCTATCAGGGTCCATCAGCCTCTGCGGGCGAGCCCAAATCGGCTCGCCACCTAAGCAGGGTGGGGGTGGAAAGTCAATCCTGGCTTTCAGAGCGTAGTGATCAGACCATGGCACCTTCATCGAAGGAGACATGATCACATCTATACCTACGCCAAAGATCAAATCCAGCGTGTGGCCTGCTTGATGTGTGGGGCCCGAAACAAACTGGGAGAGCCCTAGTGTCGCCATGGAAGACACCAGGTCCAGAGCCTGTGAGGAGGGAGTGGCATCAGCATGGATGTTAAAGTCCCCCAATACCAATAGGTTAGGGAACTCCAAGGCCCAGCCGGCCACCGCCTCCAATAGGCCTGACAGGGTGGCTGCTGGTGCGCTAGGTGGCCGGTACACCAGCCAGACAGCCAAGCTCTCCTCGGAGCCCCACACTAGGCCAACACATTCAATGCCGGGGATCGATGGCGATGGTAGAGCCCTGAAAGGACAATCTTCCCGGATTAATAATGCCACCCCTCCCCCCCGGCCCACAGTCCGCGACTGGTGGAGGACGGAGAAACCCGGGGGCGCCATCTCTCGTAAGGTAACTGTTGCCCCTTCGCGCACCCAGGTCTCCGTCACACAAGCCAGGTCGACCCCCTGCGAGATAAAGAAATCTCGCAGGGTGGCGGGTTTATTGCCTATAGACCTGGCATTGCACAGCACCAGTGACGGAGGTGAGTAATCCTTGCTCACCCTACCCTCGTCCCTTGGGATGGGGCGCAGATTGGAAGGGGTACGAGCGTATCCATATCTCGATCCCCTTCGCCTATAACATCTGCCCCCACCGCCATACCTCCCTCGCCCCTCCACGGTAGCAATCCCAGGCCTCATGGTCGCCTCCATTGATGGTATTCTTTCGCAGCCTAAAACAATAAAACCTTAAAACAATAAAAACAAAAAACAAAACAACCCAGAAAACAATAAAACAATACAAATAAAAACTGCAAAAATTACAAATTCATCAAAATCTAACAAATTCCCAAGCCCACCCAAACATCCATCCCACCCCATATATAAAAATCTAAAGGGAAAGGAAAATATTTAATAATAATAATAATAAACATGTTAAAAGAACTCTGCACCCCTCCGGGTCCTCCTGGGCAGTAGCAGCATCAGTGGCAACAACCATACTTGTGAAGCCCCACCCTGGGCCAGATAGTAAGTGGCAGGAGCAGTCCTTGTGAGGCCTGCCAAAAGAGCTAGAGAGATTATTATTTTTTTAGAGAACAAAAAGCTGAAAATTCAGACAAAGGCCTGAAATAGCTTAAGGAGATGAAAATGATGGAATATATGGAGCTGGCTGACCTTACTGGAAGAATCCGCAACCAGAAAGAAGAAGAACATCAAGAGTGGAAGAAATTTAAAGACTATTTGAACAAATATTGTAACATTAAAAATTAGAAACTACTTGAAACTACTAAATAGGTCTAGGATGAAAGTAAGAGTTGTAAAATAATTGAGATTCAGAACTTCGAAAAGTTAAGAAATTAGAACTTAATTGGAACATTGTGTTTTAATAATGATATTAGAAAACCGCTACATTTAAATACAAGGAAATTCAGATGGGAGGGCTCAAAGGAAGTCCAAACTATGGTAATGACGTTAGAAGTTTGAGCAGCTAATTAATTTGTATGGTCTGGGTGTTTGTCAATATGTATTTTTATTTTCTTATATTCTTTTTTGTTTATATTTGTGATTTTGTCTTTATTTTTTGTTGTCGTGTGTGGTATATTTGTAAGAAACTTAATAAAAATTATTTTTTTAAAAAAATGAAATAGCTTAAGGAGGCCAGCAGAATTTTGCCTACAGGGGTGTAAAGGCTGGATCTACACCTGCAGCAGAATTAAGTGTCAATGCACTTGGGGAAAATGCGTGAGATGAATCAAGGATGGGCAGGCTTCAGACTTGTGTGATAAACCACAACAGCAGCCCCACAACCTCAAGCTCTGCCAGGCAGAGTGAAGTGCAAAAAGACCCGAGCACATTCTGAACCGTGGGAATTGGTTTCCATGTTCAGAACTGAACTCCCTCCTTTTCTCACTCCTGCCTCTGACCCGGTTTCCCTTCGGGAAGAAAAGGCACGTGGCGTCTCCCTCGAACTCGGATCTTCTTCCCTCACGCTCGCACACCCCATCCTCACGTTATATTAGACACCCGAAGCGGGAAGAGCAGAGCCGGTGGGTGAACTGGGACTCGGGACCCTCTATTCCGCGGCAGCTCTCAGAACAAGAGGGCGCAGGAGCATGGCAAGAGCGCGCCGGTTGGGAAGCGGGAAGAAGCCAGCTTTCTAAATCCCGCGGCCGGGCGGCGTCGGGCTTCGTAGGCCGCCGCCACCGGCTTCCATTGGTTGCCAGGCAACCGAGGCGGCGTCCGCGAGGGCGGCCATTTTCTCTCGCTCGGGACGGGGGAAGCGTCTCTCTCTCTCTCTGCGGAAGGTGAGAGAAGCGGCGTCTCTCTCCATCTCTCGGGTCGTCGTTCAGGTGAGTGCCAGACTCACCTGCTGGATCAGGCCATTGGCCCAGCCAGCCCAGCCTCGCAGGAGCCCGTCGTGGGAGAGAAGCATTTCTCCACATGAACTTCTATCAGGGCGCCAATTTGAATTTTAAATATTTTTTTTTTTGGGGGGGGGGGTTGTCAGCTAAGCCCTGTCCCGCATAATGAATCACACGATGCAGCACACAAACACCATTTCAATGGCCATCAACTTTTTTTGGGGGTGGGGTGGGGAGGGCAGCTTCCCCAAATATTTTATGGGGGGGGGGAGGGCAAAGGGACCTCGACCCCTAGGTGTGGGATCCGAGGACTTCTGTCATGTTGCCTCTTCATCGCTTTTCCTAGTCTAACCCAAGTGGTTCCGAACCTTTTTTTTGGCCATGCCTCACCTAAGCATCTCTAAAATCCTGATGACCCGCCCCCCCCCCCGACATATAATTCTTATTATTCAAAAAGTGATCTCCTATTCACGTGGAGTAAGCCTAAAAGGCCATAAACCTGGTCTGAACAAGCTCGAATTGCCACCCCTTAAAAATCAAATTGCCCCCCTGTTGGGAAGCACGTCTGCAACTCTTCCTTACAGGGGAGTTACTCCACCCCCTTGATCATTTTGATGGCCTTTTTTCCTGAAGCTTTTCCAGCTCCTCCTTCAGGTGAGGTGACCAGAACTGTACGCAGTACTTCAAATAGGTCACCCCACAGATTTGGATAATTGGCATTATGATATTGGCCGTCCCCTCCCCATTTCTTTCTAGTGTGGAATATGCCTTATTTTTTTTATGGCCACCTCACACTGGGTCAGCATCTTCATTGAGCTATCTAGTATGACCTGGCATCATGAATGTGGAGTCTCAACTTAATATTTAGTGTGTAAATATTAAGTTGGAACTTCTGGCATATTCTGAACTCCCATGCCCCAGTAAACCTTTTCAGTGACATCCAGACTTACAGTGGTCCTATGCACAAGGACACCCAGGCAAGGAAACTATTATACCTCCTCCCCTGAAATCTGGGAGCAGGGGTTAGATACAACAGAGAGCCCATAGTTTAGGGCTTTTGAATTTTAATTTTTTTAACAATTGTGTTGTGAACTCAAGAGTACGTACCTCGAAAAAAGCAAACTGGCATTAAAGAATTAAATGCATATTTTTGAAAAGATAGAAATTGAAATGTCACAAAATGTATTTTAATAGTAAGTGTAAAGAAACCTGGCATTTAGAATTCAACTTTGAAAGTTTCCCCCCTCATCTTTTCAAATACTACCTCCTCGGCATAAATCTTAGCATATACTAGTAGCAGCACTAGTGTATTCATGAAAAATAGTATTTATACTTAGATTAAACTGTAACTGATGACAATATATACCGTACATTTAATGATTTACAGGAATCCTGCATGTGAAAATGGCCAGCCAGCTGAAGCACATTGAAATTGTAGTCCAACAGCTTAATCGTTTCAATCCTGAAAATGAGAGTGTTGGGCATTTCTTGGATGAAACAGCTGCTAAAACATTCCAGGTATGCAGAATCCTACTTCATCCTGCACAATTTTCACATTTTAAATTGGCTTTCTTCCTTTCTTAGAACTAAGCAAGATTAATCTTAATGTCACCAGATATCAAAATGCTTTCAGTGGATGGGGGGAGAAGTAGGAGCAAGCAAACTAGATCAAAATCCCATGGTGGTGGTGGTGGGGGGGAGGAATAATCTGAAATATCTGGCTTGGCATGTTGTTAGACTAGTCCTCTGAAATATTAAGTGCAAACACTTAAAGTTTGTTATTTTTAAGCCTCTAGATAAATGCATTAGTTATAGGTGGGATTTCCATTTAAACTAGTAAGAAGATTGTATGCCTCTACTTTAGAAGAAGGAAATTAATTTTAGGAATAGCACAGGAATATGGACATAAACAAGCCTGAGTGTGATGCATTAATGGATGCCCAGGTGTCAGTTTCTGGACTGTGGGAATTACCGTATTTTTCGCTCTGTAAGACGCACCAGACCACAAGACGCACCTAATTTTTGGAGGAGGAAAATAAGGAAAAAAATATTCTGAATCTCAGAAGCCAGAACAGCAAGAGGGATCGCTGCGCAGTGAAAGCAGCAATCCCTCTTGCTGTTCTGGCTTCTGTGATAGCTGCGCAGCCTGCATTCACTCCATAACACACACACACATTTCCCCTTACTTTTTAGAAGAGTAAAAGTGAGTCTTATAGAGCAAAAAATACAGTATCTTAGAAGCTCCACTTGGTTTGGGATGTATGCCTACCATTCCTATCTTTGTCTCTGCTACTTTATATGATGGAAAGATAAGTGGGGAGGCAGGAGCAGTGGGGGAGGAGATTCTTAAAAATAAGAGTCCTCAGCCCTTTGTTGATATTGCCATGAGATCCAGGAGAAGTGTGGATTCCAAAGTGGACCTACGTCGAATCTGCTCATTAATCTTGGAAGTGCGGATCAAGTGAGTCTGCTTTGGAAGCTGAATTTGCCAAATTCCTTTCCTATGCCTAATACGTTTACACAGAAATCTCATCCATTCACCTTGACAGAGCATTAATCAATCCTATTTTGTCCCCTCTCCCCACATCATCTCTCTCCACAACTGTCATCAAGTGGGTGAAAGGAATAATGCTTCTGTTTCTTATCCCTATTCCATTTTTTCATTTGCTCTTTCCCCATTAATCTCCTACTCCTATTCTTCCCTGTTCCCCCTTTTCTGCCCGTTAGCCTCCTTTCATCCTCTTCCAGGTCCTTAATATGCTCCAGAAGTGCTTCCTCCCTAGAACATGTGAGATCTTAATCCCAGACTGACTGACAACCTTCCCTCCACAGAAAGAGACTGGACTGCAAAGCTGGTTGTCAAGCAAACCTTTGTTCCTTTAGCAGCTGGAACATTTGAGAGTTCAGTGGCAACACATTAGCTCACCCATCCATTGTCAGAGGGTTCTGTGCCACAAGCACAGAATGTTTGCATTGTTATTTTCTACCACTGCAGATGTTGCTGCAACAGGCCAGGGGGCAATAGAAAGCTTGACCTGGTCCACAGGCCTGAGATCCACTACCCTTCTCTAAACCCTGACTTGTTGTCTTGATAATTCCTATTAGGAAGCTCAGATTTTGCTGTGAGGAACTGTAGTTCTTGATTAATTATCAAAATATATGTATCATTTGGGAACATGTATGTGTTGTTGTGCATGTGTAACAGTAAAATGCACCAGCTGTGGTTTCTTGCCTTAGCACAGGGGTCAGCAAACTTTTTCAGCAGTGGGCTGGTCCACTGTTCCTCAGACCTATTTTGAGGAAAAAAATGAACAAATTCCTACGCCCCACAAATAACCTAGAGATGCATTTTAAATAAAAACACACATTCTACTCATGTAAAAAAACCAGGCAGGCCCCACAAATAACCCAGAGATGCATTTTAAATAAAAGGACACATTCTACTCATGTAAAAACAAGCTGATTCCTGGACCATCCGCAGGCTGGATTAAGAAGGCGATTGGGCTGGATCCAGCCCCCAGGCCTTAGTTTGTCTACCCATGCCTTAGCACTATGAGATGAGGGGCAACAACACTTTGCAGAGATCTCACTTTGACAAGCATGAAATAAATTAAACAGCAACTGACTTCAGAGAGCAGCACATCATGACAAACTTCACTGTAGATTTTGTTATGGGACAAAAGGAATTGGTCCACCAGATGTTCCACTGTTACAGAAAATGGTTTAGAAAGAGCTACAGCATAGAGCACAAGGTGGAATACAGGAAACTCTCCTCTACACGTAACATGTTTGTCCACTGCAAGAACTGGACCAACCTCTCTTTCAAAGTAATCTTGAACCATATGGCTGACCTCACCCAGAGTAGCTATGCTGGAAAAACTCATGAGCACAGTGCATAACAAGGAGCTTCCTTTTCCAGCAAATTATTTGTGAGCTTCATCTTGTCAGAGGCCTTGGATTGTTAGCTCTATGGAGTAGTGACTCAAGCCAGTGGCAATCTTTGTATAGTTCCTTCCTTAATGGCCAATCCATGTTATCATTGGGCAGAGAATTGTGGTGTTTTGTTCCATGCGTTGGACTTTGCTCCCCAAATTGTAATCAATTTAATCTCTACAGGCTTTCAGTGTAACAGATGAAACCTTTTTGATGGCAACTTTATCTGGCTGTATAGAATATAAACCTCTGTTGGATGTGGTGGTCAATGCATTTTATACCAGAGATGGAAAACATTGCCTGTTGTCTGACCATAATCTTTACGTTGGTAGGTATTATCTAATCAGAATATAATGATTTAGTGTTGGGTATTACACAATTACAATATAATGACATAGGAAATTTACACGGGGTTGTCATTATCATTTGTTTGCAGTCAGTAGACTATATGTGTGTGTGTGTGTGTGTGTGTGTACACACACACACACACACACACACACACACGTGTGCCATAGGTTCGCCACCACTGACTCAGAGCCTTTGGATAAGCATATTCTGCCTAAAATCGTGAGGCTGAGTCATGAAACCGCTAGACACACTGTAATGAGCTTGAGAAAAGCTGAACCAGAGAACTCCTTGCCACAAGGAAATCACTGTGGCAAAGAAGTTGGGAATTTCTAGAGGGGTAAGATATCAATAGGGATGCGGGTGGTGCTGTGGGTTAAACCACAGAGCCTAGGATTTGCCAATTGGAAAGTCAGCGGTTCAAATCCCTGCAACGGGGTGAACTCCCGTTACTTAGCCCCTGCTCCTGCCAACCTAGCAGTTCGAAAGCACGTCAAAGTGCAAGTAGATAAATAGGTACCGCGTTTCCATGTGCTGCTCTGGTTCACCAGAAGCAGCTTAGTCATGCTGGCCACATGACCCGGAAGCTGTACGCCGGCTCCCTCGGCCAATAAAGCGAGATGAGCGCCGCAACCCCAGAGTTGTCTGCGACTGGACCTAATGGTCAGGGGTCCCTTTACCTAAGATATCAATAGAAAATAATGACTGTCATTGGCAGCTGACTATGCCAAACTCTAATTCCACCTTCTACAATTATGTGATGTGACATGCTCTGCTTCTTCACCATCATTTTGTAACTGGTGGGCCTCAGTAATTTTCATGTGACTCCTGGGGATCAAACATTTGAGAACCCTTCTATATACTAACTTTGCACTAGTCCAGTAAAGTTATCAATTTTGTATCATTATCCATATTCATCTATAAAATACAAATCTATTTTATTTCTGATAGTTGTTTGTTATTTGGCCACTTTTCAATTGGATGAACTTGGACTTCAGCAGTTCTCAAGAATGGTCAAGGCAGCAGATCCTGTTAAAATATGTAAGGTAAATAAAACTGATGTAGTTAAGCAATTATTATTTTTTTAAAAACAACATTTTTATTATCCATTATGGGTTAACTGGTTCCCCCCAATAATATATTAAATTACATATCTGGATATCAATAATGAAGAAGTTTCATTGTCAATCAACTAGACAAAGGTTGTCCACCATATAATTATCCTATATGCCTCAGCAAATGGTAAGCTACCCCTCCTAGTGGTGCAGCAATAAAACTGCTATCACATTTGCAAAGCTAAGCAGGGTCCCTTATGGTTTCAAATTGGATGGGAGACTGTTCAGATTGCTGCATTGCAGAGGGTTGGACTAGAATCACTAGATGATGCTTGGGATCCCTTCCAACTCTGCAATTCTATGATTCTTTACCAGATGGGTTGGAACCAAAGTTGTCTGTCCACAAAAGGAAGGGTTTCTTCCATTCACAGAAGGCACTGAGATCCAGTGAAGACTGTTATTTTCAGTTCCCCCTGCAGCCTTCCCGTCTCCTCCCATATTCTGTACTTTCTCCCAGCCTAGTGAAACAGATTTCTATTACACAGGGGACTGCAGGAAGAAGTAGAAATCAGCTAAAATTGCCTCTCAACTTCTTCTAGATATTTATTGATTTATTGATTTATTTAATATTTTGCCCAATACCCTCAGGTCTCAGGGTGGTTCACAGGATAAAATCAGAATAGAAAACCACAAAGTACACAATCAAAATAAAAACAACAACCCAATAACCCCCCACCCCTGATAACTCTCAATCTAACCCTGTGGTTGCAGGATATTCAGTGATCTCAACAGAATTCAAATAGACATAGGAACGGATGTGGACAGGATGCAGTCAGTGCTTTTTTTTCTAAAAAAATGTTTAGGGGTACTCTCATTTTCCTACTCATATTGAAATACTGCCCCTCAATGAGGCCAAACTTAGATTCACAAAATGTTTAGGGGTATGCATACACCTGCGTTCCCCCCCCCTGAAAAAAGCACTGGATGCAGTTATTAGGACAAACAAAATACAATATCTGATCCAATGTTTAAGGCGGCTACTGGGTTTTCTCTGATTTTAATTCCTTAACTAAAGCAAATTCTTTTTAGTTCCTTAGATTTTTTTTCGATGTTGTAAATTTGCACACATGGATAAAAGATGAATGGAACCAGATATATGATTCTGCCTATGTAAAAGAAAACTGGATCGAACCATTGCTAAGGTAAGCAATAATCAGTACAATCCCATTCGTGTTAAAACAGAAGTGAGTCTCATTATGTCTGATGGTGATTACTCCCAGAAAGCGGCATAGGATTGCAGTTTGTGTCTGTTAATAAATTAATGATAATTAGATTATCTTTAGCATCACTTACATCCCAAAAAATCCAGTTCACCGGGATTAGTTTATAATTTATATATTTATTTGTGAGGAGGCTGAACTGTTTGTATTACCAAGACTTGGGTAAGCAAACAGGGTGGAATTGGTCTTACCTGGGTACTTGATGCATCATCAGGGCAGATTTGAGGAGTAGGGTGGGGCTGTAGTCTGTAGGAATTCCATCTCTCTTCCCGTCTGCTTAAGTTGAGATCTAGTGTGTCTGTACTGGGAAGTCAGGACAGATTAGGGATTCTGTCGGTTTACCACCTGCCCTGATGCCCAGTTGTCTTCCTGCCTGAGCCGACAGAGGTGGTCTCAGATGTGGTCTTGAGGACTCCCAGACTGTTGGTTCTGGAGAACTTCAACATACAGTGGTGCCTCGCAAGACGAAATTAATCCGTTCCGCGAGTGTCTTCGTCTAGCGGTTTTTTCGTCTTGTGAAGCAACCCTATTAGCGGATTAGCGCTATTAGCGGTTTAGCTGCTATTAAAGGCTTAGCGGCTTAGCGGCTTAGCTGCTAAAAGGCTATTAGCGGCTTAGCGGCTTAGAAAAAGGGGGGGGGGAAAGCGGAAAAAAATCTCAAGACTCGCAAGACATTTTCGTCTTGCGAAGCAAGCCCATAGGGAAATTCGTCCTGCGAAGCAACTCAAAAACGGAAAACCCTTTCGTCTAGCGAGTTTTCTGTCTTGCGAGGCATTCGTCTTGCGGGGCACCACTGTACATGTCTAGTCCACTAAATCTGAGGTGTCTCAGAATTTCATGGCCACCATAACAACCATGGGTTTGCCCCAATATCACGTGGCAGTCCTCAGCATAGTTGTCAACTGTCCCTTATTTGGCGGGAAACTCCCTTATCCCAGGGCCGTTTCCCGCTGCTGTCCCTTATTGATGATATCCCTTAAATTTCCCGGGTTTCAAAGGAAGCAGCTCCTCTCCCTCCCTCCGTGCCGGCCAGGGAGGAGGGAGGCTCCAACTGTGTTGCTTGGCTGCGTTGCTCATCCAATAAGGAGTCTAAGAACAACTGGGGGATGGAGCTTGCATACCTTGTGCCGATCAAATCGGCCGCATTGCCTGGGGACTCGCCTTTGCTCAGCTCTTCCCAGCAGAGAGGTGACAGTAGTTTTCCTTGCTACATCCCCTTTGCTGGGTTGCTGCGCTGTGGGAACCACCGCTTGAGGCTTCGTTTGGCTGCTGGCTGGGCTTTCTGCCTTTGGCTCGGAGGGGCTCAGAAGCTGAACATACCTGTGACCAGAAAATCCCTTATTTTGGCTGCTGATCCCTTATTTTCGAGGCTGCTGGTCCCTTATTTTCAAATCTGTAAGTTGACAGCTATGGTCCTCAGCCCTGATCTGATTTTCTCAACCAGGTAGAAAGAGGATGATCTGAAAATGCAACAGGTGAGATCACATCCTGCTGAGATTTAGGGAAGTTTTTAATGACTGATGTTTTAATCTGTTTTTAATCTTTGTTGGAAGCTGCCCAGAGTGGCTGGGGAAACCCAGCCAGATGGGCAGAGTATAAATAATAAATTATTATTATTATTATTATTATTATTATGGCTTCAGCCATTTCCCCCCTCCTCAGAAGTAGAGGCCCTGATAGAATTATCTACCCTCGGAGGTTAATGGAGGCAGTTGGTTTCCAGACAGAAACTTTGAACATTGAAGTTGTGAACAGTGCAAACCTATGCATATTTATTTATTTAGTAAGCTGTGTTCCATAGAGCTTACTCCCAGGTAAGTGTGCATAGGAAAGCAGCCTAAGTAGCTGTGGTGCATTGGCCCTCCTGCTTTGCCATACAGGAAGTGTCTGAGTCAGCTGTTGGGCACTGTGGTTTCCGCTTCAGTTCAGTGGTGCATGACCTTTTCTCTGTAAACCTCTTGTTATTAAGGTTCTTAGGAACAGGGGAAGCTGCCTTATACCAAGTCAGACTATCGGATCCTCTAGCTAAGTGTTGTTTAGACTTACAGGCAGATTTATCTTGTATCTGTGTTTTAAACAATAATAACAATCCAATATGTTTTTGACTTGCTCTGTCCACTTTGATTTGTAATTTAGATTCCAAGCTACTCTGCATAAAATAAAGCTCTGTGCCTCTGGGTTCACTCTTCTAGGGAATTTAGTTATAATTTGCCCCCCTTTGGGCAGAATTAGATTATTTTTTTTAAGGCACAGGAGCCCCCAGCCCCCCCCCCCCCGAGTGGATTAAACCTCCCAAATGGCAGACATAGGTCCAGGGGTGGTTATGGGGAAAATAAAAGGGATTCACTTTTCTCTGTAATCCATATTATGGAGGGCAACCCCTTCCTTCTTTAGGCCAACTAAAACTCCTAAATTCATATTCGTTTTATGTATTTGAGGGTAGGGGAGCGGTGGGTTGTCTCTTGTACTTTCCTGCCTTAAAATAATTAAGAGGTGACTGAGTGGTGTGTATTCTTGATTGTACATTTTTAAAAAGATTAGCAGCTTCAGATTGGTGTTTTTTGGTGTTGGGAGAAGACATCCTACAATAAACGTTACAAGATGAGGCTGCCCTTTATACGGCCTGCTGGATTCTCTGATGGGTAGCAGGGAGACCTCATTATCTTGCTGTTGGGTAGTATAGCATCACAGGTACTTCCCAGAGTCCGATTGGTGCATTCCATTGGAAATGGTATGTTGAGGAAATGTGGATCTCAACATCAAATATTTGAAACTGTACTTCCCAAAAATTTATTACAAATTGGGTCATTCAGGCCACATATGATATGGTCATGGATTTCATGAAATTGGAAGACATTCTATATTAATGTTTATATTATCCTCAACCTAAAAGACAGGGTAAATAACATTTTAAAAGGCATTGGGGAAAACTGTATATAGTTTATATTTACCAAAGTTAACAGGCATAAATGGACTTGATTTTAACCATGTCAGACTGTTTCTCCACCTAACTCAGTTAGATGGCTTCAACTCTCAAGGCAGAAGTGTTTCACATGACCTGATTCTTTTAACTGGAGGTTCCAGGAATTTAACCTGGAAACTTATACATACAAAAAATGTACTTCCCACTGAACTGTGATTCCTCCCTTCCATAGTCTGTTAGAAAAGAATATAAGATAAAAAATGAAAATAAGGTTATATATTTTTTTTGTTTGAAGATGGCAGCCCAAAGTGAAACAACTGATCGATCAGCTTGATGACAAATCAATTAAATGCACTGCTACAGTGTCAAAGACAACTGAACCAAAGGCATTTAACTTGACAGTCCCTAATCCACGAGCTATTATGGTTCCTGAGCTAATTCCACAAGTAGAAAAAACGAAGCCTGTGAGTGTTGCTTTTTTACCAAAGAAAGTTTGTCTGATTTCTGATAATATCTGAACCCTAAATAAATTAACAGACTCTAAAAGGCAAGCCTCAGTTGAAGAAAGCGCTACGTATTAATTATTGAAGATGAATCCTATAAAAATCTTGTTTTTCTGTAGGGCAGTATCATTGGGCCATTGGGCCTTGCCAGAGCTACCTGCAGCTGTGGTGGACCCCAGTGGGTCTCCCTGTGGCAGACCCTATTGGGCCTCCCTGGGCCATATGTGTACACGCCAGGTGCCCCCAAAGTTGGGCGATACCCAGCACCTATACTTTCTCATAATACTATAATTGGGCCTGGAAGTAGATCCAGAAAAGAAAGTACACCAGATGTGCTGGTGGCCACAGCTTTAAAAGAAGATTAAACAAATCCATGAATGATCATGGAGCTCTCAATGTCTACTTGTCACAATGACTATATGGAAACTGTAGATTCGAAGACAATATGCCACTGAACAGGGTGGATAAAAATCAATGATTATATATATATATATATATATATATATATATATATATAATTTAAATCGGATTTTTTAAAATTTAAATTGGATTTTTAAAATAAAATGCTTTTGAGGGAAAAATCTTTCTAAAGATAGTTATCCATTTAAGTTACATTACAGTCCAAAGGCTATTCATCAGGAAATATGGATTCATTTTAAGTTTTTCATGTGTGCTAAAACTCAGTCTAAGTTTTTAAAAAAATTGTTTAACCACATCAGTTAACAAATATGGATACATATGCTATAATGTTATTGTTTTAGTTCAATAAATTGTTATTAAGGAAATTATTTTTTTTTTCCTTCCAATAAAGCACAGCAGAAAAGTTGTCCAGATATAAACAGTTAACTTATGAAACCTCACAATAATTTCCTAATTATATGTCTATGTATTTCTCATAGTATAACCAAATCAGTAATTTTTGATATAACTGTAAAAACTACTCTGAAAAATTATTATTCCAAAAATGAAACCTTCATCTGGTTGTAAGTATTAAGATGATACCAGCAAGAATGAGTCTTTCTGTAAAAAAATGATTTAAATCAAGTCTTGGTGACTAGTGATTTAAACTGTGATTTAAATAAATTTGATTTAAATCAAATCCACCCTGCCACTGAATACTAGTTGCTGGCAAGCAATGGGAAAGTGGTGCTTACTGTGCTCACGCTTTGCTTGTGGGCTTCCCAGAAGAAATTGGTTAGGCATTGTCAAAAACAGGATGCTGGACTAGATATGCCTTTGGTCTAAATTAGCAGGGGTTTTCTTTAGTTCTAAAGCAAACTGTTGAAATATATGTTATTCAAATCCTTTCATACCTCTTTGTTACCTAGTACTTTCTAATTCTAAATTCTAAATTATTGTTTCTGTGTGCTTAGGTTCCTAAAAGCACTTATAAACCCCAAAAACTGAAGCAGCAGCTAGAAGGAATTAAACTGAAGAATCGTCGCAAAGCAGAGGCAAGTTCAGTATTATCTCTTTATAATCTATTTAGGGCTTGTCCGCACTGCTGCTTGCCCCACCACTTTCCTTCAGGGGAAACTGAACGTCAAGCAGGTTTTCTGTGGATTGACATTTTCTGCAATTCAGCGGTGAAGAGCAGAAAAGAGTGGGGCAGTTGGAAAACCACTTGTGATTCGAGGACCCGACCCCGGCTTGGGAATAATAAAGACACGTGGACACAGTATATAAGGTTAATGGGCTAGAAAAGGACCCAACTTTTTTGATTACAGCATGTGAGAGGTATTGGCTTAGGCATTGGACCAACACTAAATTTTGACTCCACCCACTCGGAGAGGGGTGAGTCTGTCTAGGGTTAACCACCAGTAGGGGGAGCCTGTTGATGCAAACACAACTATAAGCTCTTCCCTGATGTCACCGGGGGTCGTGCCATGGCATCGGACAGGATCCACGACCGCCTGATTCCTTTAATGGAATACCCATAAGTGAAGGGGTAGGCGATGGCCACACCTTGCCCTTCCATACACCATCAACACATTCTATTGCCTAACCGCCAAATACCAAGAAAGTTGTGGCAATTGCTACGAGGTAGGCGAAGAAAACCAAGAGGCCGGTGCCAATTGCCAATTGGAAAAAACTCCTACCAAGCCCCCCAGGCAACCAGGGCGACCAACCATAGGTCCATAGCAAGGTCAAGCGAGAAGCTACGCCCTAAAGGGAGTGGTGGGTGGGTGACTCGAGGAAAATCGGAGCGCAATGGTGGCAACTGGCGCGGCCGCATTTGAGCGGCTAAACCACGCCCCCGCACTGTCACCCTACTGGGTGCCCATCTGGGGGCACGCCGCGCCAGCGACGATGGCAGGGCAAGGGGCAGAACGCCCCCTGCGTAACGCGGGAATCGGCTCCCCGTCACAACCCCTCCCCTCCGGAAGGAGGAGAGGCTTTCCAAAAGTTGCTTGCACGCACAAATAACCATGGATTTGCAATAAAATGATGTCTCAGGGGACCTTTAGACACTCTACTTTGCATCTTCAATGCATCCCAGTCCTCTACCCTGGATGCATTTGATCTACTCTCCCCACAAACTGTTAAACCTTTTCACCCCTAGCTTACCATTAATATCTTCATTGATGTTTTCACACAGCCGAACATCCCTGGAGGAGAACTAAAGTGTTAGCCAACTTCATCCACTTTAACTTCATCTTCTCTTTCTACACCCGCTGCGCCCCCACTGCACAAAATGGGAAAGGGTATCATGTTACTGGAATTATTGTGTCCCCTTTAGGAACTGCTTCTGGAAGCAAATGTTAACCAGTTCTCCTGTGCTGCCCCCAAACCTGGATGTCACTGTGGCGCTGTAAGTAAAATCAGCGTGAATATACATATTCAGTAGTGTGGGAATGAATAATAAGTCTGCCTCCACTATTGGGGTCTTAGGATCAATCATTTTATTGAGATTTCCTTGTTGAGATCATAATATTGAACTGCAGTTTTTGTATTGACTATTAAAACAACACAACTAGTATAGAAGAATGACATACAGTGTAATCCTTACTTGGATTGCAGCTATGAGCCAGGTAGTTCCTACTACACATCTCATTGGGGCCACAAGCTCACTAAGTGGCCTAGGCAAGACATTTCTGCCCCAGCCTCAATCCCACCTCCTTGGCCTGTAAAAGTGGGGGGGAAGGATATAACTCTGGACCACCTTATTGGGTTGTTGCAAACATTGCATAAATAAGGTAACCTATCACACATTCCCCATCCTGTCAAAACCCTAAGTAAGCAAATTGAAGGCTTTCTGGGGGGAGGAAGATGGGGCACTTTGCTTCTCTAGCTACGGTTTCTTTCTTGCCCTTCCTGATCTATCTGCTGCCACATTTTCAAGCTATCATTTAGGCACCAGGCAAAAGCATTTGTTTCCTCCAGGCTTTCAAGAACTGCTGTTGTTACCATTTTAAACTTACCACAGTATGATTTTGCTGTCTGTTAAACATTTGAGTGGGCTTCCAGTGCTTTAGTTCTTTTGAACTTGCTATATTAGTATAGTATAGTATAGTATAGTATAGTATAGTATAGTATAGTATAGTATATTAGTAGCATCAGTGTTATTTTTCTTACTACTCTGTTAGTTACCATAGGGACATAAATTTGTGGAGAATGTGTGCGATAGAACTTACGTAAAATAAATAAATACTGACTTTTCGTGTTCAGAGGCAATATACCACTAAATGAAATAATTATTATATTTATATTATATTATATTTTTAGGGTATAATTCAGACTGTTGCGGAGACCTTTCAAGCTCAGAAGATCCAAGGGGAGGTGAGCAACTTGTTTGATTATGTTATCCTGATGTTCCAACCAGCAGGAAGTAAGAGGTAAAATTTCAGATTTGGTATAAAAGTTAGTAGTTCTGCAATTGAGGGCACACCTCTCTTTAATAATTAAATATCTTAGGTAAGAATCCTGGTTTTAATGATGTTTTCCTTGTCCATCATACCCTTAGCTCAATGTAATACACGGGGGATGCTGAAGTGTTCAGAATACAAATTAAGGTATTACATTAACCATTTGAAGTCCTTAAAAAGTTCTTTAGAATTTTATTGGCTGGTAAGCAGTATAAATATCAGCTGTGGATTCAAACTTTCAGCACCATTTATTAAAGCTTTTCTAAACTGCCTTTATTATGTTTAAATCATTCCAAGATTCGTTATTGCTTTTGTAATTCTTTTTGTATTGCTTTTTGTAATTCTCTATTTATGTGCTAAATTTCCTGGCAGATTGACAACGTACCTGTGAAACTAAACACAACAGCGATCTTAAGAGAAGGTGTCCTTTACCAACGAAAAGTGGAGCAGGAGCTTAATAGGTACTTTTTACTCTCCGTCTGCTTCTGTTTGTGCATATGCATTAACTGAAAGATGTCACAGAATCATAGAATTGTAGAGTTGGATGGTACCTCAAGGGTCATGTAGTCCACACCCCTGTAATTCTGGAATCTCAGCATTGCATTAAAGTGAATTAATCAGTTGTTCGTAATATAATTATTCGCTTCTTTTCCAAACCTTCATGAAAGATTCCAGAAGCCAGCTCATCAGAAGCTTGTTACTTCTTCAGATGATGACAAGGCCAGAGCTCTGCCTGAGCAGAAGGCATACTAAGAATATGCCATACAGTCCTCTACAGTCCAGCCCAAATTTGGGGTGGTGAAGGACTGCAATGCAGGCCTCTTAAATAGTGCTTAACTGGTAATACATTACAAAACAAATCAATATTTCAAATCACTGTACCCCAAGATCACACTGCTGAAATACAATCATTTATTTTCCAAAACAAAATTAAATAGGTATACGCAGCCATGACTTGATAGAAGTTTATATAATTATCTGTATAAAATTATAGAGATAATAGAAAGTTCTCTCTTTCATAGTACAGTATTACGAGTTCCAGACAAATGACATTGACTGACAGTATGTTTATTATTTTTTAATTTCTAACGCTGTATTGTTTTTAATACTTGATTGGGAGCCGCCCAGAGTGGCTGGGGAAACTCAGCCAGATGGGCGGGGTATAAATAATATATTATTATTATTATTATTATTATTATTATTATTATTATTATTAACCGCTTTATATTTTTAATAAAAATCTCAAAGCTTTTTACAGCATATTAAATCAATAAATCAATAAAACATTAGGAACAATAAAACATGAGGCCGGGCCTCATGAGGAGCCTCTTCAGTAGGGCTGGTGAGTGTAGGTTGAGGACAGGCAAAAGGAATGATTTCAAACAATACATGGAATTCACTAGCACAAGATTGGTGATGACCAGGAACCTAGACAGCTTTAAAAAAAGGGATTAGTTAGGGACATTTATGGAGGAAAGCTCTATCAAATATTTGTAGAATAGATACACGTACAGAAGTGGGATACCTGTGGACTAGCTACTGCAGGCAAAGAACATGTGAAGGCAATTGTTCCTGCCCTAGGTAGGAGCCGACCACTGCTGAAAACTGAATGCTTCATTAGATGAATGAAACAAAAACTAACTGAAGCAAAGACTTCATTATTGGACAACAGAGACCTTGTAGCAATTACTGTATTTTTCGCTCCATAACACACACTTTTTTCTTCCTAAAAAGTGAGGGGAAATGTCTGTGCGGCTTACGGAGCAAATGCGTGGTCTGTGGAGCCGAATTGCCCAGGGTCAAAAAACAGATCATGCTTTTTTTTTTTTTTAAAAAAAAGAGGGAAGTGGGTGTGGAAACAAAGCCACTAATCAGCAAGCGATTGGGGAGGGAGATAAGGGATGCTAGCAATAAAGGAGGCTGCCTGGGAGGGGTGAGGTAAAGACAGCAACCTTGCAAAGGGCGGAAACAGGAAGACTAAATCAATGAGGAGAGAAATTAGAAGAAAAGGAGGAGCAAAAAACTGCTCCAGCTAAGGAAAAGACACTAAGGCAAACAAGAGGGAAGGGAGTGTTGAAAGGAAGTAGCTGATTGGTGGGATTGGGAGAGAGATAAGGGACACTAGCGGAGGCTGCCTGGGAGAGGGGCGGTAAAAGCCCATGGATCCTCAGGATTTTTTCATTGGGTCACCCAAATTCTCCATCAGATCACATAGCATGTCCATGGCTATAGCCTGCACCAAAAAAATCAAGCATCCACTGTTTCCTGGGGCTGCAATGGTGCAAAAATGTGGTTACAAAGCAGAGATCCACATGGATCCTCAGGATTTTTCCATTGGGTCACCCCAAATTCACCATCAGATCACATAGCATGTCCATGGCTACTGCCTGCACCCAAAAATATCATACATCTACTGTTTCATTCAGAATATTTTTTCTTCTAAAACTATGTGCGTCTTATGGTCAGGTGCATCTTATGGAGCGAAAAATACGGTACTATACATTTATGAATGGGATTTTTATTTTCACTACTCGTGAACTCTGAGGTAATGTTTTCAGTGAGTTCTTTACCATAGTCCCAAAATCTTCCCAAGGTAGCCACAGACCAGTTCAGGCACCTTGATTTTAAAAATAATTTTTTTGCCTCATTTAAACTCACTTATTATGTTGCTATGTAATGCCACGTTCACCTTGACAGCTCTACTCTGTTCAGTTCCTCAGAGTAGCCTGTTTTCTTTTCCTTACAGGATTGAACAGCTTTTACGAGGGGCTCGGGATCCTTCTGAGTTTCTGGACTGGCAAAAAGAAATGTATGAGAGAGATTTGAACCAAAAGCTGGCAGAAGCAGAATGTAAGAGGCTGCAAGGACAGCTAAGCCACGAGGAGGCCATTCTTGCACGTCAGAATCGCATTCTGGAAAACCATAGAAAAGCTGAGCAGAAGAGGGAAGAGGTACTCTATTACTATACTGTTCATATTTTATCTCGCCACGACTCCTGTGTATGGGTATGTTCAGTGGCAAAATGAGGAAGAGGGTGTGCAGAAGAGGCAAAGTCCACATCGAGAGACAACATCGATTTCAAAAAGGAGTGGGATCCATCTATAAACTACCGTGTTTTTTGCTCTATAAGACTCACCTTTTCCCTCCTAAAAAGTAAAGGGAAATGTGTGTGCGTCTTATGGAGCGAATGCAGGCTGTGCAGCTATACCAGAAGCCAGAACAGCAAGAGGGATGCTGCTTTCACTGCAATTTTTCTTCTTGTTTTCCTCTTCCAAAAACTAGGTGCGTCTGGTGGCCTGGTGTGTCTTATAGAGCGAAAAATATGGTATATAAAAAGACAGTATAAAAATTTGGACCCATTGGCAGGTTTTGACTAAACTTTCACAACTATATAAGAGGTAAAACCAGCAGGTTACAGAATTTGTTTAATAAATCAATATGGAAATACGGGATAAGCCAAATAGGGGGAGGGGAGAAATATGGATATATAAATTGTTCAATTAAGATTTGTAGAAAATTTCTACACCATGTTGGACCAACTTCCTTTATCTGCCGTTTTAATGCTGGTGTCAGTACTGTTTGTGAGGCAGTGGGTGGCACCACACAAGATTAGTTTTACAAGGAGTGCATCTGCCACCATGCCCAATCAATAAAGAGCATATCAATAATCAATATCAATAAAGAGCATCATTTGCCACTCAGCGGCTGCCTTGTAAAACATGATGCAGTCTACAGCCTCAGAAACAATACCGGTATCAGAATTAAAGAAATGGACAAAGGAGATCCAAGAATGTCATCATAAAGTTGTTAGCCTTTAAGGTACAACAGTAATCTTTGCCGATTTTGCTGCAACAGACTAACCCAGGTAATCTTCAGCTAGGTGTAGGAAAATGATTAAAATCAGGTTTGTTTCTTTAGCTGTAGCTCTAGCAATCTCAGGTTTAGGGCTTTCGTTCAGATTTGAAAGAGTAAAGAATGCTTAGCATTTTAAGGTCAAGGAAGCTTGCTTATTTATTTATTTAAGAAATGCATGCTTAAGATTTTTTAAAAAACAAAGCAAGAAGCTTGCATTGTAATTAATTTATCTGGCTTCAATTTTGCTTGGAGTTTAGGAAGCGGAAATGAGCCAACAGATTGCAGAAAGGCGCATTCAGGAAAGGAAGGAAAGGGAAAAAATGGTGCAGCAAGTGGTGGAAGGACGCAAAAATGTGAAGCAAGCCCGAATGAAGCTCCAAAAACAGAAGCACCAAATAGGTACGAGTAGTGCCAAATCCGTATGTCTTTTTAAAAGGTACATTTTCTTCTGATTTGCTCAGCAAAGCATTGCTATAGAGAGAGAGAGATTCAAGTGCTGTGTTATAAATAGCTATTGAAAAGCTCCTGTTGAGAGATATACGAAATCCTGAGAAATTCCACCGATAAATATGTCTGCACAGAATTTGAGAGCCAAGTGACAAATTTGCTTTTGTTGAAGGATTAACCTAAAATATGCTTACTGTGTGTAGGCTGGCATGGGAAACATGATGGCTTGCTTGTCCTGATTTGCCAAGACCTTGTGACTTTGCAGATTAGTATAGCATCCTTTCTATAGTTTCCTTCCAGTGCTTTGTCCTTGCCCCCTGTGAGGCAGCCATGTGCCTCCACCTTCCCTCATACTTCTAATATTGATTGATTGAATTTATATACCACCCTATACCTGGAGATCTCAGGGCAATTCACAAAAAAGGTCACAATATATAAAACCAGAATAATAACAGTCCTATAACACCCCCCCCAAAAAAAACCAGTCACATTTTAAAGGGTATAGGATGTTGATTAGGTCAGCCAAATGCCTGGTTAAAAAGGAACGTTTTTGCCTGGTGCCTAAAGGTGTATAATGAAGGTGCCAGGCGAACTTCCCTGGGGAGAGCATGCCACAGGCGGGGAGCCACTGCAGAGAAGGCCCTGTTCTCGTGTTGCCACCCTCCAGACCTCTCAAGGAGGAGGCACACAAAAAAGGGCCTCAGAAGATGATCTCAGGGTCCAGGCAGGTTCATATGGAAAGAGGTGTTCTGTTTGTTTCGCCTCCATTTTCTTGGATCCCTTGCTTCCCACAGCTATTTCTGACTCTTTCCCCCTTGATGCGTGTGTCTCACACACATACAAAGTCTTTACCTTTCTTTCCACTCCTCCTCTTCTCTGTCTTTTCCATGGCGCCTGCAAGCAAGGACGAGCTAAATGGGTGGGTGCCAACCAAGGCACTACAATATCTGCTTCTAGTGAAGCCATGCCTAAAACCATCTTCAGCAAGGCCACTGCTCCTCAGCTGCCCACTCTGAATACCCCCAGGGGCTTCTCTTGGATCTTAGCATGTATTGCCCAGCATTGGAAGAGTAAGTCCATCCTGCCATGGACGTTCCCAAATGATTCATCTCTTGGCTGCAAGATGCAGTTATGGGGAGAGCAGGAGAGCAAAGGAGACATCCTCATCCGCTCCCAGCCACAGCTTGGACCAGATTCCATGTATCTGAAAGCAGAAGACATCAGGGTTTTGAGCCGCCGAGACGACGTAACACCGGTCTTGAAAGACCTACATTGGCTCCCAGTACGTTTCCGAGCGCAATTCAAAGTGTTGGTGTTGACCTTTAAAGCCCTAAACGGCCTCGGCCCAGTATACCTGAAGGAGCGTCTCCACCCCCATTGTTCTGTCCGGACGCTGAGGTCCAGCGCCGAGGGCCTTCTGGCGGTTCCCTCATTGCGAGAAGCAAAGCTACAGGGAACCAGGCAGAGGGCCTTCTCGGTGGTGGCGCCCGCCCTGTGGAACGCCCTCCCACCAGATGTCAAAGCGATAAACAACTACCTGACATTCAGAAGACATCTTAAGGCAGAAGACATCTTAAGTTTTTAATGAGTGACATTTTAGTGTATTTTTGGTCTCTGTGGAAGCTGCCCAGAGTGGCTGGGGAAACCTAGCCAGATGGGCGGGGTACAAATAATAAATTATTATTATTATTATTATTATTATTATTATTATTATTTGAGCCCACTACTCACGTTGTTCTGCGTTTACCCCTGCCTCCACATTTGGTGCAGCGTTCATTTTCTCTAGAGAATAGCTCTTCAACCACAGGGCCAGGCAGCTGTTGCTGCCATGCTGGACTCCAGTCAAGGCTGACCAGACCAAAGGGACGCTATTTGAAGTGTTTGGGCAAGGATGTGTTCTTCTGATGAGACACACATTTGATGAATTTCTCTGCTGTCGTAGAGCCTCTTTCAATTAGATGCCTGCTTCTTGCCTTTAGTGAGAGAGCTCTCTTTTGAGCAGGGGCAGTCTTTTTCTCCCTTCTTTTTTTGCTTTCTATGCTCCTTCTGTAGCTTTCTAGATTTCTCCTGGAATGGAAGTATGCTGGAGACTAAAATGCAGACGTTGTTGACATTTCCATTCCACCTTAAGGAACAGGCATGCTTGCAACTCTCTGAAGCTAACAAAGCCAAACAGGATCTGTTGTCTTGATACACCTGTATAGGACATTGCACAGTAACCCTGACGTCCTTAAACAGTTGCATCAACCATTCACAATCCATTAGTGAATATGACAGTGCATTGAGTTCAGCTTCACAAGAACTTAGGTTAACTGTGGTTTGCCTCTTGCACAACCAGTCAAACAGACACTGGTTGTACATGCAGCTCTCCCCGGATGTGCTTGTGCCATCTTTGGTGTCACTGCCAAAACTTGCATCTGCAAAGATTTCAAGACCTCCAGACTCCTGACCAGTGAATCTGAGTCTGTATGTAGTGCATAGTACCTTTGAGATAACGTGCTCGAGAGCTTTCCAATCTTTAACAGTAGGATTGTTAGCACAGCTGCAGTGTGTAGTCTGTTTGCCATCATGGCAGCAGCTGGGGACCCAGGAAGAAATGGTAGGAGTCTGGCGGCTGCAGGAGCCAGGAGGTGGGAGTTGGAGGGAGCAGGGATGCCATATCACCCTCACGCTGCTCCCTGCAATCTGAAACAGGGCTGGGGTAGGGGGAAAGGTTCTTGGTGGCCAGAGAGGGGGATCCATTCACAGGTCTCTGTACAGTTGCCAAGTTCCTAAGGCCTCAGGTGCCTCTGCTACCATTTCCCTATTCTCTGCTTCACATATTCCCTCCTCAGTTTCAGGGTCTTTGCTCAGTCCATTTGCACAATAGCATGCTGCTCCTTAGCTCCTGTTCTGCTGAGCTGCAAAGGAAGAATGTTGTGCAGAGCTCTCTCTCTCTCTCTCTCTCTCTCTCTTTCTTTCTCTCTGCTGGGGTAAAAATGCAGCATCTGCAACTAACATTACCAAAGTTTGGGATTTTGATCAGTAAAAAGATTACCTGGAATGGCAAGCGAAGCTGTCACCTGTCTGCTGCCATTTGAAACCACCTGTCTTTGTGAGCAAGGCGTCTCAGCAATGGTGACCTTCCAAACCAAACAGCTTAGCGCTAGGAAATGAGTCGCGAGTTAGCCTTTCTGTAATATCACTCCTCACTGGAATGAAATCTGGAAGAGCAAACATGCCCAGGTGTCCCATGGAAATTGTGAGTGAGACTTCTTTTTTTTATATATAAAAAAAGCTTTTGTTTTGCAGTAATGCTAAGGTAACAGCCATGTATATTGCTCCGTGAATTGTCATTTTAGGATTAATAACGTGCATTATAAATCAAACATGGAAGTGGTTCCCATGTTGCAGGTGGAGAGTCAGAGGGAGTCTGTTCTGTGCCACTTGCAGATCGCTTCTCTAGGGCTTAAAGTACAGTATCATCTCTGACCACCAGAGGCCCACACGGGAAGTTAGTGGTTTTCCTTCTGCTAATCACGAAACCTCCTTCAGTACAGTACATTACATCACAGTAGGCTTTCCTTCCCTTCTCTAAAAAGTCGATTTCTAACTTCAAAGAGGCTTTGCTGACTGACATTCCCAGGAAGCTGCAGCGTAAAATGGATATAAGCACAGAAAGAGATCTAGTCTACCTTCTTCCTCCTTCCCAAAGACGCCCCTCTCCATATCACTGTAGCAAAGGGAATGGGAAGAAAAAGTTAAAACATCAACAACAACCCTGTGCAATGCGCCTTTGGGCTGAACTCCCAGTTGTTCACTCTTCTGAGGCATCTGGATATGATTTTCCCAATACATTTTCCTTTTTTTTTTTTTTATAAAATATTTATTGGTTTTACAAGAAAAATTTCCAAAAAAGGAATACAAAATACAAAATTACAAAGATTCAACAAACAAAAAACAACAATAACCATGACAAAAAACAAACAGAAATAACCGTATCCATAACAAAAAAGAATAAGGAAAAAAAGAAAAAGAGACAAAAAAAATTCAAAGAATATTATATTTTCATTTATCCTTCTTATCTTTACCTGGTTCTTTGACTTCCCCGCACCTCCCCGCTTGTATTTCCATTTAAGAACTCCTTTCAGCAAATCCTTACCCTCCTTTCATTATCTTAACTCAGAAAACTTAATCTATTTATATATAAATATTTTTACAACCTTATCAGTCAAATATTCCATACTCTTAATCCCAAGGCTTTTGCCAATACCAGTTATTTTCAATCAAACTTCAATTTAACATTCATTAATTTTATAGTATTTCTGTAGATAGACTTTAAATTTCTTCCAATCTTCTTCCACCGACTCTTCTCCCTGGTCACGGATTCTGCCAGTCATCTCCGCCAGTTCCATATATTCGATTACCTTCATCTGCCATTCTTCCAGAGTGGGTAAGTCCTGTGTCTTCCAATACTTTGCGATGAGTATTCTTGCTGCTGCTGTTGCATACATAAAGAAAATTCTATCTTTCTTTGGCACCAATTGGCCAACAATGCCCAAGAGGAAGGCCTCTGGTTTCTTTAAGAAGGTATACTTAAATACCTTTTTCAACTCATTATATATCATTTCCCAGAAGGCCTTAATCTTTGGGCACGTCCACCAAAGGTGAAAGAATGTACCTTCAGTTTCCTTACATTTCCAACATTTATTATCGGGCAAATGGTAGATTTTTGCAAGCTTAACTGGGGTCATGTACCACCTGTACACCATTTTCATAATATTCTCTTTTAAAGCATTACATGCTGTGAACTTCGTACCTGTGGTCCATAACCATTCCCAGTCAGCAAACATAATGTTATGTCCAATATCCTGTGCCCATTTAATCATAGCAGATTTTACCGTTTCATCCTGAGTATTCCATTTTAGCAGCAAGTTATACATTCTTGAAAGTGTTTTAGTTTTGGGATCTAGCAATTCTGTTTCCAACTTTGATTTTTCCACCTGGAAGCCAATTTTTCTATCCAAATTATAGACCTCTCTTATTTGGTAATAATGCAACCAGTCTCGCACTCTATCTTTTAATTTTTCAAAACTCTGCAGTTTGAATTTGTCTCCTTCTTGTTCCAAGATCTCCCAATATTTTGGCCATTTGGCCTCCATATTGGACTTTTTTAGGGCCTTTGCCTCCATTGGTGATAACCACCTTGGGGTTTTATTCTCCAATAAGTCTTTGTATCTTATCCAGACATTGAACAATGCTTTCCTGACAATATGGTTTTTAAACATTTTGTGAGCTTTAACCTTGTCATACCACAGATATGCATGCCACCCAAACACATTATTGAAACCTTCTAAGTCCAATACATCAGTATTTTCCAGAAGTAGCCAATCCTTCAACCAGCAGAAAGCTGCTGATTCATAATAGAGTTTAAAGTCTGGCAGGGCAAATCCCCTCTTTCTTTAGCATCAGTCAATATTTTAAATTTTATCCTAGGCCTCTTGCCCTGCCAGACAAACTTAGAAATATCTCTCTGCCACTTCTTAAAACAGTCCATTTTGTCTATTATTTGTATCGATTGAAACAAAAACAACATTCTTGGCAATACATTCATCTTGATGACAGCAATTCGCCCTAACAAGGAAAGCTTCAAATTTGTCCATATTTCTAAATCCTTTTTAATGTCCGACCAACATTTTTCATAATTGTCTTTAAATAAATTCCCGTTTTTAGCTGTCATGTGAATCCCCAGATATTTCACTTTTTTTACCACTGTTAAACCTGTCTCATTCTGAAACCTCTCTTTTTCAATCGGTGTTAAATTCTTCTCAAGTACTTTAGTTTTAAGCTTATTCAACTTAAAACCTGCCACCTGACCAAAGTCTTGAATCAGTTCTAATGCTCTTTTCGTACTAGATTCTGGCTCCTGTAATGTCAATACAAGGTCATCTGCAAATGCTTTCAATTTATATTGTTTCGCTCCGACCGTTATGCCCTTAATCAGATGGTCCCTTCTTATCATATTTAACAAAACCTCCAGAACAGAAATAAAAAGTAATGGGGAAATTGGGCAGCCTTGTCGTGTCCCTTTCTCTATCTTAATTTCCTCTGTTATCACATTATTAACTATTAATTTAGCTTTTTGTTCTGAGTAAATTGCATTTATACCATTTTCAAACTCTTGGCCTACCCCCATCCCCTGAAGATTTTTTTCATAAAGCTCCAAGAAATATTGTCAAAGGCTTTCTCTGCATCCACAAAAATCAAAACTGCTTTAGTATTGATCTCCTCTTGCAGCTTCTCCAGAATATCAATTATGTTCCTTGTGTTGTCCGAGAGATGTCTATCTGGAAGAAAGCCAGCTTGGTCCTTGTGAATCACTTCTTTTAGCACTTTTTTAAGCCTTTTTGCTAAAATGTCAGCAAAAATTTTGTAATCCACATTTAACAGGGATATGGGCCGGTAGTTCTTAAGCTGTGTCTTTTCAGTCTCGGCCTTTGGTATAAGTGTAATAAATGCATCTTTCCACGACTCTGGCGCTCTTTTCCCCTCTAAGATTTCATTACAAACCTCAGTTAAAGGTCGAATTAACCAGTCTTTCAAAGTTCTGTAATATTTTGAGGTTAAACCATCCGGTCCTGGAGATTTTCCCAACTGCATATTCTGAATGGCACCTTCAACCTCCTGTTCTGTGATTTTATAGTTCAACAATATCTTATTGTCCTGAGAAATTTTTGTAATCCATTGGTTTTCAAAAATTGCTCTATCTCAAATTCTTTCTGAGGCCCTTGTGTGTATAGTCGTTTAAAATATCTCTGGAAGCATTTCCTAATTTCTTCTGGATTCTGGATATTTTTCCCTTCCACTTCCAAATTAGTAATAGTATTAAGTTTTTGTCGCTTCTTCAACTGCCAAGCCAGCAGTTTCCCACATTTATTTGCCGATTCAAAAGTCTTTTGTCTCATTTGCTTGATTTTCCATTCCACTTCTTGATTTATCAATTTCATATATTGCACTTGGTACAATTTTATTTCCCTCAGAATCTCTTGTGAATTGGGCTTCACTCTCAATTTCTTCTCGCCCTCCTTTATTTTTTCCAAAATTTTCTCTTTCTTTGCGTTTTGGGCCTTCTTCTTAATTGAATTCTGTTGAATCAGGAAGCCCCTCATAACAGCTTTGCTTGCATCCCAGATTACTCTTTTTCTACAGTTGTATTCAAGTTTATCTCAAAATAGTCCCTCAATGTCTTTTGGGCCTTCTTAATCACCTCTTGATCTCTAAACAAGGTGTCATTCATCCTCCATCGGAAGGAACCGATAGATGTTAACTTCATCTCCATTCTCACGGCGTTATGGTCGGAGCATGTTTTTGGGCAGATCTCTACCTTCTTAACCTTGGGTGCCAGTCCTCTAGTAGTCCAGATTTGGTCAATTCTTGTCCATGTCTTCTGGGCTTCAGAAAAAAAGGTTCCTTCTCTATCAAGGGGGTTCTTAGTTCTCCAAATGTCAATCAAATCCATATTGTCAGTTAGTTCAAAAATGTTTTCGGTAGTCTACCATCTTTAGTAACTACCTCTCTTTGTGACTTGTCCATATTTGTAGAAACCACCCCATTCATATCTCCCATGAAAACAGTATTATAGTCCATATAGTCCATCAAGGTCTCATGCAACTTTTTGTAGAATATAGATTTCCCCTCATTTGGTGCATATACACCTACTATCAAAAATTTTTCTCCTTGTACTTGAATTTCAATTGCTATAAATCTTCCTTGTTCATCCTTAAAGACAAATTTTGGTGAGAGGCTCTCCTTTGCGTAAATTACCACTCCTCGTTTTTTAACTTTGTCTGATGAGATAAATTCTTGGCCCAGTCTCTTATTAATCAATATTTTCCTATGGAGCCTCGTCACATGGGTTTCCTGTAAGCAAATTAAGTCCAATTGTTCTTTTAAGTATATGAAATACTTTCCTTCTTTTTCCGGAGAATTCAGACCACAAACATTCCAAGTTAAAAGTTGCAGAGCCATGATGATTTCTTTATTTCCCTCCAACTGCTCCCAATAACTCTTCTTCCTCTGTTGGTGGTTTCGGCTTCTCTGTCTTATCCTCTCCCAACGGTGGTAATGTAAGATCCAATCCTATTGAAGGGGCTTCTGGCTCCAATCCTTTTTGCAGGTCTTCTTGGTAGTCTCTCAAAAAGTTCTGTTTCTCCTCCACAGATTTAATTTTAATTTTTTTGCCTCTAAAACTGAAAGATAGGCCTTGAGGGAACTCCCACCTGAAAAAAATTCTGTTTCCTCTCAGCAACGTCACCAGGTCTCGATAGTTAGACCTAAGCTCCAAAAGAAGCTTTGGAATGTCTTTAAATATTTCTATCCTTGAGTCTTGTATTGTCAGTGTATTTTGATAATGTAGGCTCAAAATTTTATCTCGTTCCTCTTTTGATCGCAGGGTAATCAGGCAGTCTCTCACTCTATTTTTCCTTGCTCTTCTTCCGAGCCTAAAAGCAGACGTTATCTTGAAATCTTCCTTATCATTCAATTGCCAAAAGTTGGCAAATTCTTGCGTCAGAAAGTCTGCCAGGCTCTCTTTTTCAATCTCAGGTACTGCTCTGATCCTTAAGTTGGTCTGTTTCTCCTTTAACTCCAGAAGAGATAACAATTCCTGGTGCGTTCCCAATCTTATGTGGTGCTCTTGAACTTGTTTAATTAAAGGTGGTAGTTTTTCTTCAGCAGCTACCGCCTTTTCTCTGGCTTCCAAAGCTGTTTTTGAGTTTCAGCAGATTGTTCCAGTAGTTTTTAATCACATCTGTATTTTCATTAGTCTGTCGGGTCAACTTGTCAATACTTGCAGAGTTTTGTCTAATGGCTTCTAGAGCCTCGGCATTTTGTTGACCCAATTTTTCAAAACCTTCATTCACAATTTTAAATAAACTGGCCAATCCTTCTTCCTCCCCTTGTGGTCCAGCTATGGATTGCCTACGCTGTTGCTGTTGTGCAATGTTGCTCTGCTGCCTGCCTTTCCCAGACCTCAGATCTCTTCCTTCCATGGCACTTTATCTAAAAGTCAAGGTCACTCTCACAGTCAAAATTGTTTGTTATTGTACTTTCCCAGGCTGCTGTTAGGTGGAAAATTCCTCAGTCAATTAAAGGCTTTTTCCCTTTTGGCCTCCAGGGGACACAAGTAATAAAGTATCAAAAATAAAGACTCTCAAACAGCCAAAGAGGCAACTTTTTCCCAAAGTTGTAAAACTGTCCCAAAGTTTCAATTTTGTAAAGTTAAAAGGCAAAAAGATACATTGTCCATTTAGAGTGCTAACAAAGTGTCCAATCTTCCAAAGCCTGGCAGTCTGTCCCCAGGGATTGAGAGGTGGTCTTTTATTTTCTTATTTGCTCTTTAAGTTACTCAGAAATAACAGTAAATTAAGTCTTTAAGTTACTCAGAAATAACAATAAATAAAAGAAATACTTTCTCTTCTTCCCCCTAATCCAATTATGGGGGAAATTTACATTAGAAATCTGTGTTTCAGTCTTTTTGGCATTCATTGGTATCGAACTCACACAGTCTTTGCTTTATTCTCTGTACAGACCGGGAGGTGGACTTCCTTTTACACCATTCCCGCTTCAGCCGAATAAATTCAAAAATTTTTGTTAATCCTTATAGCGTGAAACCTACTCACGGGTTGTACTTTTGACAGCCGAATTGTCAAGGAAGAAAGGTCAGCGCTCTCCAGCAACAGCTGCACGGCTTCACTCCGCGAAAGTAGCAGACGACTCACAGTGCCGCGCTACCCCCGTCCTGCTTCGGAGCCCCTCGCGAGGTTCCTTTGCCGTTCAGGGGCGCGCTCCAGGCACCCGCCGAGTCCCACGACCGCAGGCTTCCTCCGCCTGCGGGTTTCGGAAGGGTCTCCGCTGCGCCGTAGCGGATCGACCCAGTTTCCGCGGAGCCTCTCCTCAAGAGTTATGAGGAGATCGCCATTACTGTTGGCGCCGCCTCCGGAAGTCTGTTTGCCATCATGGCAGCAGCTGGGGACCCAGGAGGAAATGGTAGGAGTCTGGCGGCTGCAGGAGCCAGGAGGTGGGAGTTGGAGGGAGCAGGGATGCCATATCACCCTCACGCTGCTCCCTGCAATCTGAAACAGGGCTGGGGTAGGGGGAAGGTTCTTGGTGGCCAGAGAGGGGGATCCATTCACAGGTCTCTGTACAGTTGCCAAGTTCCTAAGGCCTCAGGTGCCTCTGCTACCATTTCCCTGTTCTCTGCTTCACATATTCCCTCCTCAGTTTCAGGGTCTTTGCTCAGTCCATTTGCCCAGCTGCACAATAGCATGCTGCTCCTTAGCTCCTGTTCTGCTGAGCTGCAAAGGAAGAATGTTGTGCAGAGCTCGCGCGCTCTCTCTTTTTCTCTCTGTTGGGGTAAAAATGCAGCATCTGCAACTAACATTACCAAAGTTTGGGATTTTGATCAGTAAAAAGATTACCTGGAATGGCAAGCGAAGCTGTCACCTGTCTGCTGCCATTTGAAACCGCCTGTCTTTGTGAGCAAGGCGTCTCAGCAATGGTGACCTTCCAAACCAAACAGCTTAGCGCTAGGAAATGAGTCGCGAGTTAGCCTTTCTGTAATATCACTCCTCACTGGAATGAAATCTGGAAGAGCAAACATGCCCAGGTGTCCCAGGAGTGAGACTTCTTTTTTTTTTTTTTTTTTAAAGCTTTTGTTTTGCAGTAATGCTAAGGTAACAGCCATGTATATTGCTCCGTGAATTGTCATTTTAGGATTAATAACGTGCATTATAAATCAAACATGGAAGTGGTTCCCATGTTGCAGGTGGAGAGTCAGAGGGAGTCTGTTCTGTGCCACTTGCAGATCGCTTCTCTAGGGCTTAAAAAGTACAGTATCATCTCTGACCACCAGAGGCCCACACGGGAAGTTAGTGGTTTTCCTTCTGCTAATCACGAAACCTCCTTCAGTACAGTACATTACATCACAGTAGGCTTTCCTTCCCTTCTCTAAAAAGTCGATTTCTAACTTCAAAGAGGCTTTGCTGACTGACATTCCCAGGAAGCTGCAGCGTAAAATGGATATAAGCACAGAAAGAGATCTAGTCTACCTTCTTCCTCCTTCCCAAAGACGCCCCTCTCCATATCACTGTAGCAAAGGGAATGGGAAGAAAAAGTTAAAACATCAACAACAACCCTGTGCAATGCGCCTTTGGGCTGAACTCCCAGTTGTTCACTCTTCTGAGGCATCTGGATATGATTTTCCCAATACATTTTCCTTGGCTAAAGGGCTTCACCCTCCTAGGATCCAGAGTCGCCAAAACTCAGTCATACCTCCCAAACAAGCCTTTCACCTCTTTCTCCAGGCAAAACAACCCCCAGTTTTAGTGACATCTGAGGGAGGGGGAGCACCTTCAACACATCTATTATTAGTTTATCCCATAAAATTTATACAGTGGACCCTCGGGTTATGTACCTCTCTGGATACGTAATCTTTGGGTTGTGAAAGCGGCAAACCCGAAAGTATTTTCCCGGGTTTTGCCGCTCGCACATGCGCAGAAGCGCTCTGCGTGCATGCACAGAAGCGGCGCCTCTGGTTACGGATATTTCAGGGTGCACACGCACTCCCAGAACAAATTAAATCCGCATCCAGAGGGTCCACTGTATAATGCTTGATTGTATGTATGTATGTATAAATAAAAAAATAATCAATCAATCTCCCAAGTGTTTTACAAAATGTAGAGAGGTCACATATTTGCTAGGGTCTATCTCTAATTTGCAGGTAATAAATAAATAAAAAGTTGGATCTCTGTGACTCAGTAGATCCTTCCGTTGGCAGACAAATAATGCACAACGTTCTGTCTCCTCAGTGAAGAAGAGCCCTGCACACAGCATTTCTGTAGCTCCAATAAGTCCCGTCATGTGGATGCCTCAGCCAGCCTAGGAATGAAATACTGATGCACTTACATTGAATGGGGCTTCTGGGCTGGCAGAGTGAGCCATCCCTTCTCCCACTTCTAGTTGCACTCTTCATGCCTCGGTCTCATGAGTTTCCCCCCTTAAAAAAATAGTTTTATTGAATATTTTCTTGTGTAATAAAAAAGCACATCCACTTTCAATTCATAGAGTCGTTTTCACAGTTTACAAGCGGTAGGAGACACTGTTGTCATAGACATTACACAGTTGGGGGAAAAGATAGGAGAGAGATGGGGTGTGTGGTGCTATTTTGTTCTATTGCATAATGTTTGTGCAGTGGTTTTGTGTCGGTGTCAGTCGAGAAGGTCCTTTGTTTATATATTTATTTTTGTTGGCAGTGCGAGAGATTAGAGGATGCCGAGCTTGGTTGGTTGAGTTCAGGTGGTTGCTGTGGGGTTTGTTTGTATGCGGGATGGGGTGTTGGGTCAGATTAGCCATATCGGTTTGTATGCTGTTGGCGGGGATATGTCATTGCTTTGTTGTGCTGCATATGTGATAAAGGGGAGCCACACCGGGGTAAAGACATATGCCTCAGTCTCACGAGTTGAAGGGGAGGAAGCCACTGTAGGGGTTGGTCTGTTCTGTGGATTTTTCTTTCTTTCTTTGTCATCCTTCTGAATCCGACTTAGTCAGAGCTTTGTCACATACAAAAACTGGGCAAAGGTAAAGGACCCCTGGACGGTTAAGTCCAGTCAAAGGCGACTATGGGGTTGCAGCACTCATCTCACTTTCAAGCCGAGGGAGCTGGCGTTTGTCCACAGACAGCTTTCTTGGTCATGTGGCCAGCAGGACTAAACCACTTCTGGCGCAACAGGACACCATGACGGAAACCAGAGCACATGGAAATGCCGTTTACCTTCCCGCCGCAGCGGGGTGTATTTATCTACACACACAGGCATGCTTTCAAACTGCTAGGTTGGCAGGAGCTGGGACAGAGCAACGGGAGCTCACCCCGTCGCGGGTATTCGAACCGCCAACCTTCTGATCGGCAAGCCCAAGAGGCGCAGTGGTTTAGACCACAACTGGAGGGAAAGTGGAAGAAGGATGCTAAATTAATCTGCAAAATCACATGGCCGCTGCCCAGGTGAATCAGGACAAATAACTCATCATGTGGGTGCTTTGCTGTGCGAGCTCAGAAGGCTCATTCATGGTAAGCAAGTCAATGGGCCATTCCCTGTGCAAAGCATGCAACTCCTATGTCACTTTCAGAGTTTACAGGATATAATACAGCACTAGCTTTGAGACAATGAATAATTGAGTCTCCAAGCTGGTGAGCTACCAAGGAATTTTTGAAAGCCAGAATCCCATGAATTGTCCAGCTATATTTTGCTTGAAGATTGGAGGTAGGGGCCTCAAAATGGGTTCGGGAGCCTTGTTGGGTCCAGAGATTCCCATAACACTTAAAGGTCTCACGGGGCCAGCCCAAATACTTTTTGCAAATTTTGGTAATTGTGTCATTAGAAAACTCCAGAAGCTAGAGGTCTCTGGATAAGCAAGGGTAGAGGGGAATACCATATTTTTTGCTCTATAAGACTCACTTTTTCCCTCCTAAAAAGGGGAAATTTGTGTGCGTCTTATGGAGCGAATGCAGGCTGCGCAGCTATCCCAGAAGCCAGAATAGGAAGAAGGATTGCTGCTTTCACTGCGCAGCGATCCCTCTTGCTGTTCTGGCTTCTGAGATTCAGAATCATTTTTTTCTTGTTTTCCTCCTCCAAAAACTAGGTGCGTCTTGTGGTCTGGTGCATCTTATAGAGTGAAAAATACGGTATATCCCTGTAAGTCTACACTGATAGAATCAATAAGCACAGACTCCTAAACAGGGTAGATTTTTGGTATGATTGCCTGAAAGATCACCATGTGTTCTGCTTACTGAGAACCCCAAATCCAATTCAAATTCCGGTCTTGACAGAATTGGACAGCATCCCAACTTACATTACTAATCCACTCTACTTAACCTTATGCACTGCTATGGAGACTGCACATCTTTCCTACCATTTACAGCGCAGGAAGTTGCTGAAGAAAGCCAGGAAATCCTACTTCAGAGTTTGAAAGAAGAAGAAGAGAGATTCAAGAAAAGATATGAACTGATTCAACAAATAAGAGCAATAGAGTATCTGCCTTTAATGAAGCAAAAATTTGTTGACTTAACCCAGGTGAGTTCATTAAGACAGATTACAAAAGTGCCTGTGTGCATTTATTTGTTACTTTCCCATCCAAGGTTCTCAGTCCAGCACCTGATTTTACAGCTCCTTTGTGAGATAGATTAGGATGAACGAGAGTGGCCTTCTTGGAAATCTCCAGCCATAGGTTGCTAGGGCTTGACTCCCTTAGAGCAACTTCTGGTCAGTGCAATAACTAGCCATTTCTGTACCCAGTCATAGCTCTCCATTCCAACTCAAACCTCAAATAATTTTCTAATGAAGTCAGAGTTGTGTGTCAATTAATGTGCAGGCGACTCCCCACTTACAGGGGGATTACATTCCGGGCCGCTGTGTGCGTAAGCAAAATGTGTGTAAGGGGGATCCTTGTCAGAGCAGGGAACTAGGGAAATTTCTTCTGCAACAAAACATTCAGAGCTCTTCACAACCCTCCATAACCAAAAGCAACCCATACTCTTACCTGTGCCTCCAGAGCACCAGAAATGGCAGGGAACAGCACGCCCGATTTTGCTGCATTACAGGTTCCCTGCCCAACAGTGTGGTAGCAGTGAGAGCTTCCACATGCCATCTTGAAACCCATACATTATTTTTTTAAAGCCTTTTTGGGCTCCGGGAAGGGGTTTCTCACAAGCCACGAGGACTTCCAGCTCTCTCCTGCCATTTCTAGGTTTGAATTGAAATCAATTGGTTGATTCATTGATTGATTTTCTGGCGCGAGTTGATCATGCATAATTGGAGGGACGCTTGTATAATAAAAAAAGATAGAATTTGCCGGTTTCTCTTCTCTCTAGACTCCTAACCATGGTGTTCTTGGTGAGATGTCCATAGTAGAACTGCAGGAACGCTTAGCCTTACTGAAACAAGCTCAGAAGAAGGCCGAAGAGGAGAAGAGGGATCAGATAATCCAAGAAAAATATGCGAAGGAACAGCTTCTTTTGGACAAACTTGAGCAGATCTCCATGTTCAGAGACCAATTTGGAAGAGCAGCTGCGCTGAAGTTAGTTTGAAGAACTGTAGCATTTATAATACCTAATTGTGGATTATGTATTTACAGAAACAAAACAAATAATTGCTCTTCAAGTTAATAGATAGGAAATAGCTGTATTCTGTGACGGATTTCAGAAGTTTAATACTGCTTTTTAGTAGTATTCACAAGTTGAGGGGTCCAGCAGCTAACATGAGTAAATTTTGACATTTAATAGTAAATCTGAATTCTTTGTGCTCTCACTCGATGACCAGAATCACATTTCAGAGGTAAAGGACCTTGCATGTGGGGGAAATGTCAAAAACAAGTCTTAGGAGTAGATTATTCTGTCATTCACCCTTTCAGAACAAGAACCACTAAATGCCTTCAAAACAAAACACAAAAGCCAGGGTGTGTCCTTACAGGGTGGACTGAAATGATGATTTGGGTAATTTTAAAAATTTCATTCTATAATGTATATAAATCAGAGAGAACAATTATAACAGATGCCAATTAAAAGATGAAAACAAAACCATTGACTAGGCACGTAGAATAAGTAGTTACACCGTATTTTTCGCTCCATAGGGCGCACCGGACCATAGTGCGCACCTAGTTTTGGGAGGAGGAAAACAAGAAAAAAATGTTCTGAATCCCAGAAGCCAGAACAGCAAGAGGGATCTGGTTTCTGGGATACCGTGTGGCTGTTCTGGCTTCTGGGATAACCGCGCCAAGACTCTTCAGGGCAGCGGGATGAAGGCTCCCCCTGCCCAAAGAGGCTGCGCACGGCTAAGGCAGAAGCCAGGACAGGCATCTTCTGTTCCTCCTCCGGCTTCCAGGTCAGGCGCGTCGCCGCAATGCCGGAGGAGGAACAGAAGGAGTCCCATCTGTTCCTCCTCTGGCTTCGCATGATAGGCGCGTCACTGATAGCCACCTGAAGCCTTTGGAGCGCAGTGGGAACGCTTGGGTTTTTCCGTCTTGCACTCTTTCACAAATCACCTGGCTCCTGCAAAAGCTCAGGACCAAAAAACAAGCATCTTTGAATTTTGGTCAGTGGGATTTTGGAGAGTGTGACATATGAGTTAAGTAGCAATGTCCAAGCCATTAAAGCAAAAAGCAAAAATAAAAGTTTTCTTCATATAAAGAAATAATATTAGTGCGGTTTTATTGTCAAGTATAGTTCCAAATTTGCCATGCTTGTGATGATGGTTGTCTTAAAATGATGCTTCTACTGTATATGTAATGAAGGAATGACAAACCATATAACAAGTGTCCAGAGGCTCTAGTCGTCGTCAAAATATGCATAATTTTCTCCATCATAGCTATACTCCATCTTGAATGGTACTGTGTCCAATGTAAGATTTTGGGCTGTTTCCCATTGAGTTGCAATTAATACAGTATGTGAGCTGCCAGGACCATACATGAGGCCAATTCTCAATTCTCATTTTTATATATCTACCTTTGTATCATGAAGAATATTCCATAACTGTAATTTTGGACAATAGTTTATTTAGTAATATTTATCATTTCTGCCAAAATTAAATTCCAGAAATCTTGTACCAATGTGCATTGTCACCAGAAATGATAAGCACCAAATTTATTGCAGCTCCCCCAAGAATTAGGTGACAGAGAAGAAAACATTTTGGGCATTTGCAAGGTAATGCGATACCATCTGTGTAGTAATTTCAAGGAGTTTCCCCGAAAGAAACTAGAAACAGATTTTAAGGGTTGTGATTCCCAAATTTTATTCTAACTTTTGGGGAGAATTTGTGTGCCAATATCATCTTCCTAAGTTGCGTTAAGCAACACAGAGTGCAGCTTAGAAATTAATCCTTTTTGCTCTCTACCCATTGTGTTCAATAATTTTAAAAATTGTGTTAAGGGTCTCAGAGCTTGTTTCTTAATTGTTATTTTATGATTGAACTATGAGTTTGATTAAAATAAGTTCGCATTAAGGTTTGACAGAGCTAATTTTATCTGGTTGGTTAATAGGTGTAGGTTGATTAGCGGTATAGAAAAATCACAATGTGTGTAAAATCTTTGGATTCCCATTGTTCAAATCACTTATTTCTCCCCTGCTACAAAAAATGGGTGATCTGATACTGTGATTAATGGGAAAATAACAGCATTTGTTCTTACTTTTTTCTTATTTGCTCTGCAGGCTGGAGGAAAAGAAAACCAAGCCACCGCTTCGCGAACGCATTTTGAAAGATCAACAAGTTTTGGAGCTGAAACAAAAGATTATGGAAAAATCTATGGAGCGTAAAATGCAAGCTGAGAAAATGCAGACTGCATCCCTAAAGTACGACGAAGGGTCAGTCACATCTTGGAGGCCAAAGAAAGTAAGAAATTTCTTGTTCTTGTGTAAATCGCTGTCCAAACATAGCATGGAAATAAGTTCTTTGCAGCTGGAACTGGACACAGTATTCCAAGTGTGGTGACACCATAGGTTTGTATAAAGACATTGCAATCTTCAGTTTCACTGTCAGTCACTTTCCTAACGATACCTACCATGAAATTTGCATTGCACAGCTGCCACACACTGGATCATGTTCACTGAGCTGTTCACCGGGCTCCTAATATCTTGTCTGGTCAGTCACTAGCAATTTGCACCCCATTAATGTACAGTGGTACCTTGGTTCTCAAATGCCTTGGTTCTCAAACAACTTGGAACCCAAACACTGCAAACCCGCAAGTAAGTGTTCCGGTTTGCGAACTTTTTTCGGAAGTCGAACGTGGTCCATTTTGAGTTTCACACTTCCGTTTTAAGTGTTACGCTGAGGCCCATCTGTTTTTGCTATTTATTTTGCGTTTTTGTGGCTCTTCTTTTTTGCGTGACTGTGTGGAACCCCGTTTAGCTACGGATTGATTGTGTGACTGCAGTACATTGTTTATTGCTTTCATTTTATGGAACAATGGTCTCGTTTAGATAGTAAAATTCATGTTAAATTGCTGTTTTAGGGGTTGTTTTTAGAAGTGTGGAACGGATTAATCTGTTTTGCATTACTTTCTATGGGAAAGTGCACCTTGATTTTGGAACGCTTTGGTTTTGGAGTGGACTTCTGGAACGGATTAAGTTTGAGAACCAAAGTACCACTGTATATTTAAAGTTAATATTCCTGCCCCCCCCCAAAAAAATCACTTTATATTTGCTTATGCTAAACTCTTATTTGCCATTTTACTTTTTACCACCTAGAACAATTTGGTGCCTGCAGCAAACTTGCTCCCCTTACTGCTGATCCCTAACTTCAGATAGTTTGTGAACAAGCTGGAAAGTAGCATTCCCAGTGCAGGTCATAATTGGCGGGTCTCACATCCATTGTGAGAATTGTCTCTGCTTCCTGCCTTTACTGATCCGTAAGATGACCTGCCCCATGACTGCTAAGCTTACTCAAGAGTCTGCTGAGGAACCTTTTGAAGATTTGTTAGGAGCTATTTGAAAGACGGCGGAAACGCCTCTTTCTGTTCACTTACAGACTTACTGGAGAACTCTTCAAGGTTAGTTAGAATAGGACATAACTTGGTGGAAGCCATGCTTCTTCAGAAATACTTGTTCTTCTGTATGCTTGGTAATTTTATCTTTAATAATATTAATGTTAAACTAACTGGCCTGTAAGGTTAGCAATTTCTTATTTGAGTTCTTTAAGACAGCTCAAGTGGTTACCATCTGGGTATGGCTATTTGTTAGCTTTTAATTTGTTGGTGCAGCTTAGAACTTCATGTCTTGCCACCACTATTTGCCTGAGTTTTTGAGACCCTTTTCCTGAGCAGTCTGCTGTATACTGCAGTGAAGACAGAAGCAAATAATTCAGTTTCTCTGCAGTCTCCCTTTCCTCCTTAGCGCACCTCTAACTCCCTTGCTATCCAATGATCCAACTATCCTCCAGCCACTTTCCTGCTTCCAATGTTTAAAGAATTGTTTTGGCGATCTTTCCCCCTCAAAGAATCATTTCTGCCTCTGATAGCTTTCGTGACTCTGTTCATCAACTCTGCTAGCAACCTCTTGGACTTGCCAGTACCTTTCCTGATCTGCAGAAGCGTCTGTTAATTGTAGTTTTGAATAACCACCAAATGTTCTGGAGATTTGACTCTTGACTTTCCCCTTTCAACTTGCTTTTTCCCAGTCTCCTCGTTTTTGAGAAGCTTCCTCTTTTGAAGTCAAATAGGACTGTGTGATTTTTGATTTTCGCAATTGTTCAGTTATGTTGAATTTGATAGCACTGTGGTCATTCTTGCCAGTTGGTTCCACAGCTCTTAGTTCTTGCGCCCGGTTTTGGGTGCCCCTTAAGATTAAGTTCAGGGCCTTCATCTCCCCTCTCATCAGCTCCATAAACACCTCTTGTAAGGCACTGCGATTTACCGTATTTTTTGCTCTATAAGACTCACTTTTTCCCTCCTAAAAAGTAAGGGGGAATGTGTGTGCGTCTTATGGAGCGAATGCAGGCTGCGCAGCTATCCCAGAAGCCAGAACAGCAAGAGGGATTGCTGCTTTCACTGCGCAGCGATCCCTCTTGCTGTTCTGGCTTCTGAGATTCAGAATATTTTTTTTCTTGTTTTCCTCCTCCAAAAACTAGGTGCGTCTTATGGTCTGGTGCGTCTTATAGAGCGGAAAATACGGTATATTTAGAAATGTTACCTCTTTGTTGTGACCAGAACATGCATTTACCCAATCTATGTGAGGGTGTAATTGTGGTCACGTTACTACAACACTTACTTCTTGGGATGCCTCCTTACTTTCATGCTCCATCTCAAATTTTTGGTCAGGAGGTGATACGATGATAGTATGTCACCAGTGCCAATTTCCTTTTGGTGCCTGGTATTGCAGTTTACAATTCTGTGGAGTAGTCTGCCTCTGGGGGTTTCTAGCTTGTTTGCCTCAGTGTCCTCTAAGCAACACCCACCACCTGGCATACATCTGGGATCTCCTGGACATTACTGGGATCTCAAAGGCGGAAGTGATTCCTGGGGGGGAATCTGTGGAAGGCGGTGGGTTTTTTTGGTGTTTCTGTAAAAAAAAAGCTCAAGAACTTTGGGGTTATTCTAGAAAAAAAGCTGAACAATTTTGGGGTCTTCCTGAAAAAAACCTCAACTTTCGGGGTGTCCTGCTTTTTTACTTTTTGAAATATGACATCTCTCCCCTTGTCTGTCTTTCCAATAGAATCTGCATGTAGAAATAAATATCCCACTGGTTCTCTCCGTTCTACTAGGTTTGTTATTCCCAGCATATAGCCAGTGTGCAGGTATAACAGTTAGCATGTCGGAGTAGGACCTGGGAGACCAGGGTTCAAATCCTTATCTGGCCATGAAGCTCACTGGGTGACTGTTATGTACTGAGTTGAATAGGATCCAAAAGGCAGCAGTCTGATTGGTCCTAGAACAATAGGATTCAGAATGCAGCAGTCTGATTGGTCCTAGAACAATAGGATTCAGAATGCAGCAGTCTGATTGGTCCTAGAACAATTCAGCAGTATGATTGGTCCGCAGGAGCCACCCAATCCAGCTCCAGGTGGAAGTGAATCCGCAACCTGATCGGCCTACAGGAGAATTCCAGAATTAGCCAATCACATGCGGCTCATTGTGTAAATGATGTATATAAAGCAGATATTTTGGGGGAACTTTCATTCCTCACTACTATGAGCTGAATAAAGAGCATGAAATCCACACTCGACTCAGAGTATATTTCAGTGACCTTGGGCTAGCCACCGCCTCTCAGCCTAATCTACCTCACAGGGTTGTTGCGGGCATTAAATGTGGAGGAGGAGAATCACGTATGCCACCACGAGCTCCTGGGGCAAAACAGTGGCCCCTTCCCCACAAGCAGTATCCAGGAAAGCTGTACTGATGCTGGCAACGGGAGTGTGGTTCTGCTTCTAATAGTACTGCCTCTGATCTACATTTGCGAGACCATAAAATGCTTTTCTCTTATTGAACACCTTTGTACCAATACCAGAATATTCTGTGTGTTGCTTCCACAGAAATCTCAGCGTGAGGATCACTGGAAGAAGTTGGAAGAAAGTCAACAGCGGCAGTTCAAAATGCTTCAACATGGTTTTATGGCAAGAGAATTGACTCAGAAAAGGATGACCAATGAGACTTTAAGAACTGGAACCAAGGCTTGTATATTGCGCTCTTAAGTCAGACAAAGCTATTTCTACGTTTATTTCTGTTTATGAGACGTTTACTAGGTCTTTTATACTGTAAGCACCAAGAGCTAGTTTTGGTTCACAGTATCTCAGTATTCTTTTTCAGCTGTTTCCTACCGTTACAAGATTTCCCTCCCATTGATGTCAATGGGAGAGAGAATTAATGCACTAAGGCTAGCGCCCTCCCTCCCCAACCCCCGCCTCCTACTCCTGCCCCAGCCAGCACAGCCCCTTTTTGTCATTACCTCCATTGGAGCATCGGTGTCAGACTAGCAAGAGTGGTGGAAATTTCCATGTCCACAGTGGGGAGGTTTGTTCCATTAAAGATAACCCACATTGTGAAAACGTGTCTGGCTGAGTATGTCCTCCTCATCACATGCAATTTACAATGCTCTGCTAAGGCAGTGCCCAGACCACAAATTTGGCAAGAATTCTCTTGCGCTCCTCCACTGCTTGAAATCTCTAGGCTTGCCGACACTAAAAGGAAAGTTACCAACTCTCAGTAACACATAATTCTTGGGAAGAAGCCCTCCTGAATATGATGGGATTTATTTTTGAGTAGACACGCACACCAGACTTTGGCGTAAAACAGGTGTTTTGAGCTGGTGGGAGTTAAACTTGTTTTTATTCACCCCCTTCGCTGTTCTGCCAGGCTTCAGTGCAATGCATCAAAAAGTAACCGGGGTCCACTGTGCCAACCAGTCATTCAGTCCTGCCTTTGCCAGTTAACCCCTTGATCCCTGATAAATGGTGATTCTGTAATGCAGAAAATAAGATGGTAGCCTACATTGTGACGTCTTGATCATATAAGCTCTGTTAATGCAGTCAAAGAAATGCCATACACATACACAGCTTACACGAAGCTACTGGGAGGTGGGTTTGTAGCTGGTTGACTGACTAAACCCGGAGTGTGCTCACCAGTGGTTCCTTGTCATCCTCAAAAAAGGTGACAAGCGGAGTGCCACAGGCTTCTGTCCCGAGCCCAATATTGTTCATCATCTTTGCAAATGACTTGAATGATGGAATTGAGTGGATGCCCATCAAATATGCAGATTACACCAACCTTCCTCAGCTTTCAGGAACTAGTAACAATAGATACAGCATTAACTATATAGCCCTGTTTAGGGAAGTTTTAAATATTTGATAAAGTTTTATTCTGTTTTCAATCTGTTGGGAGCCACCCAAGTTTGAGCAGATGTCTTATCTGAAGCTGCCTGTCCATTTTAAAAGATACAGATGTGTTTTCTTAGCCTTTAAATTGTTTGCACTGAAACACAAGCAGTTGGGGAGAATTTTCACATCCCCCCCAGCTCCTGCCCATGTTTGCCATGCTTGAAAGAGGCTTCAGGTTTCCTCACAAATCCTCCTGTATGTGTGGTTTTAGGATGATGCCAACTAGCCACATAAGGCTACTTTCCACGCCTCTGAAATAATGTTTCAAGTTTGGGCTTTTCAAATTGCTGGTAGTGTGAGGAAGACAAAAGTATATTAGCAGGCTTATTGTCTCCCAGTTTCCCACTCATTCATTGTCTTTGTGGTCCAAGGTGTGTGCAAAATTCAAGGAAAACTATGGGCAAGGTAGGTGAAGTATCTTACTCTTTTTTTTAATCATTGGCCATTTCCATTTCTTCCGCATCTTCACAGATGTGGTATATCGCACCGAGTTTCTTGATGTACTGGAAGAGGGGAGGACCAGGGTTCAAATCCCATTTAGCTATGGAGCCTGGGCCAAGCACTTTCTCAGCAAAACTCGCCTCACAGGATTGATGAGGAAAAGGGCCGGTGGTGGTGATTGTGAGAACTTTGTACATTAGCCTGAGCCCCTTAAAGAAGCGGTGGAATCAAAGTATAATAAATTCAAACTGAGCTTGCAAATGCCTTGGGGGAAATACAGTGCAACATCTTAGCTGCAAAAGGCGAGAGCTATGCCTGCTGCCTTTTAAGCCCCCCATGCACCCCCACCAGCAGCCCATTTTCTAAAGAAGGGTGAATGTGTGCTCAGTTATCAGGACAAAACTTGAGCTCAGCCTGCAGAAAAGCTGAAACTGACTCGGGAAAGGTGGAGAAGTGCTGCCATGAATGCGTGCTCTATCATTTCACGTTCTTTAATGTACCGAGTAGACCTGTTGCACCAAATTGCAGCCATGTTTCAGGTCTCCTGAAAGTGGCAAAAAAGGAAGAGTCCTCATGCTCTTAGGAATCCTACACGTTGCCAGCTGCACATATATTTCCAGAAATAAATGCAACCACAGATAAGTAAAAACTTCCAGCAACTGACAGGTAATTCGGCGAAAGTAGTGTTATGTTTCTGCTAAAGGAAGGGGGGGGGGGGAAAGGAAGAAAAGACAGTGTTAACAGTCACTAAAATCCCCTCCATATTTTTGTGAAAGTAGAAAGGAGATCAAGGCTGCTGGTGCCACTCCTATGTGGATTCAACATTTCTGAGAAAGCCAGAAATGTTCAATGAGGAATGCCAGAAAAAGGTGTAAGAGTCAGGAGGATGGCATGTGAAGATTCTGACGGAACCTGCAACCTAGCTGGGATACTTTGAAATTGCCTTGCAGTACAGCACTCTCTGCAGTCTGCCGGCTTTCATATGTTTTAATGGGATAAACAATGGCATAGCTTCTTAATCATTGCTCCTACTTGCCATCAGCCTGTAAAACAGTAGAAGTCAGTTGCTCTGTTTATAACTGCATGAAAATTTAATTTTAATAGATTCCCCCCGCCCCCCTAGTAACAGCACTCAACATTTTTAACAAACCCAGTCTTTTGAAAAAGGGAATTACAAAAAGGTAAAATAAGTTGTCTCTTCTATTTAATGGCAAGGTAAACTTTCTCTTTTGTAAAAATGTGAAATGAAAGAACTGCCTCCTAAGAAATAGCAGGATTAACATGATATGTTATTTGAGACTGGATCACACAATGTATGTATGGCTGACCATCTGAATGGAACGTAGTGCAGCCAATAGAGCACTTTCTAAACTCTGAAAGGGTAAGGCTTGATGTGCTGGGAAACTTTATACGAAAATAACTTACACCCCAGAATGGACAAAAACCAAGGTAGAACATAGAAGAGATTACATGACACCCTCATTACAGAACCTCCTCAAGTCTCATTATAAAATTTATATTAAAACTTAGTAAAGTGCATCTTTTAAAAGACTTGTCTAGTGAAAGAGCATTTGGAAAATATAAAACACTTAACACAAGACATATAATAATAGTTAAATCAGAATGTACATTTTCAAAAACTACTTTTTTAAATTTTTTGATTCACTCAAGAATAAATGGTGTCAGCTACAGTAGTGTTCACATTATTCTTCAGTATTATGCAGCCTCATATGATTTTGTTAGTTGGCAATCTTTAGATTTGGAGCATGGCAAAAGAAGCAGTCTAAACCACTGCTACTTCTCTCTGTGTAATAAGGCTCCTCTGGCAGACAGATGCATGCCATAAAACCATGCTCAGATTTTGGGAAGCTTTGGTGCACTGACCACAGGATTGGCCTCCTGCAAGTACCTCCGCCCTGCATTCTTGTAGTCATAAGTACATGTGTGAGTCTCTGCATAGCGGTGAGTTGCACAGAAGTTGTTTCCACATCTGAAAAGAGAAAGGCAAGTGTTAGCGATCTTCCACAAATCTCATAGTCCAGATACTGTCCCAGAAATAAAATAATGCCGTTTTTAATGGTTGAAGGTCTCATCTAAACGAGTTGAGTAACACAGGAAGGCTTGTAAAACCAGAGAGACAAAATCACTAACTCCTGATGCGAGATCTGCATTCTTTGTACAGCACGATCTACTGTATGTTCACTGGAAAAAAGTCCGTTTTGGATAAGGAAGATATTGGACTATGCAGAACTGGCAAAATCCAACAGCAAAATTAAAAAAATCTAATGATGAGTGTTTTGTGGAAGAATGGATGCTTTTTCAGACTACTTAAATATTATAGTATGGTGAACTCATGAGCAGGATTTCAGCTATGAGCAACAGAAGTAATTTGAATGTAATAATTTGGTTATGTTTTGATAGACGGAAGATAGGCTGCAGCAGTAGGGGAGTAAAAACAACTGCATGGGAAAAGGGGTGGGGAGTCAACAAAAATATGACAAAAGGTGAACTTGTGTTATGACTATGTATGTTAAAAATGTTGAAACTCAATAAAATATAATTGGAGAAAAACCAAGTCCCACTGTGCTGAATGATGCACCTCCCAGGAAACTGTGAATCAGATTCCAACCTAAAAGGGTTAAAAGTATAGCACTAGAGGAGGAACACTGGCTTTGGATGGAAAGGGGGCGTTGGGAGGAAGAGCACGACAGAGGAGTGGAGAAGAGAGATGCCATAAGCTGGATGGGATCATGCTGGGAGTTCTATCCTTGCTTGTGGAGGCCCATGCTAACTACAAATAGAAAGGGGAAGGTTGATTTCTCTTGCAGTCTACTCTGTTACACCTCACGATGTCCTCCAGGGTCATGTGAGTCCTGACCTTCTGGAGCAAATTTCTGAGAGGCATTGGGATCTACAGGGAAAACTGCTGAAGACTGCCTCCCGCCCACCTCCCAAATCCATTAGCAAAATCCACCCTCTGCTGTTGTTATCAAAAGCCCTTCTGAGGATGGAAGGGCACAGTAACTTAATCTGAGGCAGCAGCACTCGTAAAGGTAAAGGGACCCTTGACTATTAGGTCCAGTCGTGGCCGACTCTGGGGTTGCGGTGCTCATCCCACTTTATTGGCCGAGGGAGCCGGCGTACAGCTTCCGGGTCATGTGGCCAGCATGACTAAGCCACTTCTGGTGAACCAGAGCAGCACACGGAAACGCCGTTTACCTTCCTGCCGGAGTGGTACCTATTTATCTACTTGCACTTTGACGTGCTTTCAAACTGCTAGGTTGGCAGGAGCAGGGACCGAGCAACAGGAGCTCACCCCGTCACGGGGATTCAAACTGCTGACCTTCTGATCAGCAAATCCTAGGCTCTGTGGTTTAACCCACAGCGCCACCCGCATCCCAGCAGCACTCATATACCGGATTAATAACCCGGGTTCAGACCAGTCAAATGGAGGTACTGAACTTTGATACTGATGAACAGTGGGCAGAGTCAGTGGGACAGGTTTATGAAGGCCTTGAGAAGACAGCAGGAGGTGACAGTCTGGCAAATGTTTTATGTTCGCAAATGAGGAACCTAATGAGGAGATCGCATTTGCTTAGCTTGTCTGGAACAGCAGGGTGAGAGGTAGGGAGTCAATCAAAAAGGAATACCTGAAGTTGGAGAGAGATAGAAAAAGGGGATAGAAAGGTGAGGGTCAGAGACAGAGGAAAAACTACCTAGAGTGGGACCAAATAATCAAGGCAAGAAAGAGCAGAGGAGGGGGGAGACCAGAGTCAATGAGAGTTACTCTGGCTTGCAAATTCAGAGATCATGATGTCTAAGAACCAATAGCTTTGTATTTGTGGCTTTGTCTCGTGTGTCTGCTGTAGCTGCAGCTTAACAACATTGCAAAGCCATTTGAACTTGTCTGACCTGTCACTGCTTGGTTCAAACGGTGAGAAGAACGCTAATGGATTCCAGGTATGCACTTCAAACAGGGCGATAGTGTCCCCACCGGGGTCCTATTATAAAATGCCACAAAAATCCCCCACAACCACCACTTCGAAGTGTATATCAAACAGCTTGTAAGGAAGGAAATAACTTGTTTCACCAATTGTCTTGGCCAGCCAATTCCACTGGATTAGAGTAGGCGTAAAAAACTAGTGCCTGAACACAATTTGGCAGACATTTTGCAATTCCCTTTGTCGTGTATGACTTAGCTGAGATTCCTGCATTGCAGGGGGTTGGACTAGATGACCCCTGAAGTTCCTTCCAACTCTACGAGTCTATTGTATCTGGAAGAAGAGGGTGGTTTTATTCAGCGTAAACCCACTGAAATTAGTCACGGGGGAGGGGAGAGCAGAAGAATCCAATTATTTTAACAGTAGGGCATACATTATGGTTTCTCCCAGCAGGACCAGGACTAACTCCTGGACATGACAACTTTCAACTTCCAGTAGCTATGCAACTCTGGTAAATTTCTGTGATTCCACAGGGCCTAAGCTCCTCCCTCCCATTCACACATATCTCTACCACCTTTAAAAGGAAGATCAAGGTGTGACCCCTTTTAAATGGATGCAAAATATTCGGAGATATTTTACAATGGACAGCCCTTCATCCCTTGGAGATTTATGTCAAGAAATGTCACATTTTATCAATGAAGATGTAATAATCATTAACAAGTGACAAAGCATGGCAACAAGTTTCCGTTTGAAGACAAACACATTCAAGGTGCAAACTCAACCTACCTACATTCATAGCTAGTAGCTAATCCAGTTTTCTTTCCACAGAAGAAACAGTGCTTTGTCATTTTCTTTTTAGGCTGAACTGAACCATTCACAGGTGGGAGATGAGTTGCATCACCTGCTTTCCAAAAGCAAAACGTTCTCAATTTATACGTGCTCTCAGAGAAATGGTGTAAGAGAAAAACAGCACACACGGAAAACCTTTTCACAGGTGAAAAACAGTTTCTTGTTTCAAGTGACTTTTCTATGCCCCCAAAATTACATAATGCAAACTTTGGCAGCAGTAAACATGTTAGCCTGACACATGTTGTTTGATTAATGTGTTTTAATAATAATTAAATACTGCACATATTTTTGTTAGCGCAATACACGCTATATAGAAAACTAAGTGGTTTTAGTTATGTGAGATCTATGCTGCCCAAAAGAACTACTTTTTTTATTTAGAATGATTACCTTTGAAGAGTTTTGGATCCAGAACTGCTGTCTATAGAAAAGAGAGGTTGGATACTCCCTCTTAGATCCTAGTTCAGTTTCAAATGAGACAAGCACTTTCTAGCTGATAACAGCTATATGGATTTATTACTCACCTATTCTTTTTCCTGCAGCCACAATACTTCCATTCAATCCAAGTCCAGGAGCCTAAAAAGAGAGAGGTTTTTTTTTGTATTAGTGGATTAGGTGAAAAAAATGCTGGGTTGGGAAACGAGCACTAAATCAAGATAAATGCATTATGCCATAGCAATTCAAGAACCAGTTGATGAATTTGAACCAAATTTGGTACGTAGGACTCTCATAGTGTACATAAGCACAGATTAGTTTTTGCTTGAAAAGACACGATGGGAGGTGGATAAAATATTGCATTTGCTATCCCACCTTTCTCCCAGGGTAGGACCCAAAGTGGTTCACAACGTGAGTTAAAAGCAAATACAGCTAGAAGACACACCAGATACAAATATGAAAAACAAACAAGTTACCATAGTATTGGTATATACCTCTTCAACTTACATTTTTTTGCTGATGTGAAATTTCATACAATAAATTGTTAGAACCCCAGACACACCAAACATTTCACTGGGAAAACCCATATGCCGAACACTGTTTAATGAGAACCTATTTTGAACAGAACTGCTATGTATGAAAATATATTTATACATATATTTCTGTATAAGGAAGTCAAGCAGGGCTTACTCCAGATTTTTTGAAGTTTAACAGAAACTCAGAATGATGTTCAATGCAACAAGAAAAAGATGAAACATGTAAGTTGTTTTCTGTGGTGGTGTAATGTTTTCATTAAAATGCTGAAATGCGGAATAATATCTCATTGTTTTCAGTAACAAAAGCTGTTGTAGGACTCCCCGCTCCTAGGTGGTCCCAGTGACTTCAGTCATTTGAGAGCACGAGAGAAACCGTGTGCATATCAGAGCAGATTTTCTGGTCCTCTCAGCAGCCAGAAGCCATTTGGTTTGTAAAAACAAAAAAAGGCAATGGATTTGTAGCAGGGTTTCACAAATTATGGCTAGCCCTTGTGGCCAATCATTATTTGCTACTGCCTTGCCATATGGTTGAATCACACTAAATCTAGACTAAAACCTAACATCATAGTCAAAATATGAATACGGAACCACACATTCTCCACATTTTTTTGGATTTTGTTTATACCATATTCATAAGGCATAGGCGGAACCAACAAAAAATGCTATAAGCAAAGCTCTTTTCATTGCAACCTAGGATCCAAGCCTAGGTGCTAACTACTTAAAATAAATAGTACAAAACTGAAATTTCTTTCCAATATTTTGTAATTACTATTATTGTTGGGTATTGTATGTAGAAATTGTTTAGTATTGTACAATATTTCTTATAATGGTTCCCTTTTTGTTGGGATATGTAAATGACTCAATAGGCCCTTCAATTGCCTGTTGGCATTTTAAATCTCCATGAACACTAAAGAACATGTTAGCAGCTCTCATGTTCCAATTAATGAAGTGGGGGTGGAAAGAATGCAAACCCCTCCACAATTTTTAATGACAGCAACTTGTTCATGGTTTAATGTCAAACTTTAAAGAGAAAGATGAGGGTGATGACGCCCTGACTATTTTAGTTCAGGAAGGATTTTATTTATCTAAATATTCACATACCACTATTTCATAAAATACATCAAAGCAGTTTATGACAGAAGTTACATTAAACCATATAAAAATGATTAAAACCAGACATCAATTAACTATAGTGTGGAAAAATGCATTGCAGTATATGTTTGCAAGATTTAGAAGAATTAAGGGTGTTAAACTGTTACACATGTCATAGACAGCATTCCATACATCTGCTGCTACTACTTTCTACAAAACCCTAGCATGAAAGAGAAAGAAATCATTCCTCGTTTCCTCCACAAAGAACTTAGGGAACGAGGAAGTGACTGGGGAGGAAAACACGAGTAAGAAGCATTTTTCCCCTTTCCCCCCAGGCACCTGTTATCTCCCATTATCCCCTGCTTTATTTGGGCACCAAGATACACAGAACAATCTCCTCTCTTCTGCTAGTGCTGCTATGGGAGCCTTATCCTTCACCACGCAAATTGTGCTGCTTGTTAAACAAGGTGAACTTATGTAGGTAAGCTGTGGAAAGGGAGCAGGGCTGCAAAATATCGGTTTCATGTTCAACAAATCATTATATTCACTTAGAGGTAAACAACTGCTGGAATAATTTTTATCAGCGCGTTTTCTGCACTTACAACTTTTGGTTAATGGACTGTTAATAACATAACTGTATCACTATAATAACATAATTATATCACTGTTTGTACTTCTCTGCATTTCACATCCCTCTGATCTGCTTACAACCACTAACGATGAAGTAAATCCATGAAACTTGAACCAGAAAAGTTTTGTCAGTTCTTAAGGCGTTACAAAGGGACGCGGGTGGTGCTGTGGGTTAAACCTCAGCGCCTAGGACTTGCTGATCACATGGTCAGCGGTTCGAATCCCCGCGGCGGGGTGCGCTCCTGTTGCTTGGTCCCAGCGCCTGCCAACCTAGCAGTTCGAAAGCACCCCCGGGTGCAAGTAGATAAATAGGGACCGCTTACTAGCGGGAAGGTAAACGGCGTTTCCGTGTGCGGCTCTGGCTCGCCAGAGCAGCTTCGTCACGCTGGCCACGTGACCTGGAAGTGTCTGCGGACAGCGCTGGCTCCCGGCCTATAGAGTGAGATGAGCGCACAACCCCAGAGTCTGTCGACCTTTAAGGCGTTACAAGACTTTTTGAAGTTTTTGCTGCAACGGCCTAACAAAGTACAGCAAGCACTTTCCCGTCCTTCCCCTGCCCCCCAAACATTGCCAGGCAATATTCCCATCACCAGCCCAAACCAGGGAAGAAACGTAAAAACACAGTATCTCAGTAAGAACCTAAAGCGAATGAGACTTTTATGTACGATTTTTGTCGTTTTTGTGTTGCCCTTGATATGGTTGGCGTCAAAAGCTGAGCAACTTGAATCAAAACAAGAGCCCAAGAACTCAAGAGTCATATTCAGCCATCAACGCTCCCAGTACAATAAGCATTTGGGTAAGGGGAGATTTCTGATCACAGGGAGAGCCTAGGGGCGTTTCAGTGTCTTACTTTTTGCAGATATATCCCAATGCTTGGTTGGCAACTCAAGAGTCAGTGGTTATAGTCCCACACTCTCACTTGCACAATTTGCTTATTGGAGTGTGAAATATCTGAATAAGGCTGATGTACTGAAGATGGGTGTTTTATATCGCCTTTCAGTAAAATTCCCATGTGCAATTTGCATAAGCAAATGCAGATTAATTCATGCTCCTGGTTACACTGAACATGTTGATAGGCGAGACTTGGAGGTCTCTAGTGGGCCACAGCACATCAAAATAACAGTTCCCTTCTATATTACTCATAATTTGGATGTAGACAGCAGTGAATTATTAACATGCCTTAGAGGAGAGCGCAAAATATGGTTTGAAGCTCAACATCAAAAAAACGAAGATCATGGCCACTGGTCCCATCACCTCCTGGCAAATAGAAGGGGAAGAAATGGAGGCAGTGAGAGATTTTACTTTCTTGGGCTCCATGATCACTGCAGATGGTGACAGCAGCCACGAAATTAAAAGACGCCTGCTTCTTGGGAGAAAGGCAATGGCAAACCTAGACAGCATCTTAAAAAGCAGAGACATCACCTTGCCAACAAAGGTCTGTATAATTAAAGCTATGGTTTTCCCAGTAGTGATGTATGGAAGTGAGAGTTGGACCATAAAGAAGGCTGATCGCCGAAGAATTGATGCTTTTGAATTCTGGTGCTGGAGGAGACTCTTGAGAGTCCCATGGACTGCAAGAAGATCAAACCTATCCATTCTGAAGGAAATCAGCCCTGAGTGCTCACTGGAAGGACAGATCGTGAAACTGAGGCTCCAATACTTTGGCCACCTCATGAGAAGAGAAGACTCCCTGGAAAAGACCCTGATGTTGGGAAAGATGGAGGGCACAAGGATAAGGGAACGACAGAAGACGAGTTGGTTGGATAGTATTCTCGAAACTACCAGCATGAGTTTGACCAAACTGTGGGAGGCAGTGGAAGACAGGAGTGCCTGGCATGCTCTGGTCCAGGGGGTCACGAAGAGTGAGACACGACTAAACGACTAAACAACTACAACAAAGAACCGCATATGGCTTAGCTAATGCAGCAAAGTGTGAAACTGGATAGACAGATAGGAAGATTAAGCAGAAGCTTTTTGGATGATCAAACTGGAAGTCACAAGAAAATTAATGAATGGAATTTATCACCAAGATAGAAATTAAATGCCAAAATTATGAAGTCCTGGGCTTCTGAAAAGTATGGCTGATACCTACCTGAAAGGTAGTTTTCCACTGGCAGTGCAAGGCTATTGGGTTGGGCTTACTGCTTGAAGAGGTGGTCAAAGGCACCATGAACAAGCCCAACATGCCTAAGAAATACTGATACAAACAGTACTGAACACCCACATCAAGTTCTCAATTCCAGCTGCAATCAGCTTTGTGACTCTTAACAGAAACAAACACTAATCAAGCCTTCTAAAGAACACAAAGAGGAATCTCATCTATTTAGAAAGCTTATGTACTTACTAGGAAGTATCCAGGCATTTCATTGTGGGGAGCGGCCATGTTGTAGCTTTCTCCTTGAAAATGTTGGAGGTTTGTAGTCCGCGCAATACCAGAAGTCCGAAACCTGCTTGTCCCACAGGAATTCTGCGAAGCATCTCTGTTAGCGCTCCGGGCCAGCGAACTTAGGAACCCCACATTATTTACAGAGACAACAGGATCTTTGGATGCCTTGACCGCTACTTCTGTGACTTCCCGTGCCTCCATTTTAGAAAGGAGGTCGGGTCTTTTGCCGGGCGAGTCTAAACCTATGCCGTGGAATTTGGAAGTCCTTGGATATGAGGAGTCGGCTAAATTGTGCAACTCCAAGGATCGCAGAACATTTGGCGAGGCAGCGGGCCTCAAGTTACCAACCTCGAAAAACTTGGACTGAGCTTGAGGTTTCCGAGGACTGTAACGCGTCATCTGTGCGGAGCAGTGAAGAGGCGACAACTGTGTGTTCTTCTGGGGACTTAGTTCGCAAGAATTAAGAATACTAGTATCTGCTGCTGCTGCAGGGGTCAGGATTTTTGTAATGGTCTTGTTTGGAAGATCTGCAGTAGCAGAATCCTCATCCCCCTCAGATAAATGGAGCTCTGTGTTGACTTTTCCTATTCCATATAAATCACTGCATGGTTCAGCTAACAAGGCAAAAGTGTCAGAGTTTGGTATAACCTTTTCTTCTGCAGCATACAGCTTTACATTGGTGAGATTTGGATATAAGAAAGGACCAGCTTCATTGGTTGCCGAACTGTTATCTATATTTATCCCAGGGTGCCTAAGTGGAGCAGGGACCGGAAGAACCATGCTGTTTGTCGGAAGCTTTGAATCTTCTTTTTCCACACGTGGAATTTTAGGGGGCAGCCTAAGGCTGCTAAGTGACTGTGGAGCGGTCTCCCACCTGTCATTTTCCTTCACGAAGTCATTACTAGTGGATGGCATCCTTCTGCCAGCAGATGTTAAAAACGAAAGTGCATTTTGAGAAAAGTCTGAGGTATTTGAATTCCTAGGAGGTAGGCACGGTTGTCCCATACGGCGGAGCGCTCGCAAAAATCTCTGGTGAGCAGCTGTGACTGAGCCACTAGATGGGCGAGGAGCCAATGGAGGGTGGGGGTTCACTTTAATCGTTTTTTTAGGCTGTGAAAAAAGAAAAAGGAGACGTGGTTATTATTACTTTTTCTGCATTACAATATCCACAAAAATTCCGAGATGACTTTTCAAATTTAAAAATAGCCTCTTCTCACTTTCTTTAACTGCATACCTTTTCAAGCATGGCCAATTAAGAGATTAAGTGAATTTAAATGTTGCTCAGTGTCCAGATTAATAAAAGTTCAAAACTATAAGTCTGCATAGACGGCAATGTTAATAACTAATTCTTTTCTAATAAATAATGAGAATATTGGGGGGAAATCAGATACACTAAATAACACCGCTTTGCATTTATTAAATATAAAAACAGATTCTCATTTAGAAGTTGTTTACTATATACAGTCGTACCTCGGCTCTCTAACGCCTTGGGAGTTGAACATTCCGGCTCCCGAATGACTGAAAACTGGAAGTGAATGTTCTGGTTTTTTAACGTTCTTTTGAAAGCCGAACGTCTGACGGGGCTTCCGATTGGCTGCAGGAGTTTCCTGTAGCAAATAGAAGCCACGCTTTGGAAGTCAAACGTTTCGGAAGTCGAAGGGACTTCCGGAACGGATTCTGTTCAACTTCCAAGGTACAACTGTATACTAAAAATGCATCTTTGTAATAAGTGGCACACACATATATTCTGGGCATATTATATAGTAAAGTATTATCTTTTGTTGGAACAATGTCTGCTATTGAAATAAAAAGGATGTTTTTGTCTCTCCCTTACTAAAGTTTTGGTCCAATAAAAGTAGCCTTATTTCTATATGTTTCCTCGCTTTAAGGCCAACAAAGCAATAATTCCCTCTAACAGTTCTGTGCTGAATACTTGTAGTCCATAAAGGTTAAGGCAGTCAGCTAACTCTTCAAAAGAAATGAATATGCATACAGTTCTGTATGGGGTAGAAGAATCTGTGCCTTCACCTTTTTACTCAGATTCATGTTCTCCATCTTTGCTCTAAGAAGCTTCATTTTATTCATCGTAATAGAATTCTCAATAATCTGTTCACCAGAAGGAGATGCCTCTGTATCATCTTCATCATCCGCATACAAATTATAAACAGAACCACCACTGGCAAGGAGAGAGAGTGCAAATTTACATTAACATTAGGTATTTAAGTTGTAAATACAGATGCCAAACATTCAAAGCAATTGGGGGGGGATTGTCAAAAGCTTTCAAAATTAAGCAGGATAATATGGGAAGAGGTGGTACCCTGGATACATTTATGGCTTTGAAGATAAGCCCCAACACTCTGAATCGTGCTTAGTGACATACCAGGGCAGCTGTTTTAAGATCAATATAACATGATCTCATGCGCAAGCACTGGACAACATTAATGCACTTGGATCCTGGACCAAGTAAAGTTTCTGAAGAGCCTTCAATGGTAGCCCCAAGCAGAGTGCATTGCAGTTAACGCAATATGGATGTGTGTTACCACAGCAAATTTGACCTCATCGGGAACATGTGTCACTGGTGGCCCATCAGGCTGCAATGCAGAGGGAGAGAAGAAAACCAGGGCTATTCCATTGCCTCTTCTGAAACACCCTTTGACCCTTCCTCTATCATCACTCCATCAGGCTACCTGAGCTGCTTCCATCCCACCTGGTTATTATAATTTTTAGAACTGGTGCCTGAGCTTGCTTTCTCCCTCCTCCACCCGCCAAGCCTCTTTTCCTTGAGTCTCTTTGTGTTGTAAGGACAGGGACTAGTTTTTGTCAGCTGCTCACGAAATCTTTTCAGATGAAGAGCAAATATATAAGTAAGCAAGCAAGTTGGGTGAAAGGCACTTCTGGCTACAGCTGCCACCTGAATCCAGAGGTGTCCCAAGCTTGTGAACCTGATTCTTCAAAACATCCAAAACAGTTTCAGTCACTGTACTCTGGTTGCACGCCCCCAAGGTCTTTCAACACCACATTTTCAGGATCCATTGTTTCATAATTTTAGGATTCTGTGCCTTTTCCTTCCTCCTCAAACCTATGAGCCTGTCAGACTCCAATCTGCCTCATCAACTGTAGCAAAAAGTTGAAGCGCTTCTTCAGAATGGGGGCCCTGCAGATTATTCCTACCAAATCTGTAAGAAAAGTTTCTATGTTAGACATTTTTTAACTTTTCCGAAAAGAAATAAAACCCAGTATACCTTAACGATTCAGACAATGGTGTTAAAGTTCCATCTCCCTTGTCTATAATACGGAAAAAATTCAGTTGATCTCCTTCGCGGTATACTAAGAAGGTAACCTGTTTGCTGGATGGAACCTTCTCCCAAATATCGTCTTGACTGGGATCCATGTATTCTGTTATTTCCCTAATTGGGTCTCCCACAGGAACTGAGAGGAAAAACAACCAGAAATATTTTATTGTCTGAAAGCAAGGACGCACACTTATCACCTAGGCAACATACTGAAAAGATTTATCTCCTGAAGCTATCCTAAAGTGTCTGTAATAGGCCAAATTAAGTGATAGTCCACATAACTTCCTCAAATAAATAATTACCGTATTTTTTGCTCTATAAGACTCACTTTTCCCCTCCTAAAAAGTAAGGGGAAATGTGTGTGCAGCTTATGGAGCGAATGCAGGCTGCGCAGCTATCCCAGAAGCCAGAACAGCAAGAGGGATTGCTGCTTTCACTGTACAGCGATCCCTCTTGCTGTTCTGGCTTCTGAGATTCAGAATAATTTTTTTTCTTGTGTTCCTCCTCCAAAAACTAGGTGCATCTTGTGGTCTGCTGCGTCTTATAGAGCGAAAAATACAGTAACCTATGATCAAGTTGCTGTCAAGTAAGAACCATTTTCAAATAGAAATTTAATAAATTAAATCAATAATTGGCTAGACCTTGTAATGCTTCATCAAACTTTACGGCAGCTCAGAAAAAGAGAGAGCCCCTTTACCCTTACCAGCAAAATTGTCGACAAAAAGACCAGGCTGTACTTGCAGACAGATCTCTAGAGCTGACACAGGTCATTGTGTGAGCCAGTGGCCACATTTCAAACTTGAAACTGCTGTGGCTGCCGGTCATGACATGACTGCCACAGGGGGACACGGCATAACACAACGCCGCCATGAGGGGCATGATATGACACAAAATCAAGAGTATTGTCATTGCTGCTCAAGACTACCTTGTGCTTACCATGGGAAGCCGGGTATGTCCTGCTGGTCTTGATTGTGGAGATCACACAATATAGATCTCTCTCTCTCTCACACCCACACCCACACCCACACCCACACCAAACACACAAATACATACCCCCCCACATCTCTCTCTGCCCCCAGACTGCACATACATAGACCACACAGTCATGCACAGACCCCTCTCTTCCATGCACAAACCTCACAGATAGCTCTCCCTCTCCCAGATCAACCATTCCTGCGCACACACACCCCTCCTTCCTTCTCTCTCTCTCTCTCTCTCTCATTCTAGGGTAATGCAACTGCTAGCTCAAGACTGGCAGGCAACAAGCAAGCAATGAGGCAGGGGGTGGGGAAGCCTTCTCTGCCGTCTCCCCCCCCCGCAAAAAAAGAATCCTTCCAAACCAACCAGAAGGCAAGAGGCAGACCCATCCAGCTCCAGCAACCACTCTGAACTGTTCTGCCGTGTAAAGAACCAAAGCAAACCAAAATAATAATCGTAGTAATAATATATATAGATATAGATATAGATATAGATATAGATATAGATATAGATATAGATAGATATACAGATAGATATAGATATATAGTGGGTTACCAACCCAATGGGGACACGGGTGGCACTGTGGTCTAAACCACTGAGCCTAGGGCTTGCCGACTGGAAGGTCGGCGGTTCAAATCCCCACAATGGGGTGAGCTCCTGTTGCTCGGTCCCAGCTCCTGCCAACCTAGCAGTTCGAAAGCACGCCAGTGCAAGTAGATAAATAGGTATCGCTCCGGCAGGAAGGTAAATGACGTTTCCGTGCGCTGCTCTGGTTTCTCCAGAAGTGGCTTAGTCATGCTGGTCACATGACCTGGAAAAACTGTTTGCGGACAAACGCCAGCTCCCTCGGCCTGTAAAGTGAGATGAGCGCCGCAACCCCAGAGTTATTCGCAATTGGACTTAACTGTCAGGGGTCCTTTACCTTTACCGTTTTTTAACTAACCTAATGCCCACAGGCAGCCCAAGGCACCAGCGAAAGCCTTTGAGGGTACTGTGACGCTCGCAGGTGTCTGGGTGGCGGTCCCAGGTTTTGCCCACTTCCAAGGCTGTCAAACCTGTAGTAGCTACGGAAGGCCATCCCTACTGATGCATTAGCCTTACTTTTGCCCTTTCCAGCCACGAGAAGTATTTATACAGATGCAAATCAGCCCTTTTTGTTGCTGGCAATGACAGCAAACAAATTTCATCCTAGTGCATGGATTTTCCATGCAAGTCTTCCTGAAGATTTCACACATCCATAAATAAAAAGATTTTTCTCATACAAACCTTGCCATTCTGAGCACTGATTTCACTGGAGAATAAGTTTCTGAGTTATCTTTAAGGGCAGCCCCATATATAAGGCACCGCAGCTATCCAACTGGGATGTTATCACATGGATCACCATGGCAAGGCTATGCTCTGTCCGGCAAAGGTTGCAAGCACGACAAGGTTGATAAAAGGAACCTGAGGCCAGGTGGGCCCCAAACTGACAATGCTGAATCAAGGAGCATCCCCCAAACTGTGAACCAACTCTTTCAGGAGGAGTGCAGCGCCAAACAAAGCAAGATAAAACACCAAAGTCCTAGGAACTACCTGCTCATAGTGCCTCTGTCTTATCAGGATTCAGTTTTAGTTTATTGGTCGTCATCCAGCCCATTATGGAGTCCAGATGATACATCTGTACAGCCTCGCTCAGTTCCAATATCAGAGGGAAATCAGTCATGACTCTGCATTCCAAGCCCTCGGGTGACCTCATATTGGTGTCTAAGAGTGTGGGGAATAAGAAGGAAGCAGAATCCCACCCCCCACACTATCTTCTGAAACTACCGTATTTTTGGCTCTATAAGACGCACCAGACCACAAGACACACCTAGTTTTTGGAGAAGGAAAACAAGAAAAAAAAATATTCTGAATCTCAGAAGCCAGAACAGCAAGAGGGATCGCTGCACAGTGAAAGCAGCAATCCCTCTTGCTGTTCTGGCTTCTGGGATAGCTGTGCAGCCTGCATTCGCTCCATAAGACGCACACACATTTCCCCTTACTTTTTAGGAGGGAAAAGTGAGTCATAGAGCAAAAAATAGGGTAATTTGTTTTAGAACCTATAGTACAAACGTTTTGAGTTTAGTGGCTTCATCTGCACTTTCCCAAAGTAAATTACGTTTTCTCAAGATTAAGGAATCCCCTCATAGTTCTAGTCTTTACTGCAGTATTTATATGACCTCTCAGATGAAAGCGTCAGAACCAACGAGAGTTTCCTCCTTGATATATGTTGCTCACAAAACTATACCGCACCCATCCACCCGCGGCCGTTTCTAGTTATAGAAAGGCCAGATGAGGGTGGTTTTTTTTTAAGTATCTGGACAAATGTATCTGGCACATTTTCTAAAGTGAATGCACAGCCCTAGTGCGTATGGTAATACAGGAAAAGCTGTAATACTCTCCTTTTGTGCCCCCATTCTGCTGTCCTGTCACATCAAGAAATCCAAGTTTGACATCAATGGCACCACAAGATTTTATTAATATAGCACCAGTAGCTAGCAAAGTATGCTTTCACTATGATTTAATGATGGATGCAGCAGAACTGGATTGAAACAAGCAGGCTCCCTCTGACCCTTTTGATACTACTTTTGAAATTATTATTTTTTTGCCCGGGGATGGGGGAAAGGAAAGGTATTTCTCAATATTTCAGAGTTTCCCCTAGACTGGTGCTCCCAGATGTTGGTGGAGGAAACTCCCATCATCCCTGACCATGTTGGCTACAACAACTAATAATAATAATAATAATAATAATAAGTTTTATTTATACCCCGCCCTCCCCAGCCAGAGCCGGGCTCAGGGCGGCTAACACCAGTAAAATTACAATAGAAACATAATAGGGAAAAAAGAAAAAAAGGAACCCAATTTAAAATACAGGTTAAAATGCAATTTAAAATGCAGTCTCATTTTAAAAGTGGCCCATAGATCAAAACCGTAAGGGGAGGGAAGACATAAGGGTCAGACTGATGCGTGTTGCAGTGCAAAGCATTTGCAAAGTAACAGGTTGGGGGATGGCTGGCCTATCAAGAGACACTCTAAAATGGGTTTATCTTGTGCAAACCCTGCTGGTTTTAAAAACACACTTCTAGGCATGAGGACTCTGATAGTGCACTACAGAGTGAGGGCTGAGAGATTTCCTGGGAGAGTCGATCTGAAGAAGAAGAAGAAGAAGAAGAAGAAGAGTTTGGATTTGATATCCCGCTTTATCACTACCCGAAGGAGTCTCAAAGCGGCTAACATTCTCCTTTCCCTTCCTCTCCCACAACACTGTGAGGTGAGTGGGGCTGAGAGACTTCAGAGAAGTGTGACTGGCCCAAGGTCACCCAGCAGCTGCATGTGGAGGAGCGGAGACGCAAACCCGGTTCCCCAGATTACGAGACTACCGCTCTTAACCACTACACCACACTGGCTCATCTCTAATTCTATCTAATGATAGAATCGTCACTCTAATGATAATCGGGGTTTTTAACATCCATGCAGGTATCTGTGCTCTCACAGGCAGTATCATTGAATGCCTGTTTTTGACTTTGGGCTACGGTTTCAGTCACTATGGATGATTTGATTTGCTGGATACAGTGATTTGCTGTGAGCACTGCTAAAAAGAATGATTATGAAACCACAGTTGTGTCTTAGGTACTAAGACCCAGCCTCTCCTGGTATGTCCCGTGGAGTACCTTAAGGTCCACAAATGACAACACTTTGGAGGTTCCACGTCGCAAGGTGGTTAGATTGGTCTCAGCTAGGGCCAGGGCCTTTTCAGTACTGGCCCCGACTTGGAGGAATGCTCTGTCACAAGAGATTAGGGCCCTGCGGGACTTGACATCTTTCCGCAGGCCTGCAAGACAGAGCTGTTCCGCCTGGCCTTTGGTTTGGACTCAGTCTGACCCTTATGTTTTCCCTTCCCTTACGGTTTTGATCCATGGGCCACTTTTAAAATGAGGCTGCATTTTAAATTGCATTTTAACCTGTATTTTAAATTCGCCCCCTATTATGCTTTTATTGTAATTTTACTGGTGTTAGCCGCCCTGAGCAGCTAATAATAATATTATTAAATTATTATTATTAATAATTATTTAATAATAATAATAATAATAATAATTATACGTCTTCTGTGATAATGATAAAGTAAAGGGTAAAGGGACCCCTGACCATTAGGTCCAGTCGCGGACAACTCTGGGGTTGTGTAGGCCGAGGGAGCTGGCGTACAGCTTCCGGGTCATGTGGCCAGCATGACTAAGCCGCTTCTGGCAAACCAGAGCAGCGCACGGAAACGTCGTTTACCTTCCTGCCAGAGCAGTACCTATTTATCTACTTGCACTTTGAGGTGCTTTCGAACTGCTAGGTTGGCAGGAGCAGGGACCGAGCAACGGGAGCTCACCCCGTCGTGGGGATTCGAACCGCCAACCTTCTGATCGGCAAGTCCTAGGCTCTGTGGTTTAACGATACTTTGCAAATAATAATGCTAAGGGCTTCCAATGTGGGAACCAAAGGTGCCCCATAGTTAGAACATGCTTCCCACTGTCAGGTGATATGCCCATAGAAACCAATCATCTGTGTGTTTGCCCAGCATATTGAAAAGGGGAGGGGGAGGGGAGAGAATTGCAGAACACATTTGACATTTACTCTTCAGCATTAGGACTTCTGTGTTGGTCAAATTGCTGAAACTATCTGCAGTAGTCCATTGAGTGCTTTGAACACTCATTCTCACTTTTAATTTTCTATACAATGATAGACATTTCTGTAAATACGAGGGATCGAATGTTTGACCCACTTAATAATAAAGTAAACCACCTTTCTTTCAGCACTTGGTTCATACCACTCAGCTTCATACAATATTTATGGGTTTCTTTTGATGCAAGTTACCAAGAGTAACTACAGAGCAAATGCAGTAACATTTGAGCGAGCGCTAAGAACACACGTCTCACAATGTTTGTTTCTTCATTTCACTGATTTCGGAAATAAAAATGTTGTATCTTCCCATGCATGTAAGTGTAATAACTGGCCACTTTGCCTGCCTCCGCACCTACTATTTCATTGCAGACATTACAATGGCAGAAAGGACGCAAAGTGTAGTTTCTCCCACTTTTCTTTAAAGAATTTGTAAAAATAAAATTACAAATATGTTGCTGTTATTTTTCCTCTTTTTTTTTGGAAAGCAATTAGCTTTTAATATGATTGTCCAATTTAAGTCTAGATTTGAATCTAACAAGTCAAAAAAATGAATATACTTTTGGTGTTCCCCTTTTCGTTCCTCAAAGACAGGCTGTGGCTACCCAACAATTATCCTCTTTTAGGTACACCAAGGCTTGTGCTGCAACAGCTAAAGGAAGATGTCAATGGCACGCAAAAATTTCAGCCCAAACTACACAGTGATACTTTAGTGGTGAAGAGAGAATGATCCAATAACTCTTGGGGTGAGATATATAGGTTGGGCCTTTTACCAGAACTGGGAGCCTATTGCCAAGTTACTAAAAAGGTAAAGGTAAAGGGACCCCTGACCATTAGGTCCAGTTGTGACCGACTCTGGGGTTGCGGCGCTCATCTTGCTTTATTGGCTGAGGGAGCCGGCGTACAGCTTCCGGGTCATGTGGCCAGCATGACTAAACCACTTCTGGCGAACCAGAGCAGCTCACGGAAACGCCATTTACCTTCCCGCCGGAGTGGTACCTATTTATTTACTTGCACTTTGACGTGCTTTCGAACTGCTAGGTGGGCAGGAGCAGGGACCGAGCAACGGGAGCTCACCCCGTTGCGGGGATTCGAACCGCCAACCTTCCGATTGGCAAGTCCTAGGCTCTGTGGTTTAACCCACAGCGCCACCCGCAGGCAGAAGTATATAGAATCAATTACCACAGCACTTTAACTCTTATGTCACTGGGGTGTAATTGATTTATTACTGAACAGAAGCACAAAAAGGAAAGAAGCTCTCATTCACTTCAATAGTTAAGCATGTGATCCATAATGGAAAGTGAAGCATGTGCTTTACTCCCTCTCACCCGTCAGTGGGATCATAGTAAGTTTAGCTTTCAGGTGGATTGTACTGACTTTGCAAAAAATACTTCAGAGACAATTTAATAGGCACCTACCTCTTCTAGTATTAATAGGTCCACCTCGCATTGCCAATATCAACTTCAAAGTGCAGCCCTCTGAAATGCTGTAAACCAATCAAAAATGTTTTGTAGCCTTTTTCCCACAACAGAAATGGTATTTAGAAACATCTGTAATTGCATTTAAATACTCACTTGTAATCATTCAAGCAATAGTCGTCCTCCAGCTCTACATTATTCCAGATTAAGTGTTGCTGAGATACGGGGATACCTTAAAATGACATCCATAAATTTTAATTGGCTTACTGACCTTGTAAAGCTGTGCCCCAAATCACCATGGTAAACCACTGAAATTAATTTTAAGTATACTTAGTTATGTAAATTCATTTAGGTTAAAGGTACTAAAGAGCTGAAAAGATGTGAATACGTAGTAGAAAGTGCCTTGAAAATATATAAAGGAACACCCTTACATTACTATCAAGTGAACACAAACTACTGTCCTTTTCTGTCCTTGAGATTAAATGGTAACAACATAAAAACAGAATACAGTGGTACCGTGGTTTAAGAACAGTCCGATTTAAGAACGATTTGGTTTAAAAACTCTGCAAAACTGGAAATAGTGTCTTGCTTTGATAACTTTACCTCGGTCTAAGAACAGAATCTGAACGGTGGAAGGGCACTGGCGGTGGGAGGCCTCATTATAGGGAAAGCGTGTCTCTGTTTAAGAACGGACTTCTGGAACAGATTAAGCTTGTAAACCAAGATACTACCGTAGCTACTTTGCTTGAAAAGTACATGGTTTGAACTAGCCTGCTTCCAAAAGCAAGTAGCCAGATGCAACAAGAACCTAGCAAGCGACACGCTGTGTAAAGTGTGCCTTTCATCTATCTTGAAATTACTGCAAATCAATTTCACTCTACATACAAAGTAGGAACCCACAGGATGGCATTCCAGAGGTTAGTGCCACCACTGAAAAGGCTCCATCTCCAGTTCCTAGCTGTTTGATCTCACATGACATGCCATTCTCTAAGGCGGTCTTATGCAGGTAGAGTTCACGAGAGAAGGAAACGACTGTATTCTCTAATTTGGGGTTACGCTATTCTCTTCAGGAGAACTGTGTTGTGTTACGCCATGCCCCACCCCACAGCCATTATGTGTTATGCCACGTCCCCATGGCAACCATTTGAGATCACTGGACTCCTCTCCAAAAACCGTATGACCATCATTGCTATTTACTGTTGTTGCAACAGAGACCAGGCAAATTTAACCCATATGATTTGGGAAGGTTCTGTTCTTATTTCCTTTTGGGCAGGGTTGTTGACTGTGTCAATGTAGTATTGAGTATCGTATTACAATGTAATGATGAAGAACTCTCTGAAGATACTTCTATAGCATGAACAGTTGATAGATACCCATACAGAAAAGTGTAAATATTTTTAAGAATAAGTTACTACCAAAACATATCAGCTCATTTAAATTGGCTAATTCACTGTCTTTGTAAATATCTCAATGATACACCTCAATGAGAATTCTAAACTTATGTAAGAAACGAAATGCCAGTACAATTCAATGGATGTTGTTGAATGGATGCTCATCAAATTTGCAGGTGACACCAAACTGGGAGGGGTAGCTACTGCCACAGAAGACAGAATCGGGATTCAAGATGACCTTAACTGATTGGAGAACTGGGCCCAAACTAACAAAATGAATTTCAAAAGGGACAAATGCCAAGTTCCACACTTAGGCAGGAAGAACCAGCTGCAGAAATATAGGATGGGAGACACCGGGATTACCGGTTGTACAAGTGGAAAGGGTCACGGGGTCTTAGTAGACCACAAGCTGAACATGAGTCAAGAGTGTGATGCATCAGCAGAAAAGGCTAATGCTATTCTAGGCTGCATCAGCAGAAGCACAGTGTCCAGATCAGGGGTCGGCAAGGCTTACCTGGCATGGGCCAGATCACTCCCACGGAGATCCTCCGTGGGCCGGACCGGTGCAGCGCTGGAAATCGCACTTGCGCATGCCCAGAAGTGATTTCCGGAGCCGCGGAAGAGAGTCCCTGCGCCACTCAGCATCGGTTTAGCGTAGCGTGCGGGGACTCACTGAGCGGGCGGCTCAGTTCAGGGGTGGCTCATAGGCCGGTTAAGCGACCCTCATGGGCTGCTTCTGGCCCATGGGCCTTAGGTTGTCAACGTATGGTCCAGATCAAGGGAAGTAGTAATACTACTCTATTCTGCCTTGGTCAGACCCAACCTGCAATCCTGTGTCCAGTTCTGGATACCACAATTTAAGGATATTGGTAAGCTGGAACCGGTGCAGAGAAGGGCAACCAATATAATAAGGGCCTGGAAACCAATCCTTATGAGGCATGGCTGAGCCTGGAAAAGAGGAGCCTGAAAGGAGATATGACAGCCATCTTCAAATATCTAAAGGGCTGTCACATGGTAGATCCTAGAATTGCAGAGCTGGGATCCCGAGGGACATCTAGTCCAACCCCCTGTAATGAAGGAATCTCAACTAAAGCATCCATGACAGATGGCCACCCAACCTCTGCTTAAAACTTCCATCAAAGTACACCACCTTCCAATGGAGTCCGTTCTACGGTCAAACAGCTCTTACCATCCAAAAGTTCTTCCTGATATTTAGTCAGAATCTCCTTTCTGTGGCAGGAGAAAACAAGTTTGCTCCATCTTCCAGGTACAGTCATACCTCGGGTTAAAATAGCTTCGGGATAAGTATTTTTGGGTTGCGTGCTGCGGCGACCCGGAAGTAATGGAGAGCGTTACTTCCGGGTTTCGCCGCTCGCGCATGCGCAGACGGTCAAAATGATGTCATGCGCAGAAGCACCGAATTGCGGGTTGCGTTCGCTTCTGGATGCGAACGGTGCTCCGGAACGGATCCCGTTCGCATCCAGAGGTACCACTGTATTTCACACTGCTAGCTAGCTCTTTACACTGATCACCACTGCATTACAGATCACAATGGCATGTTTTCTATAAAATAACCACCTTTTCAAGTGCTAAGTTAAAAACCTTTCTAGATTTTTATAACTTAAAAGGACACAAACCTTCCAATCTCTGGATTTTAGTTTTCACAGAAATTACTGTTTCAAAAGGAGATACCAGCAACTCAAAGCATGTTCCTGTTAGAGTTTCAATGAAGAGCTCCATAGTCTCATAGAAAGCAAATTTGTAATGGCATGGTCCCATGTTATTATCATTGTAGAAAGGAGGTTCTTTCTTGTTGGCCATTCTAGGTACTTTAAAAATGCCTTGTGGGGAAGTCAGTTGGGAAGCGTTGGGCACTGGGCTCCACGACAAGCCAAGTCAGCTCTGAACACGGGAAATGGGTGATGCTGTTCATGTTTCAAAGTTTGCACCTAAGACAGACGCAGAGTCAGTAAACATGGTATTTGAGGGAAACAACATTCTTTAAAAAACAAACAACAAACAAGCAATTGTCTCTGAACTTCTTGTGTGAGTTGTGACACAAAATAGTTACCTGACAACAGGCTACAGGTCAAAAGAAGGGACTGTTTATGGGCTGTGCTTACACTATCACCCATCAAAACATTTGCTTGTCTGGGCCGTTATTTGACTCAGGAGTAATTTTCTCAGCAATATTGAAACAAACTAATAAACTGATATTAACACTGTTGTATCATAACCGAATTCTTTTCTATTCACACATGCAGCTCATAACCACTCGCTTGCAAGAAGTTAAGGAGGTAGAGTATCTGCAAAATCACACATACTGGTCAAGGCCCTTCAATGAGTTAACTCAGGGGTATGCATCTGTCTGCCCCGAGAGACAGTCCAGTATGCCTCTGGGGATGAAGTCAACCCAGTGTTTGCAGCACCAAAGTGACCTTCCATGGTGTACAAGCCTGGACAGTGTGTATGGGGGTCCTGGGCTGCCCCAACGACAAGACACTCCTCTTGGTCTTGATGATGTGGTCCAAAAGAAAGCAGAGCAATACGTTTGGCAACAGCTTGGCTGCAGGAGTTGCCAGGAGGAGGCGTACAAGACGCCATCCAGTCATCTTCGGGACTCCACTCTGGATTTGTGTATGGTTTCCTCCTTAGCCTTTTCTTCTCCTGAAGATATCCCTCAAGGCAGCGGAGGTTAAGGACCAGAGTTTTCCTTCTCGTAGATAGGCTACATTCCCAGGCTGACAAACCCCATCTGCCTCTCACTTCCCTCTACAACACACTGGGGAAGTCCCTAACTCACTGAGGGTTTGACACCCATCAGCTACCCTCACCCGATTTAGCTTTAAATTTGAAAGGCAGAAAATTTAATTACTGGGTTATTTATTATTTTCAAAACTGTTCTACGTTTTGCAACACATAAAGCAGCATACTTGGTAACTTGGACAGATGTTTAGCAAGCCATGAAGGCAAGCGCACAAGTTAGGCACTTGGAAAGTTCACTTTCTTTGCTTCACAACTGATTTTGGGCCAAATTATAAACAGTAACCAAACAGGTACGATAACTGAAGCATACCTCCTGCTGTCCCGAATGGAAGCAGCCATTTAACTGCCAGCTGTGTGCTCTAGGCTGCGCCGATTGTTTAGTCTGTCTGTCGTTGTAAGGGCTTCTAGAAGTTCACACAAGAGATTGCTGTACAATCTCTAACATCCCAATTCCATGCATGTTTATTCAGAAGTATGAGCAATTGCATTCAACATGGCTTACCACTAAGTAAACATGCACGGAATCGCAGCCTAAGTCAATCAAAACGTTTCAGTGGGAACGTGGCTAGAGTACCTGGGCTGAGCAGTGGAAACAACCATGAACTTTTTTCTTCACTAGCGCAATTCAGCCCAGATTTATGAAATCCAACAAACACTGTGTGGGAAATGGGACTTTGAAACTGAAACACTGGTGAAGCAGTTGCACAGAGAAAGAAGCAAAACCCACAGCTTCACCACTGCCGACCTGACTATGCTCATTGGCCTTTCAGCAAAGCAGCCTTAAGGCTGAGTGCTGTGAAGTCTAAGAGGTTGAAAACTGCCAAGGAGGAAGAGGTCTCCCATTATGAACCTGGCAATTCAAGGAGCGGCTTTGGGCTTCCGGTTCCGACTGGCAGCCTCTGGACTAACTTCCAGTTAGTGCAGTGTGCCAAAGGTAGTGCAGTGTGCCAAAGTGACAATTGCCTGCAGCACCCCGCAGCTGAAACATGAAGCCTGTATAGCATGAGTAATTTATTAAGGGTTTGTTTTTATCTATTAACAATCTCAATAATACGAATAAAAGGAAATCATAAATAAACTTGGGAGGGGGAATCATTTTTTGTTTGTTTTCTATTAACAATCTCAATGATATGAATAAAAGGGATGTATGAATAAAAATGGGGGGGGGGGGGAGGTAAACTTTGGGTAAATAACCATATACACAAAGTCCTCAACTTACATTACATTCTAAGGAGCGTGCCGAAAGCCGTAATTGTGTATAGTCAAAACCCACTGGGTTCAATGGCAGGCGGGGTTGCCCAAGTCATTTTCACCAGAACCCCACCACCTTTTGACTTTTTTTTTTTGCCAAGCACATAAAGCCGAATGCACACGAGTTCAACGTGCACAAGCTGCGGATTCAATGTGCATAAAATTCCATTCGCTGCGTTGGCATCAAGAAGGAAACGTGAACACTTGTGAACGTGAACACCTCTGCCGTATGAGGCTCGCAATACCTGGCTGCAGGAACCCTTGCAAAATTTTTTTGATAAATTCAAAGGGTGTGCACGGGAGGATGCGGTTTTCGTACTCTTTGCAAGGGAAAGGCGTGGGAACTAAACACTGAGGTGAAGCCTACAGATAGGAACTATCATATTATATATATATATATATATATATATATATATATAGTTATATATAGTTCTATATATATATAGAACTATATATATATAGTTATATAACTATATATAAGTACATAGCTATATAAAACTATAACTAGATCTATATAAAACTATCTATATCTAGATCTATATAGGATCTATATAGGAACTATATCTAGATCTAATAGGTTATTGTATTTTAGTGTTCTGTTGGAAGCCGCCCAGAGTGGCTGGGGAAACCCAGGCGGATGGGCGGGGTATAAATAATAAATTATTACTATTATATAAAACTATAACTATATATAGATAGTTATATAGATAGTTCTATCTATCTATCTCTATAAAACTACTCTCTCTCTCTAAATAACTAGTAGACTTCCTCGAGTCCCTGTCAGGACAAAAAGGTGGGGTGTAAATAAATATATAACAACTGACATAACAAATCCATACATAGTTAATAGTGCTAAGAATGCCAATTCCCAAAACAAGACTCTTTTGGAGGGCGTCTAGTCGCTAAACAAGCGCGTCCCGCGAAGGAGGGAGGAGGGGAAAGAGCGCAACGGCCGCCTCGTCCTCCTCACCTGCCTGCCGGTCGCCTCCGCCTCTCCCCCCTTCGGTCGCTGGACGGGGCGGGGCCAAGCGCCGCCTCACAGGACCACCGGGGCCGCCGCCGAACACGCGACCATCACGAGAAGGCTGGGAGGAAGGCGCGGAAGGAGAACCGGCGGGCGCCGCTGCCGTTAGCCGCACTCACTCACTCCCGCCCGCCCCCGCCCGCCCCCTCCCCTCACAACGCGGCGCGCAGCCCGCCTCCTCCCTCGTCCGCCCACCGGGCCTTTGTGACGCGGCCAGGCGGGCTCCGGGCCAAGCCGCCCAGAGGTCTCCGCCCTCCCGAGCGCCGCCGCCCAATCGCCGGGCGCTCCCGCGGCTGGCGAAGAGCGGGGGGCGGGACTTCCCGCCGACGCCGGGGCGCTGTTGGTCGTTAACGGAGCGTGGGAGGGACCCCGGATGTTGGGACCCGCGTTGCCCTTAGCAACGCGCCCTCGGCGCTTCCGCAAGGCCCGCAAGAGCTGCCGGGAAATGTAGTTTCGCGGTAGCCGAGTCCTAGTTAAAGAAGGTGGACTACTCGAGTCTGGCATTTCAGTAACTAGGAGGGAGACATGCGGTCTGGACAATGGGTTAGCGCCTATCACAAAATCAACGCCAAAAAGATAAGCTCTCAGGTTTGCTTCCACCCTTGGGAGTCTTAAGAACAGGCACAGGCAACCTTCCGCCCTCCAGATGTTTTGGCCTACAACTCCCATGATCCCTAGCTAACAGGCCCACTGGTCAGGGATGCTGGGAATTGTAGTCCCAAAACATCTGGAGGGCCAAAGGTTGCCTATGCCTGCTTAAGAATATTGGGAGACAGGAAATAAGCTGCCATCTGTCTGGAGAGACAATGGAGTGCGCCTCTGGAGGTGAACTGCTGCCCAGACACACTGTGCATGGGGGTCCTGGGCTGCCCAGATGACATGCCTCACTGATGTGATCCAAAAGAAAGCAGAGCAATACGTTTGACACCAGCTTGGCTGCGGGAGTTGCTGGAAGGAGGCGTACGAGATGCCTCCTTCCACTCTGGATTTGTGTAGGACCTTGTTGTTGTTGTTGTTTAGTCCTTTAGTCATGTCCGACTCTTCGTGACCCAATGGACCAGAGCACGCCAGGCACTCCTGTCTTCCACTGCCTCCTGCAGTTTGGTCAAACTCATGCTGGTAGCTTCGAGAACACTGTCCAACCATCTCATCCTCTGTTGTCCCCTTCTCCTTGTGCCCTCCATCTTTCCCAACAGCAGGGTCTTTTCCAGGGAATCTTCTCTTCTCATGAGGTGGCCAAAGTATTGGAGTCTCAGCTTCAGGATCTGTCCTTCCAGTGAGCACTCAGGGCTGATTTCCTTCAGAATGGATAGGTTTGATCTTCTTGCAGTCCATGGGACTCTCAAGAGTCTCCTCCAGCACCATAATTCAAAAGCATCAATTCTTCGGCAATCTGCCTTCTTTATGGTCCAGCTCTCACTTCCATGCATCACTACTGGGAAAACCATAGCTTTTACTATACGGACCTTTGTTGGCAAGGTGTAGGACCTTACTTAGCCTTTAGAGTTTGGATTTGATATCCCGCCTTTCATTCCCTTTTAAGGAGTCTCAAAGCGGCTAACATTCTCCTTTCCCTTCCTCCCCCACAACAAACACTCTGTGAGGTGAGTGGGGCTGAGAGACTTCAAAGAAGTGTGACTGGCCCAAGGTCACCCAGCAGCTGCATGTGGAGGAGCGGAGACGCGAACCCGGTTCCCCAGATTACAAGACTACCGCTCTTAACCACTACACTACACTATACCACACCACACTACACCACACTTTACTCTTCCCAAAGATAGCCTTTCTCCTAGATGAGCTACCTTTCCAGGTTGACAAGCCCCATCTGCCCCTCCCTTCTCTCTGCAGCATGTGCAGAAACCACCTTGACTGTTGGACTGACTCTCTGAGGGTTTGAGACCCACTGGCTACCCCCATCAAGTTTAGCCAGCCATTCGAAGCCACATCCTGGCAGCATCCAAGAGCCACAGGAGAGAGCTGAGTGCGTGGTGGGGACCCAAGGTGCAACCCAGAAGGAGCATGTGTCCCCCACCAGAGGTCCTACCCCTCTCCCCTAACACCCCATGCACAAAAACTGGTTTTACAAATTGTATTTATCAATATCAGATTTATTTTGACAGTTCTGATTAATAAAATCTATACTCTGTACAAAAGATTACATTAGCAGGTCAATGTATAAGCTACTGAACTGGAACAGAAGTGCTACAGGGTACTGAAATTATTTTTGGAACACTATGTTTCTTTTGATGCCCTGGAAGGAGAAATATTTAGATGCGAGCCTGAACAGCTCCGTCATACCAGGAGTTTAATCGGAAAGCAAGGGAATTAGTACTGGGCAGGATAAGAGTGCTACAGAAGAGTCAACGGCTACATTTTCATTGACCTTCAAATACATTGAGCGGGTCTTCAAATGTACTTGATGTTCTGATTTCGGATTTAGTTCCTGAAGCTGCCTGAAAGGACTGGGCCTTCTTGATGGTTGTCTTGGATTGACTACTAGGTGAGAAGATATCATCTAAAGACACACACACACACACACACACACAGAGAGAGAGAGAGAGAGAGAGAGAATGGGAAATGGAAATACACAATTACTGCCAATGGTAAAAAAAAGCTACATTTGGCTGAGAATGTTGTCTGTGTGCAAGTGTGATGAACCTGGTTTATATTGCCAATGACTTCTAAAGTTTTGCCAAATTGATATTGCTGGCTTCCATTTTAAAAGGGAGACAGACACTACTAGTTTTGTGTGTTTTGTCACCTTTCACCACCACGCTTTTCCGCCCATTGCTGAATTGTTTTAAAGGCAATGGTCATGGAAAAGTCCCAGCTCCTGCTCAGATTATCTCAGACTCAAAAATTACATGACCTGCCTCAAGTATTAACTAGACAATATTCTGTCTCTTGCCATTTTAATGATCTTGAAAGATACTCATCAGTGCACATTACATGGGAAGATAGTAATCTTTTCCTATTAAAAGGCGGAACTTTAGTTTCCATAAGATTCTTGTTCCTTGAAACAACTGCCGTTTCTCCCATCCTGTCCCTTAGGCCTTAAACTGTCTTCCAGATAGTCTCTATGGAATTTCACCCTTATTTACGTCAAATCCCTCCTCAAAACTCACAAAGCCTTTAGACCATTCCAGATGTAATTTCCTACTGTAACTAAATGTGTAGCAGAAATAATTGCATCATATTTGCCCATTTAGTTTTGTCTCCATTTGCTTCTCTATTTTCTATTTTTGGATAGTGTCTCTAGCTATATAAAAAACAACAAAATATCAAGTATGTACATATTTGCTGTATTTATTTTTTTCTGCCATCCTAACTATGGATACCCCCAAACCTCTAGAGAATGAGAAGGAAATTATTACGGTTCAAATGGAGTTGTGAAAGTCAAATAATAGGTTTTGTGACTGGTGTGAATTTAACCAGATACAAAACAAGGTTAGTAGCTATTGCCCGGGAAGCAACACTGAACCTGCTCATGGAATTTAGTGGGTCAGTAATGACAGATACAGGAGCTGCTGACTGTGCCAAAAGCGTTTGAGCCAAGTACTGAGATACTTTGGATGTTTCACATTTTAGTCTATTCTGTAAACACTGTTAACACCAAAACTTTGTTGGAAGTAACAGAGCATTTGAAAACACAGCACCCCTCTGCCGTGTATTAACAAAAAACACACTTTCACATTATGCAGGCTTTTCAAAATGCAAATATAGCATCATCTGGGATGGGGACTGATTATTGGGATAGCTACAGACAAGCAGTGGGAATTTTCTTACAATGGGAGGATATCCTTTCAATGCAAACTGCTCATTCAGAGGAGATAATAAATTTTCTCTACCCTATGAAAACCACCACTTGGCACTTGTAACCATATTACAGACCTAATTGCTTACATTAACTCCTTACCTATCTCCTCATCAAATATAGATTTAGATTCCATCTTCTTTTTGGCACTCCTTTCTTTTGGTTTTACTGCAAGATCAGCAAAGATGTCAACATCATCATCAAACAGGTTCACTTCCAGCTCTTTTGATTTTGCTTTGACAGGCGGCTTAAGAGCTTCTGATGCAAATATATCATCCTTGAATAAAATAAGAGAAGTTTCAGTATAGGACAAGTTTGTGTAGCCACATTTCCCTACTCTCGCTACTTGGAGGCTGGTAATTCAGAATACAGCTGCTCTCATTCTGCCTGGTTTGGGGTTGGAGGCAATGAGTATTACCAGTTTTTCTTTTGTAGTGCCTGTGCCACTTCTTCAATTTTCAAATGTACCTTGGGACCCAATAAGGTTGGAGTCCCCTGCTATAGGCAATCATGGTATTTATCAAATTTCTATCCCACCCCTCCTTGCTTAATAATCCTAGGGCAGATCACAAGTCACAGCACAACAACTCATACACAACAATTCAATACTAAAATCGCAAAAACCGCAGTAAAAAGACATAAAACATCAATATATATATATATATTTTAAAAATCCTTAAATGTTCACAGTACAGCAGGCAATTAACTGGCAACTGGCCTCATCAACTGAGCCCCCCCCCCCCCCAAAAAAAAATCTGGGCAAAGAGGCATATCTTCAGCTGGTGCTGAAGGTAAAATGTGCATAGCTCCTTTGCAGTGAGATTTGCAAAGTGTACCTATCTTTCTCTGGCATCAACACATTTCTATCAACATGAGCAAGTTACTTCTTTATATGCTACACAGCAAGGTTTTTTAAAAATAAATAAAAAAGAAGTGTGATGTGAGTTGGCAATGTTTCTTTTTGTTGTATTTGAAAAATAATTCCAAAATTAAAAAGTGGGAGTTTTCAGGCTACCTCTGTGCGCGATACCTGACACAGATGCCAGTGGTACAACATAGAATCTAGCCAAGTTAAATTCTCTTCCCTGCTACTCCAGTAACACATAAAGCAGCCCATTAATAACTTCTGCCGAATGTGTAAGAATTTTAAAGCACACTACACACCACAACAAAATCTACATAAATGCTTGATAGATAATTAAAGCAACTGCCTCTTCACTGAGATCATCCAGTGGAGGGGAAAAATGGAAATGAACTGGGTGAATTGTACTCAGGATTTGCCAAAGTATCATTGTGTTTCAAAGGCTGGCCCAGGAAAGAAAACCCAGAGAGACCAGGTAAAAGGAGGAGACTGGAAATGAAGAAGTTAAACATGCCTATGTTTCCTACAGCTTTCCAGAGTTAATCAAGATTTCCAAATCACAACATAACCACCTCCCCATTCTACAATATGACATCACACCCTCGTGCTATCTAATTTTCAGAGGAATTTATGCAGTGGACTGTAAGCCCATGCTTACAGAGTTGCTGAGCCAGGAACAGGGAGGCTGTGGTCTTCCCTATGTTGTCTGACTCCAACTCCCATTGGCCCCAACAAGGCCAATGGTCAGGAATGACGGGGAAATGGAGCTCAACATCTGGAAGATGCACATTTCCCATCCCTGTGCTAAGCAAAAGTAGCAGAGCACAAAAGAAGCCATGTCCAGGCCCGAAGGAACAAGATTCCAACATTCACATACTGGCAGGTCTCTTCCAACTCTAAAATTCTATGTTTCTCTATTACCTCAAAAATATCTGGGACGGAAGGATCCTGGACTAACTGAGGAATGGGTTTTGGATCTTTCCTCTTCACAGTTTTTTTACTGGTGGCAAAGAGATCATCTTCATCCTCCAAGAATGGAGTTGGGTCGGGTTTCTTTGAGGGCTTTTCAGCCTGGAAGAGGCCTTCACTATTTGCACCATCCAATGCCAATGGAACAGGCAAACCTTCCCCACCTTTAGGGACCTGGCTCATGAGGCTTTCCGTTTCCACCTTTGCCTTTGGTCTCGTGGTCACTTTAGATGCTATGCTGTCAGCAAAAATATCATTTGACTCAAAGAGATCATGCACATTAGGCTGGGCTGCTGATTTTGAGCCAGGGGTACCAGCTGCCTCGTGAAGCTGCTCACTGCTGTTGGTTGGTAGAGGCGTTTGAGATTCTTCAGTGTTTTCCTTCCTATGCAGTTTTACGTTGGAGGGATGCAATGTGGCTGGTGGCACAGAGCTTTCTTTGAAGAGAGGCGGGGATGGATCCTCAGCAATGTTCATGTCATTCGAGTTATCCCCTTGAGCAGCCAATCGCCTGGCACTTCTGGTAGGTGGCCTTCGCTTCCCAGTCACCTTGATTCTGCCCTGCAATAACAATGAAGCCAAGGTGACAACAGGACACAAAATGAGAAAGAAGTAAACTTACCATATTTTTCGCTCTATAGGATGCACCCGACCATAGGACGCACCTTGTTTTAGAGGGGGAGAACAAGAAAAAAAAATTCTGCCCCTCTCTGCTCAGCGCCCCTTCAGCGAAGCGGCAGGAGAAACGGAGCCCCTTCCATTTCTCCTCCCGCTTGGCTGAAGGGGTGCTACGCAGCCCTCTCTGCTGAAGCCGGGAGAGTCTTGCTCTCCTGGCTTCAGCAAAAGGAACCCGAAGCCTGCGGAGCGCATCGGGAACTCGCACTGCGCTCCAAAGGCTTCAGGCGGCTATCCCTGAAGCCTGGAAAGCGAGAGGGGTCGGTGCGCACCAACCCCTCTTGCACTCCAGGCTTCAGCGAAAGCAACGCGAAGCCTCCGGAGACTTTGCGTTGCTATCGCTGAAGCCAAGGAACCTGCATTTGCTCCATAGGACGCACACACATTTCCCCTTAATTTTTGAAGGGGAAAAAGTGCGTCTTATAAAGCGAAAAATACGGTACATTCCAAATAGCATCAAGGATGCTGCTGCATGAAGTATTACAAAGTTATACCTTGTTGGCATTTTGCAGTGTGTCTGCTTGCATGGGATCATCAAAGCTGACTCCCATCTCCTTATTACTTCCTACAGCAGAGGCTGTTTCAACATGCTGTACGCCATGAGGTTCATGAATCGGAGTCTTTGGATACAATGAAGGTGGCTTCGCACTGGGCAGCAAAACTGCTGGATTAATATCCAAGCTTGCCTTAGAAAGGGATGGAGAGGCCATTGTTAATGGGAGCAGTAGATAAGGAAAATATAAATGTGAAATCCAAGAAAAATAAAATCACCAAGAGCATTTCCACATTTGACAAAGATCAGGAAAAACAAGAATAGTGCATGCGCACAGAAGGACATGCCCTCTCACCCTTTCCCCCTCAGCTTAGGAATTTTAGTCCTGTCCAGAGACATGTCTTTCCCAAAAGGAAAAAAAGCACATCCTGTGAAACATGCATTTACAGAAAGCAGATGTTGCATTCACAAGAAAGGACTGAAGCCGGAAGTGGGGAAAAAAGAATTTTATTGTGGAAGAACCACAGTTAGCAGGAAAAGTACACTGAAAGCTAAAATGCCAGTAAAATAAATTACTTGTAATTTTCCAATCCTAGATGAGGACTCTCTATGTTTACTTGCACCAAGGCCAGTGGATTTCTGTATAAAAATTACATTAGATATACATTAATCCAAGTGAATAAAAGTAATGCACTCAGTATTTTACAGGAGCATCTCAGAAGCAGTATGATAGCCCAGAAAGTATGGTTGCCGCCCCCCCCCCCGCCTGAGCCCTTACTGCAACAGCGCAGGGTTGCCTGCAGCCTATGTGCCTCATTAGATTCAATAGGGGGAGGCCTGAATTTAGCCCACAATGCCATTTCCCCGAAGGCCATAAGGCATCAGGTGTGAGACAGGAAAATACATGGTTGAAAAGGAACAATCTTGAAAATGTGCTCTTGGCTGTTCCTTGACATGTGGGTGACAGATTCACTGTCTTCTAAATTTGGCATGAAATGTAACCCCAACTGGGAACTTAAAAGCCCCACTTTGATCTTCCTTTGTAGCACAGCGTGACTTCAAGCCATGCTGGAAAGGAAATGTAAGTGACCTAACACTGTGGCACCATGTGATTTGAGAGGTCGGAAGGCCCACTCAGCTGCCAACATAGCCTGCTGGGAGTGAAGAACTAAGGAGCCAGCCCTCCAGCAAAATCCTGTTCCCCACCCTTGCCTTAGTGACTAGGTGAAGAAGGGTGGAGAAAGGGCAGGATCATAGCTGTCAGCTTACAGATTTGAAAATAAGGGACCAGAAGCCTCAAAAATAAGGGATCAGCAGCCAAAATAAGGGATTTTCTGGGCACAGGTAGGTTCGACTTCTGAGCCTCTCTGAGCCAAAGGCAGAAAGCCCAGCCAAACGAAGCCTCAAGCGGTGGTTCCCACAGTGCAGCAACCCGGCAAAGGCGATGCAGCAAGGAAAACCACCAACACCTCTCCGCTGGGAAGCGCTGAGCAAAGGCGAGTCCCCAGGCAATGCGGCCGATTTGATCGGCACAAGGCATGCAAGCTCCCCCCCCGTTGTTCTTAAACTCGTTATTGGGTGAGCAACGCAGCCAAGCAACACAGTTGGAGCCTCCCTCCTCCCTGGCCAGCAGGGAGGGAGGGAGAGGAGCTGCTTCCTTTGAAACCAGGGAAATTTAAGGGACATCATCAGTAAGGGACAGCAGCGGGAAATGGCGCTGGGATAAGGGAGTTTCCCGCCAAATAAGGGACGGTTGACAGCTATGGGCAGGATGTCAGGAGGCAGTTAAAGGAGCAATGAGAATATCTATGTAGATTGCAAAGAGAATATCTATGTAGATATTTGAGTGTCTTATGTGCTTGCTTAGATAGAAAATGGGGATAGTTCAGGAACTGCATTTAGGAACAAGCTCTCGAAGCTCTCTAAAATTGGAACTTACAAACCTCAGTGGCCTTTAAGTTTGATTCTTCTCGTATGGCGTTTTTATTACTTTCCGGAACTTCACTATCCTCTTCCAAAGAGGAGATTACTGTTTTCTTCTCTGCTACCTTCCAAAAAGTAAAATAAAGAAGCGTAAGTGAACAAGAAGAGGAATACCCTAAATTCTGCACACTTATATATATTTTCCCATCTTAAAAATTAAGACTAAGATGGGGGTGGGGAGAGGCAATTTGCACTGGGTCTGCAGTGCATGGGGGATGGTTAATTCTCCCCTCCTGTGCTGGAACCTGTTCGGATTAGGCAACTTTCAAAAGCAGAAAAGAACAACAAAGACAATGTGAGGACCCTGGGATATTCCTTTTCCTGTGCCACATCTAGCACAAATGTGGAACTCGGAAAAGCTGCTGTGGAGAGTTGTTGGCTGCAATGACTGGCTGGTGAGGGTTTAAAACAAAAAACAAGAGGAGGAAGAAGACTCTTGGGCTGCTTCGTCCTAAAAAGTACAGTACAGCCAGCCCCCATTAAATGAAAGTATGAGGCATTTGTCTCATCTCTTCCCTGTTTTCAGGAGAATTTCCTTGTTCAAAAAGAGCTGAGCTGAAAAAATCAGTCTAGCTCTAGTCCCAAACATAGCTGTCAATTTACAGATTTGAAAATAAGGGACCAGCAGCCTCGAAAATAAGGGATCAGCAGCCAAAATAAGGGATTTTCCAAGCACAGGTATGTTCAACTTCTGAGCACCTCCAAGCCAAAGGCAGAAAGCCCAGCCAGTAGCCAAATGAAGCCTCAAGCGGTGGTTCCCACAGTGCAGAAACCCAGCAAAGGGGATGCAGCAAGGAAAACCACCGTCACCTCTCCGCTGGGAAGCGCTGAGCAAAGGCGAGTCCCCAGGCAATGCAGCCGATTTGATCGGCACAAGGCATGCAAGCTCCCCCCCCCCCCCAAGTTGTTCTTAGACTCCTTATTGGGTGAGCAACGCAGCCAAGCAACACAGTTGGAGCCTCCCTCCTCCCTGGGCGGCAGGGAGGGAGGGAGAGAGCTGCTTCCTTTGAAACCCGGGAAATTTAAGGTACATCATCAATAAGGGACAGCAGCGGGACACAGCGCTGGGATAAGGGACTTTCCCGTCAAATAAGGGACGGTTGACAGCTATGGTCCCAAATCTTCTTTCCACAAAAAGTGAGTCAAAAATCTAAATCCTGCAACACTGAGTAAGAACACTACTTGCATGAACAGTGCATCTGCCCAATTTGCTTAATTTATGTGGCTGCAGAAGAGAGTTTTTTTAAGCCGTAACATTCCATGTGATTAATATGCAAGGCAACGGGCAACTTTGCTCTGTGCATTACTGCTCCTCAAATTCTCAGGACAAAATGGCAAGTACCAAGGGCTTTGCTTTAGAAGGGCTGAATAGACCATCATCACCATCATCATCAGCTCCAAACAGCCCTCCTTCAGATGGAAGTTTTACCCTGGGCTTTGGAACCTGAAATTAATAATGGAAATAAATCAGTCTCTTATAAGTAAAATAAAACAAAATATTAAATTCCTTTACAGAACAGTAGAGGCAGATTTTTTGTGTGTGTGGTTCTAGACTTTTTTTACCTTTTCTCACAAAGAGTCACTTTCTGACTATATCCCCTTTAAACCACAGATAGGGAATATTTAGGGCCCAAGGGCCGCTGTCCCTCCCAGGCAGCTTTCTGGGGGCCACATTCCAGAGGTGGGCAGGGCCAGAGGCAAAAGAAGGCAAAGCAGCTGATGCGAGTCTTATCTCTGCACAGTAGAGGCTACATTACTTTTTTTTTTAAGAATAATTTTTTTATTAACCGACCAATCACATCAAATCAAACCAAATTACATAAATTCCAAATTACACAGCCGAATTTTAAATTTTTGTTGGGGGTACCCATATTTCAAGTTCCGAAGGGATCCAATCAACTTCTTGCTTCTTACTGCTGTTTTAATGTCCACAAATCTAACCTTATGATGTTCACAGTACTATCCAGTCCTTTCTTATTATTTTTCCACATCTCTTGTTGTTATTTTCATATATTTTTCCTTTCTCTTTGTGACCTCTGATAGTCTCCGCAAGCTGGTTAGAACAGTTTGTAATCCTGCGTGGATATTATTTTTTTTATCCAGTAGCCATATCCAGACGTTTTCCATATAACATCACTTTCATACATCAAAACAGTCTTAGCGTCATTAATCTTCACCAATCTGCCTCCTTTCTCAAAACCTCTGAGGAGATTCACTAGGAATGCAGTCTGAAAACAAATCCGTTCTTCCTCCCGGCTATAAATCCTTTGGCAAGATGGCGACTCCGAATTAATTGCTGCGCCATTCCCAAAAGCTCTTATTGCTTCTCGGTCTCCATAAAGCATACTTTTGGTTAAAGTTTATCTCCACACAGACCTTAATCATCCTGCTTGGGTCAGTTCAACCGACGGTTCTAATGAGGAGGGGTTCTTGTAAATCACATAGAAGGAAAGTAAAAAAGTCCCCCCCCCCCATTCAGCCCCGTTGTCAACATACCCCGCCTTTGGTGTATCTTCATCGTAAAATATTCCTGTTTCTCCAGCCCGTCGTCTTCTTTCGCAGAGGTCACTTAAATTAGCAGACTTCACTCCCCTTCTTCACTTGAAATATGTGCATTTGCTTCTTTTGTAATTAATTATTCCAAATTGCTGCAACTAGTGCGCGATCAGAGACAGCGTCCAGGAGAGCCGAGGTCCACACGGGGGCATTCTGCCTAGGGCCCTCACCCCCTCTTTCGAATTATGGGGTGATTTATGGGCACAGCAGGCAAGGGCAGTGTTCCCCATTTCCTTGGGGCAACAAGGGAGGCTGCCTACTCCCATAACAGCCTCTTAATTACCCCGTGTGGGTCGGAGAGATGGTATTGTCGGCCATCTTCCAATGCGCCCCCTAGCGGCCCCCAGCAGAGGCTACATTCCAGCAATGCAAGAATCTCAAGTTTCTGTACTCTGCCCCTTCTCAACACACTCCTTTCCATTCCCCAACCAGGTAAGCAAGAGCCATTATCACTGCTCAGACACATAATCTAGACAGGCAAAAGCACAAGAAAGGAATGTAGCCCAGGAAGAATCTTAAAGTCCATTTAAACCAGCTTGGAGGCTCCCCACTAAATGGGTGGAGGGCTTCTATGATGCAAGACTCTTCCACAAAAAGACATTGAATTGACTTAAGATTTTAACTGCTGTGAATTTTTTTATTACATGCATATGCATGGCCGCCTTGTTAAACTGCACGTAGTCAGCAGGGTTTGAACAACATCCTTTGTAAAGTTTTTCTGCTAGTGCTCCAACAGGAATTTTTCTTTTGGTTTTAATTTTTTCAAACACGAGGACCCACTTTAAAGGTATTTTGGACTGACTGACCTCTTTTTTGCTGCGAGCAAAAAGATCAACATCGGGATCATTGTCTTTCTGCAGCTTATGGCTGAAGAGAAGTTCTTCATCCTGAAAGACGCCTGTGCTCTTGGAAGGGATACTGTTCTCGGAGGGCTGGAAAAGAAGCAAGGCTCAAGAGGCTTTGTGGACTCCTTAATAACTTGAGTTTGTAACCTCTGTCAACTTGTCAACTTATTTCTAAGTCCTAAAACAATTCAATTTTCCAGATACCTGCGTGAATGCACATGACACACTCGTGTACACAACCTCACCACCACCTAGCAGCAGAGGTCCCTTGTCTGCTCCCTGATTCATGATGTTACTTAAGTAGTACTGATTCAATTTTATGTGTCCTTAAGTAACTATGTTGCTGCTATGTGTTTACAGTGCAGGCATCTTTCTTCATAGGTAAAGTAAAGGGACTCCAGTCATGACCGACTCTGGGGTTGCGGCGCTCATCTCGCTTTACTGGCCGAGGGAGCCGGCATTTGTCCGCAGACAGCTTCTGGGTCATGTGGCCAGCATGACTAAGCTGCTTCTGGCGAACCAGAGCAGCACACGGAAACGCCGTTTACCTTCCTGCCGGAGCTGTATCTATTTATCTACTTGCACTTTGACATGCTTTCAAACTGCTAGGTTGGCAGGAGCAGGGACCGAGCAACAGGAGCTCACCCTGTCGCAGGGATTCGAACCGCCGACCTTCTGATCGGCAAGTCCTAGGCTCTGTGGTTTAACCCACACGGCGGGAAGGTAAACGGCGTTTCCGTGCGCTGCTCTGGTTCGCCAGAAGCGACTTAGTCATGCTGGCCACATGACCCGGAAGCTGTACGCTGGCTCCCTCAGCCAATAAAGCGAGATGAGCGCCGCAACGCCAGAGTCGGTCTCGACTGGACCTAATGGTCAGGGGTCCCTTTACCTTTTAAACGCTTCGTTAGGAACTTTCTCTTACCTGGCATCTTGGCTGTGAGCCCTAGAAGACGTGCTCCCTGACTTGTAGACATTTTCCCAATTGGCCTGGGAGGGCGAAGCCCTGACTGACTCCAGCTACAAACGCTACTGAACAGACTCTTGGGTTGTAGTATTGTTTAGGGTGTTTTGGTGGTGTGTTTTTTTAAAAAAATTTATATTAATTGTTGTATCTTTATTTTTAGGATGACTCCAGTATCACTCACCTTTTCAATTTCCCTCTGTGTCATTTTATCAGCATCCACAGCTTCATTTTTCTCCTCTTCGTCAAATAAGCTGAATACACTTTTAATCCTTTTTTTAACATCTTTCTCCAAAAGGGGCTAAGAGTTATCAAACAAATGTAAGTTATCCACTGGATCTAGAGCAGATTGCGCTAAATGCTCAAGCTAGGTTTAGAAGTAGTTGAATTGATTTTACACCCCCTTATCCAGTAATTGGAACAACAAATTAAAAGGTTCCGTCTCTCATTTATTAATTTACTTTCTGTTTCTGTTTGCCTACCACCATTCTGAAAATATGCTCAAGGTAGCAAGAAACTGGCTACTGAGTTGCACGCTTAAGGTGCAAGATCACATCTGCCTGGAACACACAAATGATCATGGTTCCCAAACAAACCTCAAAACTCTCTGAACCTTCAAATATGTGCATTTTTGGCATTTCAAAGGCCAGTCTTCCTTCTCTCTCTCTCTCTCTCCGCCCCTCTGTCTCTCTCTCTGTGTACACATATAAATGTACACCTAGATGTAGTTGCTGAAAGTCATCTGTATATTACTTAGCAATCTGTAGACACCTTTTTTAAAAAAAAGTATAGTGACCCCAACATCGGCTGCCTTCCTTGCCAAAAATGGCTACATGGATTGACAGCTGATTTCTATAACTGGAGATCTTTGGAGAAATTGCTACACAACAATAGCTACCACTTACTTTCATGACCGCTGTCTTTCATTACATATTAATTTTATAGGCAGTTTCATTTTGTCAATTGATATGTCACTTTTGGACTATTTTCACTGCTTTGGCAGTTCCTGTGATCTTGTCCGTGGTTTCTCCCTATACAGCGCTGCAAAGGTTCAGCTCTTCCTCTGTTCCCTCACTGAAACCTCCAATTTAGTCTCTAACTATTACAACCTTCTCTTTCACTCTCACCTCTAAGATTCTGTTTCCAAGATGCTTCACTTGTCTCATATTCACGCCATGTGAAAGATCTCTTTAAACTCCTGCATTGCTTTCTTGCCCACTCCCATATATAATGCAAATTATTTGTCCTGGCATTCAAAGCCTTCTCAGCCTTGACCCATTATACAGATATATCTCTGCCCATGACCTTTCCTTCTTCAACTTTGACATCCTCAGCTACCCAAAAGATACCATTCTCCCTTAAACAAGACTGCCTATTCTACCTTACTACCCCTTATTCCTAAAACACCCCTCCCATAATGCCACCTCTCTCTTCTTTCAACTCTCCCCTCAAAGCTTAGTTTATGCTTGAAGACCTTGTTCTCTAAGACAACTAAGCCCAAGTATATATTGCTACACTGGTTCCTACTTTTATCCCCAACATCTCTGCCTAACTACCCCCTGGCCTCTCCCTTCAAAATAACTCAAGAGAGTAACATCCTTGGGGCAAGAGCCTATAATTTTGCTTACGTTACTTTGTATACTGTCCAATGGTGCTAAATATATTAAGATAGCGTTATTAAAATAGTGATCTTCTGCTGGAAGAAAAGATTTTTGTGCCAAAGGTTCCTTGGTTACTAATCACTAATTTACTGATGTCTTTACTATTCATACTACTTCTCTGCCCTGCTCCCCAACAATACCATGCTTTAATATATTATTTTATTAGATTTTATTCTGATATTGTGTTTAATTTTTGAATGCTGCTTTGAGTCTATTTTAATACAGGACTTGTCCAATACAGCTAAAGCAGGAAGAGCTAATGTCTAGGTCACAGAAGAGGCTAAAAATGGCAGAATATGACTTATTTAGTGAAAATCAAACCAAGTTAACAGGGTCAAAGTTTCCTAAGACCAACTCTAACAATGTGCCCACTAGACTCCTCTATCATTGAAGACATACTTGCCAAAGGAATGTTTTTCAGGGGTTTGTTCAACATAAATAGGTTTTCCTTACTTCATCCTTCCTCTGCTGCTCTCCTGCATCTCCTCCTCCAAGATCAGACCTGTGAAGTGTACCAGGTTCACCCAAAGGTCCTGCCTTCTCTTCCACTGGTTTCTTTTGACGTGTTCCCAGCAAATCCTCCTGCTGATCAATAAATGAAAGTTTAAAATCTGAAATGACTTAGAAGGTAAATGTATTTAAATAGACATATGGTGCTTCTGAAAGGGGGGATTGTAAAAAAAAACAAAAATCAGCTGTGTATGAATCGCTGTTTGTGACTGCTATATACTGTAAATAAAGAAAACCACAATAAAAAAGATCTAACAATGAAGGACCAGGAACTCACCCCTTTCTCAATGGACTTGGAAAACTTGCCAATTTCAACAATGCAAAATGGAGTGTTACAGAATCACGTTCAGTTGAGAATGGCTGACAAGTTTAAGATTTTTTTACAGCAATTCATATGATGAGGTTGCTTCTGGTCCATAAATGCTTTTGCCATAATAAATTTGTCAGTATTTAATGTGCGACAAAATTTCATTTCATTTTTGCTGTTTATCTCAGATTTCTCTAAGGAGGGCACTATCTCTCACAAAGCAGCCTAAGGATAAGCTATAGACAGCAGCTGCCTGGCTTTCTCTCCAGAAGCCTCACTGGATGTGTGAAGTTGGGGAACCTGTAGTCAACCAGATGTTGCTGGAATTCAGTCTTCCAGCTGTTGGAATTCATTTCCATCAGTCCCAGCCGGATTGGTCAATGGTCAGGGATGATGGGAGTTGTAGTCCAAAAACATCTGGCAGGTTACAGGTTCCACATTTGTGGTGAAGAGACTAGGCAGAGGGAGTTAGAGCATGTCTCCATCCTTTGAATAGCAGAAATATGTGGGGATTAAAGCAGAGCTGTGAAGCATATGGGAAAAAAGTTGGGAGCAAAGTGTTGAGAAATTCCCACTTTAGAACGCTGTATTTGAGCTGTATATACCGTTACTTCTTGTACACCTGATGGGAGATGGGATGGTTGAATGCTGAAGAATGAGTCTCCATTTACAGCATCTTCTTGGAACAAGAGGGCAGCTTTGGGTGGTTTTCTTTGACTGCAACAAGAAAAAAAGAAGCACCATGAAATCACACAAATCAGATTATCAAACATGGCAGTTCTTGGTACAAGATCCAAGTCCTCTGACTGCCTGCTGATTACAACAGTAGTAGGATAAGTAACCACAACCCATCCCTGAAATTTAGGCCACTGGTTCCACACAGGGGGACAAACTTCTAGGTCATAAGTAGGGAACCTCTGGCCTGTGGTTTTATGCTTTCATATTGCTGTATATGTCTGTGATATATATTATGATACAGTGGGGGTGGGGGTGTAAGATAGATGATAGATAGATAGATAGATAGATAGATAGACAGACAGACAGACAGACACGAAGGGTGACAAAACAAAGTATTGGAAAAAAATTAAAGTCTTATTTATTTTTTTATTTTTTTAAAGCCTAGTTCATAAAATCCCCCTCCACTCTTTTCCTTTTAAATGATGGGAAAGGATTAGGGGGAAATAGAAGAGAATTCCTATACGTTGACCACAGCTAAAGTATTTGTTGCAAAAGAATGTGTAGAAAAATTGTGGCAGTTTGTTGAAATGAGTTAATTTGACTACTGCAACAAAAACAGAGGGATGATAGTTTTGCAACAAGGTGGAATAATTTTGTTAATTAAACAACGAAAGTTGTTACCAGGAATAATTGGTGTATAATGTTTTGAATATTAACATGATGCATAGAAATTAAGTACGTTTTGTGTTTCAATTCAACATATACTAGTGGTATTTATCACTTAATAATTAACTGTTCTTATGTGTTCCCTCAATCCAGAGCTAACCACAGGCTCAGGCAACGTATGCAAACCAGGATTGTTGTGGGACCCCTATTGTGTATTGTGCACCAGCAACATAAAGTTATGTTACTAAAGTGGCTAAACAAAGTAGTACAGTAGTTATATAGAAAGCACTGTAGTGAAATAAGGCATACAAACCAACACAACAAACTAAAACTGCAAATGTACATTCAAATAGCAAGCAAAAAGTCCAAGCTGCTTCAAGTTCAAAATTCTGCCTGCCTAGGCAGCAGACAGAGTTAATCCACTCTTGCCTGGCTTACTCCTGTGGGGAAAGTGTTCAAAAAAAGCACTATATCCATTGCCAAGGGAAGAACTAGACACAGCTGCTGCAATAGAAGATACATTTCTAATGCCCACATTTTACCTGTCTTTAGTGATAACAAACAAATCTTCTTCGCCTTCTTCCTCAAAGAGGCCTGTCTTAACTGTGTGGCTGGCAGCAGAGGCAGATTTTGTAGGTTCCTTTTTCTGGCTGGATTCAGAGGCAGGTTTGACCTCTTGGCCAATATTCCAGTGGTCCTAAAAATACAGCAATTATTCATACCTTTGTTGTACCAGGGGTTGTCTTTTTAATCGCATTCCTCAAGTTCACTGGGTTAAGCATGTATGAAGTATTTCTGAACACAGTGATTAACCGAGAAGCTACCAGAACAGTGAAACACAATGATCAAGGAAGTTCAGCCAAGTCAACCCCCCAGAATACTTAGCATTTGCCTTTCTTAGGTGAATTAAATCAAAGCCAATTTAAGCTGTAGCATAGTTCTCGTACGGACATATGAAGCAGTCTTGCACCAAATCAAGTCACTGGTTCACCTAGCCTAGTTTAGTCTATTCAGACTAGTTGTTCTACAAGACCTAAGATATGGGTCTTTTCCTTTTTTATATAAATTTATTTATTTGGTTTTTCAAATTAAAAATTTACAATCACAGACATACAACATAAAGACAAGATTCCAAAGAATCTCCTGGACTTCCCTCCTCCCTTTGTGGGTCCTATTATTAATCATTTCCTCCTGCATCTTTTATAATAACCCTAATCTTTTACATCTCCATCATATCTAAAATTCACCATTAAACTTCAAGTGTTATAAGATATGGGTCTTCTCCAGCTCTGCTGTAAGATAGCCTTTCAGCAAGAGATGCCAGGGATTTAACTAGCGCCCTTTGACAATAATGGCATGTATTCTATCCATGAACTATAGACCCTTTCACGTCTCAAAGCTGATGGGTGGGTGAGCACGATTTGGGGGAAATGGCATTGTGGACCAATACTGGCCTAGGGCCTGGAGGTTCTCCACCCGTTTTAACGAGACAACATGGACTGTGATGTCTTATACACAATTTCCAATGTTCTCAAGTTATTCTCTCACAAAACCCTTTGGTGTTTGTGCTGCACACTACTTCATAACGGTTCCCTAATTACTCAACAATGGAGCCTGGACCTGACACTTTTAGGAGTACAGAGGTTTTACTACCCAGTTATGTCAGATTCTCAACCTTTGAAAATTTGCAGGGCAGCTTTTCTCTGTCAGACCTTTCCGACAGAAATTCTCTAGATCCCAGATGTTTCTTCTATGTGCCCAACTTCTCATCTTCTGAACAGAAGAACCAGTTTTCAGAAGATGCTGCCTGGAGTTTTTTTAAGAGATGTTGCCTTGAGTTTTGTAGAGGCTGTTAGTTTTGAATATACTTATTATAGAGGGTTTAGAGTACTATCTCAGATTTGACAACAACCTTTTTTTTAAATAACTCAGGGAAAAGCCTTCCCATTACGGCTGCTTGTAAAAGCTTTGACTCTGAAGCAGTACAGCTGAAATAAATATCTTGCACAAACAGCTCTGACACATAGCAGCGGAAAACTAAACCTGAGAGTGAAAGTTCTGTATTAAATAATATCACTTTCACTTAACTGAGAGCTATAAAACCAGCCACCCTTTAACAACCTTTGCACATGTTACCTCCTCATCACTGCTGAAGAGCAAACTGGTTGCTTTCTTTACTGGTGGTTTTGAAATTTGTGCCTTAGGCGCAGACCCAAAGAGTTCCTAGAAAACACAAAGGGAAGAGATGGTTACTTTCCCCAAAGATGCAATCACTGTGGCATTCAACGAAAAACTGTAGAGGTAGGTGGGAGCCATGCCCCTCTAGTGTGCATCAAGACAGTCAAGGGTGACCCCCTCCCAAATGTTTCATTGCCTAGTCCTAGGTCCCAAATGTTGCTTTGAGCAGGTTCGGAACCCTTATGTGAGACTGTTCCAGATTTCCATGAATGTGCTCTTTATTGCACAATGTGTTGGAGGCACATCACAATCTGTTTGTGTTCAGTTTTTTTCATACAGACTGAGATAGATACTGGCTCAATAGTATTAGGAACCAGAGAAAACCAGGGAAGTTAATTTATTGGACTTGGAGCCAATGAAAGCTGGTGGGCGCCTTCAAGAAAGTGTTTTTATCCTTTTATAGATAAAAATGTTACCCAACTCCTCTTTCATTTCCAAGCAACCATGAGGACTATAAACTTCAGAAAGGAAATTGGAATTCTCAGGATTTTGTACCTATGACTAAATTAAGTACGTCTTACATTCTGTGTTCCAAGATACCCTCTAGACGTGACTTCCCATCAATGTCAGGCTTGTGTAGTGGCCCTAATATCAAATAACTTGTTTAAGCTCCTGAACAATCAAATTCTGAAAGAATGAAGCTGAGCACTCCGCTGCCCCCCCCAGCTGAAGACCTATATGTCCAATGCTGTATTGGGGTTCCCCAAAACCTTTGTAGTTGCTCTCTGATTGAGATCCTGCAACTTCCATCTGTGTTAAACTCTATTTTGTTGTTTGCTTCATTTCTCAGTGACACCCGCTTTTCTTCCTTTAGGCTCCTTATTTGCTCTTACTGCCCTCTGTGCTCCCAGTTCTTATATCCACTCCTCCTTGTTGAAGTTTGTGGCACACAAGGCCCTTTCCCCCTTCCAGCAATTAATTCGACCTAGAGAGAATCTGAGATGCAGGTACTTTATGACCGGCTGGCAGGCAAAGATGGCACCAATTCCACCAAATGCCAGCGAGTCCAGGAAAAGGAAGAGCAATATTTCCTCATGCTCATACTCCACGGTTGTTGGGCTCATGGGGCCAGGCAGTTAACTTCCCCACAAAGAGGTAAGAATGGGCTGCAAACAATTGATGTTTGGAAATCCCCAGTAGGGACACAAATGGGGGGAGAAGGGAGAACCACAATCAGCCCACAGGCATTGTGTCATACAGGCCTGCATCAGAAAGCATACTTTACTCTGAAGTAGAACCTAGTGCTTTCAGGCAACACCTACTTCTTCATCCTCATCCTCAAACAAAGATAGCGATGTCTTTGTTGTCACTTTGCTAGAAGATGAACTCTTTGATTTTGATGGATAAGAAAACAAATCCTGTTGGACAGAAAAGAAAGCTGGCATCAGCAATTTCCACCCCCAGAAGTACATTTACTCTTCTGGAATATTCAGCATCAATGGGCAGACATGAAGGGTAGCATTCTCTCTTTGTGGACTTCTGGGAACCTTACCTTTTCCTCCACTACTTGTAGTTTTACTCAGCTGATTAGACAACAAGGGAGGCGCAACTGCAGACAATCAACATAAAGGTGGACCAAACATCTTTTGTGGCACGCAGGCCAAATCCACTGACAAGTTTGTAGCTCGGTTGGGTTTGGTGCGAAAGTGAATGGTTAGATTAATAACTTACTTCAGAATCCTCCTCATCAGAAAACAGGCTTTTGTGGCCTTTGGAAAATGTCTGAGTTGAAGACCGGACGTTTTCAGCAGACGGTTGACTCTTAAACAACAACAACAAAACACACGCACACATTTATGTTGATTTGCAAAGGTTTTGAAAATAATCATGCTTTGGAATTGGTTCTCAACTAGTCGTTGACGAATGCCTTGCAACTCAAACATTTTGGCTCCTGAACGCCACAAACCCAAAAGTGAGTGTTCTGGTTTGCGAACGTTCTTTGGAACCCAAATGTCTGACATGGCTTCTGATTGGCTGCAGGAAGCTCCTGCAGCCAATCGGAAGCCGCGCCTTGGTTTCCAAATGATTTGGAAGTCGAATGGACTTCTGGAACAGATTCTGTTTGACTTCCGAAGTACCACTTTAATTGTTTTTCCAATTTTGCTACTCAAAATGTGCCTTTTTCTGCTGTCAGTTTGTTAGCTTTATATTTGTATTCTTTTTCATCTCTACAAAATACTGCTGCAAAAAAAAGCTGCAAAATACTGCTGCTGCAAAAAAAGCCAAGCCTAGAGAAACCCAATATCCATGTCCTGCTCATATAAAAGAAGACTATGCAGAATGTGAGAAGTAAAAAGGCCAAGTGGTTACTTTCTTAGGGAAATTGGAATCATTATTGGTAATTCACTGATCCTACATCCCAAATTGTGTCTTCCAGGAATAAATGCTGACCTCCCTTAAAAATATATGGCAATTTTCCTTTCAGTTGCACTCAAGACTGGTTGAGGAAGGATAGATGTTTCTGTTATTAATGTGAACGGCTGGTATAAGAAAGCTTTGTTCTTAGTTGTCTCAGAAAAATTAATCCATTATCTTTAAGGTTTGAAGGGGACTGCTTAAACCGGAGCTTTCCAAACCATGTGTTGCAACACGTTCGTGTGTCGGCTGCAGTATGTAGGTGTGTCACACGAACACTCCCCTCGGTCCTCCCAAGGCTGGAAAGGGGTTAGTTTAACCTCTGGTTTGCTAGTAAAACTGAATTACTGTGTCACAAAATAATGCATGTCTAAAAAGTGTGTCACCAACTTGAAAAGTTTGGAAAGCTCTGGCTTAAACCAATGGATTTGCTGCCACTTGGAGGACTTTTATGATGCACGTAAGCAAACAACATAGAAAGCCACTTATGCTAGTGAAGTTATGACTATCTGGCATTACCTGTAACATATAACTTTGCTTAACTGGTGCAAATCATGCCACCTTCCCCTGATGCCACGAAAAAGACTATGTTCCTCCTTTTCATTTATTGCCTTCTGCCTCACTCTCTGTTTTGTACTTACCTAGGTTTTCTATTAAGCCATTTCAATAACTTTTTTTGTTCTTCTTCAGTACGTCTTGTGTTATTGTACAGTAGTACCTCAGAGGGACGCGGGTGGCACTGTGGGTTAAACCACAGAGCCTAGGACTTGCCGATCAGAAGGTCGGCGGTTCGAATCCCCGCGACGGGGTGAGCTCCCGTTGCTCGGTCCCTGCTCCTGCCCACCTAGCAGTTCGAAAGCACGTCAAAGTGCAAGTAAATAAATAGGTACCACTCCGGCGGGAAGGTAAATGGCGTTTCTGTGCGCTGCTCTGGTTCACCAGAAGTGGCTTAGTCATGCTGGCCACATGAGCCGGAAGCTGTACGCCGGCTCCCTCGGCCAATAAGGTGAGATGAGCACGCAACCCCAGAGTCGGCCACGACTGGACCTAATGGTCAGGGGTCCCTTTACCTTTACCTCAGAGGTTGAACAGAATCCATTCTGAAAGTCTGTTCAACTTCCAAAACGTTCAGAAGCCAAAGAAGCCATGTCAGACTTTCGGGTTCCAAAGAACGTTAGCAAACCAGAACACTCACTTCTGGGTTCGCGGTGTTCAGGAGACAAAACGTTCGACTCGCAAGGCATTCGGGACCCAAGGTACAACTGTATTAAGATTTACTAGTGCTGCTGTCTTTTTAAAGTCTTGATAGTAAAAAGTGTTGTTGTTTTTTAAACACAGCTTTCTCCAGAGCAAGATCTCACAATCCTTTCAGAAAGAGTAGATTTGTCAGCAGCTATTGTTTTGAATTGCATGCCAGAAATATCCAAGGAAGAAGCCAATGGTGAACTTAATGATAGCCAAAAGTGGGTGAAACCACCCCTTTCTCTCCCTAGGCTGCTGGATAGTGGAAGATCAATGAACTGAGAATCTGTCATTATTATTATTATTTTTTGAAGTTTATTTATGTTGATTACCTTATCTCCTGCTGTAACGTCTTTCTTTTCTTTAGCTGCTTTGTTTGTAACAGTGGTAATGTCAGGCTTTTCCTTGAACAGATCTTCCTCACCTTCAAAGAGATCAGTTGCAGGTTTGGCTGTTTAAAAACAAAAGGTTTACTTCAGGGAAAACGTTAACTCATTAAAAAAGAAGTCAACTATCAAAGACACTGTGTATATTTTATTGTATTTGCAATGGCTTATGGCTAAAGCACCATATCATATCATACTCATCAGAAAAACAGTGCATAGTCACAAACCCAGGTTTATTACTCAATACATGTCAAGGACCTTTCAACAGGAGCTTGTAATTCAAACATATTACAACGGAAGCTTTTCCCATCATTTTACTTTCACACCAACAAAAGCTTCACCTGCTAGATTTATGCATGTTGAGCCACTGTCAAAGGCACAAGGCACTAAAAGAAGTGGCAGTCTTAAATATAAAGAGACCTCTGGGTCTAGGGCAGTATCTAAATTCAACAAATAATAATAAAGGGTGGCTTTACGTTGCTTGGATTTGCTTGGCATTGCTTGGATGATTAAATAACCAATTGCTGCCACACTTCTCATTCCAAAGTTCTAACCAAAGACTTCTTCAGCACTTCTGTTCCAAGCAAGGCTTTGTGGGAAGAACAAGTTATCAGAATGCTTAAAGGAAGATTCCAAATGAATGAAATGCAGCAGCTTACCTGAAATGAAACTTTTCTTATTCGACTCAAGCTTGCCGCCATCATCATCATCAAAAAGCCCAACATCTTCATGTCTAGGTGCTTTATCTGTGACAGGTTCTGCCAGTTTCTTATCCTCTTTCCCCTTTAGAAACGAGGAGGGGCTAAACACGTCATTTCCACCTATAGAGGATATACATTGTCATTTCATGTTTAACTGAAGTTCCTATTATCGTTGAAACTAATTAACTGTTGTTCCGTTTATAAAAGTTCTCTCCAAATCTCTGATGCAAATATTGGACAAGCTAATGGTGACTTCTAGACCTCGCTTTTTAAAATCATTAGGAACATTATCACTAGCTACCGTATTTTTCGCCCTATAGGGTGCACCAGCCCATAGGGCGCACTTATTTTTTTGGGGGGGTAAATAAAGAAAAAAAAAAATTATTTCCCCCCCAAGCCCCAAAGAGCAAAGAAGTCATGACAGCGAGTGGGATGGATCCCGCTCACTGTCCTGGCTTCGTTTTTAGCCTCGGGGCTGGGGGTCTGGGAGCGAAGGCGAGGTTGCGCAACCTCGCCATCGCTCCTGGAGCTTGCTGGGCTGGGGCGGGGGAAGCCCGAGCTTCCCCCGACCCGAGCCCACAGAACAGGCTGCTATCCGCAAGCCTTGGGAGCCCAGCAGGAACTTCCGCCGGACTCTCCAGGCTTGCGGATATCTGCCCGAAGCCCAGGGCGCGTCCCGCTGCGCTCCCCGGGTTTCAGGCTGCAGGCTGCTGTCCGCAAGCCTTGGGAGCCCAGCGGGAGTTCCCGCTGGGCTCCCAAGGCTTGCGGATAGCTTCCTGAAGCCTGCATTCACCCCATAGGACACACACAAATTTCCCCTTCATTTTTGGAGGGGAAACAGTGCGTCCTATAGGGCGAAAAATACGGTATTTAACACCAGCAGCGATTAACAAGTAAATTGGAAAGGCAAATCATCATAACTGGATGGGTTTCCAGGAGAACTATATGAATATGCAAGCTTACTGATTCCCAACCCCACTCAGTCATGACTTAACATCACATATAAAACAGCTGGGAATCTCTAGCCTACAAGCCAAATGTGAACCTGTAGCCTCCCAATTTCAGCTCCACCCAGTTAGGCTTTCCTTAGGGGAGCAGATGAGATCAAATGACCTACAGGTGTCCTAGAACTTGCCCTGGAATCCTCTAATGCACAGGTGTTTGCAACAGACACATTGATCTGAAGGTAGAAAGTATAAAAAACACTATTTTAAGTCAGCTCTAGATTACTCATACCTGGAAAGAGAGATACTGCACCAGCAGGAACTTTCCTTGTAGGTTTTGACGATGGCTCTAAAAAGCATATAATGCGGTCAAATTGAAAATGCAAAACATTCACTTCAGAGTTACTTCTGATCAATTATAAAACGGAACACTAGAAGGAGCATTTTTCTAGTAAGTTAACCAGTTTACAAGGAGTGGGGAGGTATAACTCGAAGAAAATACAAGGGAAATCTCACAGGTACAGTTTGTCCTATTTTTACTTTTCTGGCTGACATTAAAGGCTCTTAACCCTCCACTCAGTAGCTGCTTCAAGGGTAAAAAGAATGACCTCACCTAGAACAATGTTACATCCAACACTTTGGCCATTAAGACATATGAGGTCCCCAGACCTGTTCAGTGAACCCAAAGAATGGATTGCAACCACACCTACAAGTCACACCCTCTAAGACAATTGCACGTTCAATGTTAACCTGAAGGAGACCTACACCGTATATCTGAATGCATGTGCCGTATTTTTCATTCCATAAGACACACCTGACCATAAGATGCATCTAGTTTTTAGAGGAGGAAAGGGGGAAAGCCCCGTTTTTGGGGGGATCAGCTTACAGTTGTGCAGCTTATTTTGCAAAGGGGAAAAGCCCCTTTTTTGAGGATCAGCTCAAAGTTATTGAGCTTACTTTGCAAAGGGGAAAAATCCTGTTTTTATGGGGTTCAACTCACAGTTCTGCAGCTTCTTTAGGAAAGTAAAGGGAGCCATTTCTACAGTTTCCAGACAGATAATCTAATCAGTCAGTCAGTCACATGTCACTGGGGAAACAAACAGTCTCTGTCTGCAGAACATTCAACAATGGAGGCCTGGGCAAGGAGCCGGGGCCGGAAAGGGAGCCAGCGATCGACCACACATTTGTTCCATAAGACGCACAGACATTTCCCCTTACTTTTTAGGAGGAAAAAAGTGTGTCTTATCGAGCGAAAAATACGGTACATCCCCCTTCACATGAACACTGAATATGTAGGTACCGGGGACATGGCTGGTGCTCATGATCATTCCCTTCACTGTATACATGGGGGAAAGAGTTAAACTCCTCTTTTATGTCCCTAAGTTTGAGGGACATAAAATGCCCTGCTCATACAGTTCTAATAATCAAGATGGCTTAGATCATATTCAGATAAAATTTCTCTCTGAAGTACTTAATCATAGATATTCCCGCCACCATCACCCATGGTCTTTATAAATATCAGTATATGAAGACGGCATTCAGCAAACTCACCCCATTCTGGTCTGCTAATAAAGGTGTGTGAAGGAGAACCACAACTCCCACAGCTGACCACAGCAGCCTACATGTGGCTCTTGGCCTCTAATAGCTGCCGTCCTGTGGTGAAATGGGTCAGTGTGGCTGTTAAGCAGAAGGTTGGTAGTGGCAGGATTCCTGAATTGCAAGGAGTTGGACTGCAAACTCCTTCCAACTCTACAGTTCTATGATTCTATGAAGTACCGTATTTTTTGCTCTATAAGACGCACCAGACCACAAGACGCACCTAGTTTTTGGAGGAGGAAAACAAGAAAAAAAATATCCTGAATCTCAGAAGCCAGAACAGCAAGAGGGATCGCTGCGCAGTGAAAGCAGCAATCCCTCTTGCTGTTCTGGCTTCTGGGATAGCTGCGCAGCCTGCATTCGCTCCATAAGCTGCACACACATTTCCCCTTACTTTTTAGGAGGGGAAAAGTGAGGCTTATAGAGCAAAAAATACGGTAAGCATAACCCCCTTAGTTTTGCCCGTTTTCGTTTTAAAAGTGTCCCATTTTCAAAGCCTTGCTCCAGGACTCACTAGGTGCTTTTAGGGGTTTGAGCAGGCCATTTTTTGTTCCTTGCCCCTGCGCTCTATTTCCCGTCCCACCCCGCAACCCCTTCAAAAGACATCCTAGTATTCCTTGCCTCAACTGCTCTCAACCAGAGACTTGATGGGCAGACCGTGCAAATCAAACTTCCGGTTCCCAAGGAAGCTTCCTATGTTCCTAACATGTAGGCTCCTACCTATATCCTGAACCTCCTTAAGACTCCTACTTCAGATGTTACAAGGAAGCAGCACTCACCAACTCTGCAGTGACTGTGGTTCAGATGTTTGAGGTTGCTGCTTTGCAGGTGGGGCGAATCCTTGACTATAAAAAGCTACTATGTCAAGGAGCAAGATTTCCGCATAAGTTTCCTCTCCAGCATGCCATTTCCCCTAAATTCAATGCGTTTTTGTGGCCTAAAGATGTACACTTGAAGGGATGCTCTGCTTCCTGAATGTCAAAACTGGCTCTTGATTTGACCCATCATCAGATGCTACTTTCAAATTTAAAAGGTTTTCTTCACCACCATAAGCACTTGGAAAGTTGCACATTAGAACTCAAGCCAAGGTTTTCTGGCTTCTAATGTATGCATCATATAATCAGCACTATGCTCATGCCCAGCATTCCCAATTAATATATCTCCATTACATTAAGGAAATCTCCATAGTTCAGTCTGTTCCACATTTCAGAAATCCTCACCATCATTTATTGGGACTCGCGATTCTTTTTCCACCACATCTTCCCCTTTGGGCAATTCAGAGAAAAGGTCACTCTGGATGAAAAGAGAGACCAATAGTAAATAGTTTCTGCATGAGATAAATGGCAAATAGGGTAACTGCTTGAACAATAGGGACCAAATGCTACAGAATAAAACAATGCTAGACTCAAAAAAGGTGACATTTTGGAAATATACTTCACAAGGACATGTAGCAAACCACCATTTTGCTTCTTGGCTATTAATGAGACTACCGGGGTAAACAGCATTAGAGAAGGAACAATTTTAATTTAGTTTTCTTTACTCGCTGCAAATTGCAACATGAAAAGCTTAGATTCATTGGGTGCAGAAATCAGCCAGTGTGAGATAATAGGACATCCACAACTTCAGGATTAGGCTATCAAACTATGGGATAATATTAATAATAATAATAATTTTTATTTATACCCCGCCCTCCCCAGCCAAGGCCGGCCTCAGGGCGGCTCACAAGCAATAATAAAAACAAGTTGAATGAATACAACTTAAAAACAAGATTAAAATACAACATTAAAATATTGAAACATTAAAATATTAAAATGCAGCCTCATCACAGGAGGAAAAAGAAAAAAGAAAGAGGGGGAGGGAATCAAATTGGCTCCAAGCCAAAGGCCAGGCGGAACAACTCTGTCTTACAGGCCCAGCGGAAAGAAATCAGATCCCTCAGGGCCCTGGTCTCATGAGGCAGAGCGTTCCACCAGGCCGGAGCCAGTGTTGAAAAGGCCCTGGCTCTGGTTGAAACTAATCTAACTTCCTTAGGGCCCGGGACCACCAGGGTGTTGCTATTTATGGACCTTGAGGTCCTCCGTGGGGCATACCAGGAGAGGCGGTCCCGTAGGTACGAGGGTCCTATGAGACATCCGGGAACGATACTTTGTTGCCCATTTCAACATACCATTTTTATTTATTTATATTTATTTATTTCAATCTCATAACATTTATATACTACTTGACTGTAAAAAACAACAACCTCAAAGTGGTTTAATATCCCTTATCTTCAACCCAAGCAGGAATTCTGCAAGCCACATCTAAAAGGTGCCACTCAATTCCTGACTTTGGAGAGTTGCCTTGGTACCAGTTTCACCTGCTCTTCTTCCTTTCAGCACTGCAAAAAATGCCTGCCTGTGTGGGCTGAACTTTATTCGCCAGATGCTCAAACAGCATGCAACAGCCACTCAACGCTCTACAAAGACTTAATGATATGAAAAGGTAGCAGCAGCATTATATACTTGTGGTCACCTAACTGTGTTTGAAGAAAGCAAAAGGACAGGATTAGATCCACTGTCTATAAACTTGATCGCCTTGAACAACCATCTGGATCTCCTGAAGCCTTAAGTGGTTTCCTGCCATTTACAATGATACTGAAAGTGGCTATACCATTCAACAATGGCAGGGAGAATGCTACTAGCTCAGAGATGGAAGGAAGGAGAAGTACCAACGAAAGAAAAATGGCAGATGAAACTGATGGGAGTATGCGGAGATGGCGAAACAGATGGGGAAGATCTGACACCAGGAAGATCAAGTATTTACTAAAGACTGGAGTAAATTTGTAATTTACTTAAAAGACCATTGTAAACAGTTAAAATCTTTGGCAGGGATGTAATGACACTTGTAATGTGGAATTATTTATGATAACTATGGCTAATTAATAGATAGATAATGGTAAAAGATGTGGAAAACTTAAATTTAAATATGGAATCCGTGGAGGGAGGGAAGGAGGTCCGAAGGTTCAAAAGAACCTTGTATTTGAATGTTTGGAAAGGTTATGTTTTTTATGTATAAAATGATCAAAAGCCTAATAATTTTTTATATACAAAAAAGAAGAAAAGAAAGTGGCTATACCATGAGGATGCCTCAACTGAAGCCAATGGTGCAGCATAATATTTGAGGAATTGTAAATGGGCTCAGTATATCTAAGAATACTGAATATGAGAGATATAAGTGACTTCCAAAAAATGTTCAGCTGATGATGGTAATTGAGACGCTGTGTTAGGTATAACCATCTAGAGCAGGAGGGTATCATCTCTGAGCTCTTTGTTTGATTCTGTACATGGATTACTACTACTACTACTACTTTATTATTTATACCCCGCCCACCTGGCTGGGCTTCCCCAGCCACTCTGGGCGGCTTCCAAAAAAATATTAAAATACTGTAATACATCAAATATTAAAAGCTTCCCTAAACAGGGCTGCTTTCAGATGTCTTCTAAAAGTCTGGTAGTTGTTGTTCTCTTTGACATCTGGTGGGAGGGCGTTCCACAGGGAGGGCGCCACCACCGAGAAGGCCCTCTGCCTGGTTCCCTGTAACTTAGCTTCTCACAGTGAGAGAACCGCCAGAAGGCCCTCGGTGCTGGACCTCAGTCTCCGGGTAGAACGATGGGGGTGGAGACGCTCCTTCAGATATACTGGACCGAGGCCGTTTAGGGCTTTAAAGGTCAGCACCAACACTTTGAATTGTGCTCGGAAACGTCCTGGGAACCAATGTAGGTCTTTCAAGACTGGTGTTATATGGTCTCGGCGGCCGTTCCCAGTCACCAGTCTAGCTGCTGATTTGAATCATACCAACCTCTTCATCATCAAAGAGTCCTGTCCCACCACTGAAGAGGCCATCTTTAGAGCAAAATGGTGAGAAGTCTTCATCCGTCAACTTGGGGGGCTTAAAAATATCCCCATCATCTAGGAAGAGGGAATACGTGTATCAATGTATTTTACAGTTGCTGGAAAGAAGTTCATTATGTGTCACAGAGCGAGCCAGTTAGTAAATTACAGTTCCAAATTGGAGTTAACTCTTTATTAGCAAAAGCAGAATCTTCACAGACTTGCCTGTTTCAGGCCTAACTGGCACGGCAGCTTATTCCCTGTAGGCCTTACTCCATGAAATGAGTGGCCAAGACTAAAGGTCCCTGCCTAATCATAGCCATCTATGTCTTCTCCTTTCCAGGGCTTTCCCCAAGCAATCAGATACTGTGCTTGTATGCAGCCTGTCTTTGCTCTTCCCATTTCACTTCTCTCCTTGTTCTGGGAGTCAGGGGGAGGGAAGTTTGTTGCAGCGGGAGGGGGAGACACCCATGACTCTTCACCAAACCGACCCATCTCTGCCTCTTGACCTCCCTATTCCCACTCGCCTGCTTGAGCTTCTGCCTCTGATTTTGGCCTTCTCTCTGCCACGGACTCTCCCAACTCACTGAGCCCTGTTACTCCTTCAGCTTTCAACACTTCCTCTTCCTAGTCTTCTCCCTCTGACCACTCATCGTTGTCCCACCATCACTCCCCGGGCTCTGAGCCTTCTTCCCTTGGTGGTTCCCCAGCTGGCTCTGCCCACCATGCCTGTGCATACAACCAGCCCATGACATTATGAAGAACTAAGTCATCTACCCCAGAAAGAAGCCAGGAACAACTCTGACAAATTTACTGTCTGAGGGCCACAAAGACTCAAGCTTCCCACTCTTAAATATTCCACAGTAGAGTAGTGCAATGAATCCATTGTATTTGTGGCTATACAGTTCAATGGATAAAGTAACAGATTGGGACTCGGAGCTGAAATCACATTTCATTTGATGCACTTTGGTGTCAAGTTCTTTTGTAGTTCCTTGCTATGTGCAAAAGGAGCAACAAGGGTCTAAAAACGCAATAAAGGGCATCCTCATCTCAGAGGAAATGTTTTAAAACTTAAGAACAGCAACAAGACTGCGGTCACAATAAGACATGCAGAAATTGCTCAACCTTCTCCATATGCCTCTTCTGTCTTGGCACTAAAAAAAGGGAACCTGAAACTTCCAACTCACAGTAGTATTCATTAAGATTGAGAACATTAAGAAATTTAGAATAGGAATGACTAGGTGATGCCCCCATCAATTCCACCTCCATACGTCCAAAGAAAACTTAACACATGGGAAAAAACCAACACTTACCATCTGATGAGACACTTTCTTCCTTATTTGTCACTGTGGTTTTATTTTTTGTACCTACCAATGGTTGAAGTAGAAGAAAGTTAATTGAGGATTTAACTTTTCTTTGTCAATGCATCATTTATAGAAACATTTGACAAGCAATAAATAGAAAGCCAGGAAAAAATGAAATATTTATAAATCACTTTTTATCACAGTTACCCTCAAAGGGCCTTCCATAACAGTAAAACACCATCTATCTATCTATCTATCTATCTATCTCACAAAGCCAACATAAGAATCAATCAGCATCATATCACTGAAAACCAGAAAGAAACCATAATGTTGTGCTCTTATGCTTGGGTCTGTTAGGGTATAACCACTTTTAACAAAAATAATATAAACAAGTGCTATAAAATTTCGTTTCTACCTCTTGGGGGTGGAGGGAAAGGGGAAAGCTATTTTCATAACAGAAAGACTTTACCCAAATGGAATATTTTTCAATCTTCTTTCTAGTCCCTGATCTCTCTTTGATAGCAGCTACTGATAGTTTTTGAACGTTAGTAAAAATATGTAAAATGGCAGGCTTATGTGGTCCAAACAGCAGCAGGTACATACAAGAGGGAAGTGTCAAGAGGTTCAGGTTAACCTCAGGGTTTGCAGAAGAATGAAGTACTGTATTTTTCACTCTATAAGACGCACTTTTCCCCTCCTAAAAAGTAAGAAAGTGTGTGCGTCTTATGGAGCGAATGCAGGCTCCATGGCTTCAGTGAAAGCAACGCGAAGCCTCCGGAGTGCAGCGGGAGCGCTCCCTCTTGCTCTCCTGGCTTCGCTTCGCTGGAGAGCCACTGTGCAGCGCCCCTTCTGTGAAGCGGGAGGAGAAATGGAAGGGGCCCCACTTCTCCTGCCGCTTCACTGAAGAGGCGAAGCACAGAGAGGGAAAACTGCGCAGCGCCCCTTCAGCGAAGTGGGAGGAGAAACGGAGCCCCTTCCATTTCTCCTCCCGCTTTGCTGGAGAGGCGCTGAGCAGAGAGGGAGAGAACTTTATTTTTCTTGTTCACCTCCTCTAAAACTGGGTGCGTCTTATGGTCGGGTACGTCTTATAGAGCGAAAAATATGGTGGAGGTGGAGGGACCTGAAAGACTGAGCATGTGTTGAGTAATCATGGTGGGCTGACTGTTGAAAGGAAAAACACTGAAAATTGGGTGGAAATTGAACATTGGAAAAGGACAAAGAAGCACACCAATATGAATGATACTTGTCCATTCTCTAGTTCTGTCAACAACTAGCTCTGCACAGTCTCCTGCCTGAGACGAGAGAGATCTGAAGGCTCACATTTGTTCCCTTTATTTCCAGAGTTCAGGCCGAAAGTGAACATCACCCCAATACAAGAGGGAGGGGACAGGAGCCTTGGGAGAGAACTACCAAAAAACCCTATGGGTTGAACCCCAAAACTGCCCAGTGAAGGTGAAGGATGTTCATTGGCCATGGAATACTGACTGACTAGTTTGGGAAGGGATGAATGAGAATGAAATGGGAGTAGCTGAAATCCCCAGCAACAGAATGCCACGTTGCAACATTTTGCTGCACGTCACACTTGTCCTGTACGTTTCCAAATGCCAACAGAAAATGTTTTTCACACCGCACACATGCACAAAATTCAACTTTATCAAAGAAAAAAGCTCTGAGAAGCAGCTTACATGATTGCTCTTCTTCTTCACCCTTGATACGAGCGGCAAGCTCATCTGTAAATGATGTGGGCCTTTTCTTTTTCTGAAGTAGTCATATGGGAATGGATGGAAGAGGGAAAGAAAGAAACATACACCCATATTTCGTTTCAATTTGGTTTCATAACTTTTTTAAAATTGCTGTTGAAAAAGGTGGGTTTTTTTTTTTTTTTTTTTGAAAACTGACCGTTTTTTCAGACTATGAAAGCAATAGGCGATCATAAGAACAATTACCCCCACTTCCCCAAAAATGGGTCAGGGCCCTACTAGTTAACATCACTTTACCATCTAGATTGGAGATTCTCCCTTGGATTACCAAAAGAGTTAAATTAGTCTTAAGACCGCTCTCGGAGAATAGTCAGTGGGAAGCAAATTTGTAGAAATAGCACGCATGTGAACAGAAAACTTGCAGTTCCAATGAGCAACGTTTTGTATGAAAACAGTCTGTTAGTATTATTTTAGATGATTTTCTGTTTTTCAAAGCTATATATAGGATCCAAATGCAGGTTACTCATGATCATTTAGGTACATAGTATGGACTTTTTGGTCCTGTTCTTGGCTGCAAAACACATGGTGGTGTTAAAGCCTTAAACAAAGAAAAAATGTAGTATAAAACTATTATTATGATTTTACGAATAAGCAGTCTTCAGTACAAATATATTACATTGAAACATTCTACTGGGTCATATGCCAAGCAGAAACCAAGCAGGTTTTACTTAGTGTACTTTTAGATGTCATAACTAGTCTTAGGCTATCTACAGCACCAAGAAAGAAAGCCCTGCTTTGAGCCAACTGAATTGTATCAGAGAGTTTTCTGTCCTTTTCTAAACATGGAAGAGCTAATCCATCAACTATGCTGAATATTTTTTCCCCGTGCCTTTTTTTGTCCGAAGTTTTTCTGAATAAAACTAGAAATGACGTCAGGCAACAATCACTTACCAGCCTTGCGTTCTCTTCTAAGTCACCGTCTTCATCATCGTCTTCCCCTTTTTCAGAGTCACCAAAAAAATCATCTTCGTCACTCATCAGTGCCGTTCTCTGAAAAAACAAACACACACCACACTTCATGCTCCAGGACACTTGAGACAGAAAGTTGTACTTTATTTTACTATTTTTCATTTAATGGCTTTATAATAAATCTTCATCAAAAGATCTGAGAATGGTTCACAGTAGAAAAATACAACATAAAAAAGCACAAATAAATAATTAAAAGGCCTGGTAGAATAGGAACATTTTCACCTGGCAACAAAAAATATATAACGAAGGCATCAGATGAAGTATACTGAGCCAGCTTTAGAGTCAATGCTTGTCAGGCAGCAGCTTTCCTTTCTGACAACAGGAGCATTCAACCTGATGTCGAAAGCTGTATGACAAGTAGAGTATTCTTCTCTCACACAGTCTTATGTTTCATTTCCATGAAAGCCTTTCCCAAGGCAGATATTGTCAGTTGAAGTGCCTGGAATCACTTTAACCTGCTATGCTATACAGATTCAAGCAAGGCCAGTGCCACTGGTCATAACAGTTGGGCATTTGCCAATGACCCTAGGGTTCATAAGGTTCCCCCATTAACTGTGCTCACCAGATGGCCATCAGTCTTGGGGACTAATCTGATCTTCACAACTGCAGCAAAAGCTGTAAGACCATACCCTTGTCCCCATCATCAGGAAAATCAATGCTGTGTGTGTGCAAACATAGCGTGCCATATAACAGCATCCAGGTACCATTTTCAGGAGCATCCACTGCCAACCTAACCCAACCCTGAAGCAACTTCGTGATTTGCCTTTCTCTCCGCCAGAAATCAGCTGAGAACACTGAGCATACCTAGTATTATTTAGAGCTGGGTAAGGAAGCTGCAGGTACGCGGGTGGCGCTGTGGGTTAAACCACAGAGCCTAGGGCTTGCCGATCAGAAGGTCAGCGGTTCGAATCCCCGCGACGGGGTGAGCTCCCGTTACTCGGTCCCTGCTCCTGCCAACCTAGCAGTTCGAAAGCATGTCAAAGTGCAAGTAGATAAATAGGTACTGCTCCAGCGGGAAGGTAAATGGCATTTATGTACGCTGCTCTGGTTCGCTAGAAGCGGCTTAGTCATGCTGGCCACATGACCCGGAAGCTGTACGCCGGCTCCCTCGGCCAATAAAGCGAGATGAGCGCCGCAACCCCAGAGTCGGTCACGACTGGACCTAATGGTCAGTGGTCCCTTTACCTTTACCTAAGGAAGCTGCAACAGTGGTCACATGCACATATGCATACACAGAGCTGTATTTTGGCAGGGTGATTTTGCAAACCAGAACCTCCACTGATTGTGCATCATGTTTGGTTGTTAAAATTGACAACTTCTCTACTTTTATAACAGTAGCTGCCGCTTGTTCTCAGTGCTGCTTGCAGCTTTCTTAAGATCTTCCATTAGACATGTGGAGGAATAGCGTGTGTCTCTGCTCAGAGCTGGAGCTTATCAGGTTCATTTGCTCTTTTTTTTTTTAAATCAAACCTAAATAATCTAGCAGGGAGGAAGGCAAAGTAGAAGAAGGAAACTCCTTCTTTTCTCTCAAAGCCATCAGGGCTTGCTTGCTCCCATCCATTTTATGGTTAATTCCCCCAATCTCATACAAAAGGAAAATTTATTAAATATCACATTTAAAGTTGAAATATTTAACCAGTGAACTCTGAACAATTCTAAATATATACTAAATCTATTGGAAACATGTTAAGATTCTTTGATAGTCACTTTTACATCTCTTTGTTTCGGTTTAACAAAAAAAATTGCTTTCTATGAACGAAAAGCAATGAATTAGTATGGACTCTGTTCTGTAAAGAAAACTTGGGCAGTTAAGACAATAGCTACCTAAAATTATTTGTAGAACACTTTAAGAAAAATCAGTTTCCATTTGTCTCATTTTAAACACACACACATATTATTAGGTTTGACCCATGATCTATGGGTTGCATTCAACATAGCACAAAGGCTAAGGTTCTGTCAGCACAATGATTTTCTCACACAATGAAACCTTCCCCCCTTCTCCCCCCCCCAAATCTGTTCCAGGGTTTCCCCCAACCCTTCAGAGCAGTTTTAGGGATGGCATGTAGCACATGGAGGGGAGGAAAGGGGGGGGGGGAACCTTGTTGTGCTAGCAGAAATCCTTGTGCTGGCTTCTGCTAGCGCAACAATTTAGTTAAATACAGCCCTTTATCTATTTTGTACTTTTAAAATATTGGAGTTCAGCAGTCAGATCTAACAAGGAAGGTGCATATCTTAAAGAACATTGGAAAGATTACTATTTGCAAGATACCCCATGAGGCCATTTGTACACTTATGCCACTGTTAGATTTCTAACACTCAAAATCCATGGCCCACTCCCTACCCTTGGAAAAGTTGAAGGTTTACATTAGTAGAGAGTACACATGGTGGACTTCTTACCGGTTTGTGGTCTTCCTCACTTGCATTTTCAAATTCTTCCAGGTCCTGAAAGGCAAAAGCAGTTTCAGACTAAATTAAACAGCATTTATACAGGCTTTAAAATGTTCACTTCTTACGTCCATATAATCTTATGGTCTATACCACAGATAAAGTCAGGGACCCACCAACATGAAAATCCATAAATCCCTATAATTTCCCCAAAATGTTTCAATTTTACATTTTAAAGCTGCGGGGGGAGGGGGGATATCCAAGAAAAAAAATTGTCTTCATGCCTTACCTCTTCATCTTTGCCTTCGCTGTCAATCATGCTTCCACGATCACTGTCTACTGAACCTTCTGTTTCATAGAAGGGAAACAAAGAAGACTTATGTGCGGATCATTTTATTCACTACATACCAAGATCCTTTCCCCAGGTAATAATTATACACAACTATGCATATAACTTTCCACCTGACTCTTCTGTAACAACATGAAAGAGCTGACACATGACTTACTTTTCCATCTGTATTATGTTTCCTACATTATTAAAAATAATAATGCAGAAAAGCAGTATATAAATGTAGTAAATACATAATCAGACAATCCTTTTCACTCACATGAATCACTTCCCTATTCACTTGCAACTTCAATTCTTCAAACCCAGAGACATTGAGTGGAAGAGCAGTCCTCTTGGGTTCCCATGTCCAAGATGGCAGTGACAAGAAAATATTTTCTTTGCAAGAAAACTAGCAGTGGCTGCATGGATTCCCACAGAAAAGTTTCCGTGGATATCAGCACTCTGCATTTCCATGAGGGAACCATTTTTTTTGTACTCTTTCAAATTCATCCCTACAGCAATGAAATTCTGGATCCTGCAACACAGTCCATTTCCATCCCTGCACTACTGAATGAAAATAGGTTTCCTTTTTAGTTTTGCACTAATCAGGAAAAATAACCAGTGGAGCAAATGGGGGGGGGGGAGAACCAGGATTTCTTTTTACAAAGAACATATGTGAGAATATACAGATCTTTATTCTTGAATGTCTGAGCACTGTCTTTATAACGATTTAGTTTGTATTCTCTGAATGCATTTGCTTTTGTTTCTTTTTGGAAAATTTAATAAGAGCAACAGCAACAAAATCGTGTGAGGGAGAAAGCTCATCAGAAGATACCCTGGTAGGTTCCATAAGGGCACAACTGAAAAAGATATGGTTTTGGGTACTCAAACATATTCAGTAGCCATCTCACACTTAAGTCATAACCAAAGTATCTAGTGGATTGTTCAAAATACTAAGACGAAAAAGCGACACATTTTTCAAAGCGTCAAAAATTAGCTATAGACTAGGTTTTCCAAGCTAGTTAAGATTTTGTCAGGCACCCTTACAACATTTTTAGTAATGAAGTATTTGGCCTGCCACAAGTCAAACTCAAATCAATATTTACCAATACATTATTAATCCTATCACACACCTTCACTGGAGAAATCGCCAAGCCCAACATCATCTTGCTCCATGAAGAGCTGAGAGCCAATTAAATACGGTAAAGGCCTGTCAATATAAAGATCCTGTAAAAAAAGGCAAAAAAGTATTTTTAGATTTCAAATGAATATGCCACAGGTCAAAATTACACATTTCATAGATAAAACTCCAAAACACATTGAATGATTTGTAGTGTCCTGTCTTGATGGTAACTCCCAATTCCAGGTTTGAAATTAGGTACTCGGACACCACCACGGAGTACAAAATTACCTCCAGGTGAGTCTCATCTTAGCAGATAAGGATAGAAGGAAGAATGAGAGCGCCTCACTGAATTAATTGCCAATTGGGATCTTCCTTCTAACTGTAATGTACAGTGGTACCTTGGGTTAAGAACTTAATTTGTTCGGGTGGTCCGTTCTTAACCTGAGGTACCACTTTAGCTAATGGGGCCTCCCGCTGCTGCAGCGTGATTTCTGTTCTCATCCTCAAGCAAAGTTCTTAACCCGAGGTACTATTTCTGGGTTAGTGCAGTCTGTAACCTTAAGCATCTGTAACCCGAGGTACCACTGTATATCAGCTCCCTAGGGCTAAAAGGAAAGACCAAAAGCTTCAGAAGTTAAGCACTGTGCAGACTCTTTGGAGAGGGCTCTCTTCTTTGTGGTGCTGATAATGCCAAGGTTGCAGGTTCGATCCCCGTATGGGACAGCTGCATATTCCTGAACTGTAGGGAGTTGACCCTTCCTACATTTCTATGATTCCATAATTCTTGCTTTCTGCTAAGTCTCCAAGAGGACAGGTTCCCTTTCCTCTTTGGTCGCTGAGCTACTATCACATTCCATCTCCTGTCTTCATCTGCAGAGAAGGTGCTGAGTGTGTGTATGAAGACTGGCAGGGTGGACCAGCTCAGGCAAGAAGAATAACAGATAGACAGCACTGCCTTGATACTCTTCACCCCTCCACCACCATTTATAACACATTGTAGCCAAATTATTATGGAGGCCTGCTGTTGCTTCTAGTTCAGGATGTGAGAGCAAGACTCACTTGTTCAGCAGGTTTGAGGGAGACAGTGAGGACTTGCCAATCTTCAAGTATATGGCAATGATGGCTCACCAATGCCTGGATGTCTGTCATCTACTCTTTTGTGAATTGTCACTGCTAATAACTCTCTGTACTTTTCTGCATTTCACAATGGTTCTGTCTCAGTAACCCTGTAAGTAGAGACTTCAGTCCTGCTCTCCGCAGGGTTCTGAGCAGGATTTAACCCCACGGTCATCAAACTGATGAGCAGGGGATTAAATCCTGTTGCTTCTGCTGTGCATGCCAGTTCCCCTTGCTGTTAACATCACACCTGTCAGAATGACATGAGGGGGTGTGATTTTGGGGGAATGGCATCACAGGCCAAACTGGACCCCGTGGTCGGTCAAGAGTGGCCAACAGGCAGGAGGTTACTCACCCCTGCTTTACTGTGTCATGAGCTTTCAGAGTTAATGTTACTGAAATTTAGAAATGCACCCAGATCAATTTCTCCATTGTCTTATTTTCCAAGGTACAAGAGAATGGCTATCAGTATTTACAGCTAAAAAATGGTAAAGGTAAAGGACCCCTGACAGATAATCAGCAACACCTTTCAGAAGCAGCGCTCACACTATTGTGTATCTTCCACTTTCCATCCTTCAAGTGTAGTTGCTCTGCAAAGTCTGAAATTAAAACATTGTAAATTTACTCTTTTAGAGACAAAGTTACATTACCTTTGGCTCCAATATTAGTTCTATCCTTTCATTAGTTTCTTCTTCAGAGTCTGAGTTCCCTGCTTTGATGTCCAGCTGTTCAAAGGCATTGTCCAACACCTGCAGCCCATAATTCACAGCTTCTTGGATTTTGGGAATCAGATCGGCTTCTTTCTGTTCACGGGTTTTCTCCTTTAGAATCAAAAGAAACACATTTCATTGTTAATTTCCCATTATACTCATTTTTCAAAAATGTGATGGGGAAAGTTGGGATTTTGGTCAACATGGCTTGGCCACTCTTAATGGGCTGCATTACTAAATATGGAGCTAAAATGTCCTGAATAAACGGAATGCCTTCATAAAGCTGGACTTTTTTTTTTTTTTAAAAAAAGCCCTCCTTTTCCCTTCCATGAAGAAGTCACTTAAAGTGCCTAACAAATAAAAAGCAAATATGAAAGCAATAATAATCCAATCATAAAAACACAAATAAGCTGAACTTAAAACTGCAGCACTAACTAACCATGATAAAAGAAGTCAACAGAACCTGATCACCAATAGTCATTTCCTACAAGACATGGAAGGGACGAGTACTCAGAATTGACAGTAATGAGCAGCAATACTGACAATCATGAGGCTGGATCAGAAAAGGGGAACCTGTGACCCTCCAGCTATTTTTGGACTTTAATCCCCATCAGCCCCAGCCAGCATGGCCAATAGTCAAGGATGACAGGAAATATAGTACAATAACATCAGGAGAACTACAACTTCCCCACCCTGGGCTAAATACACAAGGTTAAGGCATATACGGCAAGACTGACTTTAAAAGACAGAGATGGGGTGGAAAGAAAAGCTTTCTTGAATCACAGGACTGCAAAGTACCTTGGAGATCATCTACTCCAGGGGTAGACAATGCAGTGCCAGTGGTCAAGGAGGATGGGAGTCCAACAATTTCTCAAGGGTACTACATTGGCTATCTCTGATCTAGTCCAATTCTTGTCTCAGTGCAGAATCTACAGGAAGCAACTACAGTATTCCTGACAGATGGCTATCTAGTTTCTATTTAAATACTTCCAGTAAAGGAGAGTTCACTACCTCTCTGTTGAACAGCTATTACACTAGGAAGTTTCTCCTATTTTTTTGTCAAAATCTGCCTCCATTGAATTTTGGCCCATTGATCCTGCCCTCTGGAACAACAATGAACAAGTTTTAACTCAAATACAGGCAGATTTTACAGGACTAGGGCCAGTCCTTGAAAACAGTCCTTCTCTAATAAGTAAAAAGATTGTAATGGACAAAAAGAGAACTTGGAGCTTTTAAATTCAAAAGCGGCAGCTTGAATTGTGCCTACAAGCCAGCAGTTTGCCAATTCAGTAGACTCAAGCCAAGTTGAATAGGCTTAGATTGCAAGAGGACATTCTGCACTGTACAAACAGCCTTTGATGGCAGCTCTACTTAAGTGCGCTCATTTTCCCAACAAAAGTGAAAAACAAAAGGACCCCAAATAACATTTACAGTACCCAACTGCAGAACTACTGCTTGGCTTGAGTGATAATTATTATATCTAACTGCAGCTTGATTAGTTGATGACCAGGTTTAGACATTTGCTGGGGTGAGAATTTCCATGTGGTGGTTAAGTGGGTACCCCTCTTTCTCACCACACAAATAACTTCATGCATGTTATGGGCAATCCACATGGGTTCTCAAAACTGATGTTTCCCCATTTGCGATTGTGCAGATAAGTTATCCACACCAGCTATCCACACAACTGGGAGCATGAGTGGAGTGTGTATATCATATATCATGTTGGGGAGGGGATGGGATGATTTCAATCCTGAAACAATTCACAGTCTTTGACACGTCTGCCTTTTAAACTGCACTCAAGAATGATAACACAACACAGGGCAGGAAATGCCAAAGATGGAATTACAGTCTCTCTCGAAGACGAAAGCCATAAAAAATAGGATCTTTAGCGCTCAGGAACACCGTTCATCTGAAGGCTTTCAAATGGAATGATTCACCTGTGCCTGAAGCACATGAAATCCATTATTACACATTAGAGGAAGGAAGTGGGCAGCTGAGAGGGGAACAAAATACCAATGGACACCACCCTCTGAAACCATGTTACCTATAGCTCATCCTCCTGAACCTTTCAACAAGCAGACTCCCACCCTCCCCACCTCAGAGAAAGGAAGAGAATGGTGGAAAGAGAAAGGTAATTTGGGAGGTGTAAGGAGGCAGAGCATGCCCTCAAAGAGATTGAATGTGCTTGCTTGGCAGCTCCAGAGAGGACGTAGGAGCTGGTAGGCAGGAGGTGGTTGACACACACTGACTACTCTCAAAATATAACAATGGCCTGCAAATATTGCAGTTTTGCTCTTGCAGAGGAGAAGCTTCCTACCAGCCATCACTGCCCTCTGCATCTGAATCCTCCATGATTAAAGCAGAACTCATTTTTTGGCAAGTGTGGGGAGAGTCTGCCATTGATAAATACCTCCTCCCACCTTCCCTGAACTTTCAATTTGTAATCTTCAGCATTGCAAATAAATATCAAAGGTTACAATTACCAATATATTACATATTCTTATGTATTATTACATATTCTTATGTAATCCACTTGCCTGTTCTGGCCTGTCGCTCACTTCAGGTTTGGATATGGTTTCTTCCACTTCATCATCATACACTCTCTATAAAATTAATTCAAACTTTTTTTATTAAGTTTCAGTATCTGATACAAATAGCCTTCACAAGCAAAGGCAAGTCACCATGCTACCTGTACTATTAATACTTTTCAATGGAAGAGCTGAACAGCAAGTGCCCAATGAAACAAGATTACGGCATCTGTTTAGCCTGCACCATCACAGATAAAGTGGGTGGGGGGAGCTTTCAAGCCAAAGAGCCAAAGGGACAAACAATACCCCCTCCCCCATAGCCCCTCTCCTAAAATGATTATTTTACTTCATGTACATGATCCCCAAGTAGAAAATATGATAGTGAAGAAAGGAGCTGGGGGTTGTGAATCTGGTGGTCTGGAGGTGTGTTCAGCTCCCCTTACCCACGTACAGTGGTGCCTCGCAAGACGAAAAGAATTCGTTCCGCGAGTCTTTTCGTCTTGCGATTTTTTCGTCTTGCGAAGCATGGTCCGTCGCAACTGCGCCTCTTCAAGCGGCTTTAAAAAAAAAGCGCAAGACGTTTTCGTCTTGCGAAGCAAGCCCATAGGGAAATTCGTCTAGCGAAGCAACGCAAAACCGAAAAACCCTTTCGTCTAGCGAGTTTTTCGTCTTGCGAGGCATTCGTCTTGCGGGGCACCACTGTACTTTGGCTCCCTTTCACTTAAAACTAGTTATGCTATAGCATAATCTGAAAATTTACTGTTCAACAAGTCAGCCATTCCTCATTTTTCATATTTGCATTCCATTTCTTACACATCTCAGAGAGCAAGAATCTATCCTTGCATTATGGAATTCAAAAGCACCCAGTAATCAATTACATGCTTACATGATATTGTACTTGGAGTTGCAAGGGATAGGCACACAAATCAGATCTATTAGAACTATTGTGTTCATTACGAGCACTTCCTTCTATGATGCCTTCTCATACTACACCAGAGTTGGCTTAAGCATATCTCAGTTCATATCATAGTATTCAATTACTGCACACTCACATTTTCAATGAACTGTGTATTTGAAAGCATGAGGAAGCCATTGAAGACATTGTGCAGCCGGCAATCTACACTTTTGGTTTCATGGATCAGCCTGTCCATTTGCTTCTTGATTTCATGTGTCCTGGAGATAGTTTGCTGGGAGAATTCTTGCAAAAACCGCAACAGCTACAAAAACAGAATATGCACTTGCTCAGACTTTTAAGCCATAGCTTAGAAACTGAAGTAATGATGTAAGACAAGGAGAACAGGAAAGTGTTCTTCCTACAAAATAATTAAGCTTGCTATCCAGCAACTAAAAAATGCAATACAGGCAGTTTATAGAAAGCAGCTAAAAATATACTACCGACTGTGTAACAACCATATTTTTGGAGAATGAACTGAGAGTAGAATCTGAACTGGAATAAACAAAGATGAAGCTCATGGTGCTCTATGTACTATAGAAGGTGTGAGGAACCTCCAGCCCACAGGCCAAACTTGGCTCACAGGCCCATTTGGCCTACAAGGCTGTTTTCCCCAAGGAATTCCACAGGCAGAACATGGCTATTGGGAAGAGCTCTTATACCCTACCACACCCCACGTCGGACATTAAGAGGGTTCAGATGACCACCACTCCCATACACATTGTAAAAACAAGTACATGCTTGCAGGGATGCATAGGTCAACCCTGCCACTCCCACCAACACATCTGGCAGCTAGCTATCCTTCTGGCATAGCATCAGATCAGGATGACTTGCAAGGAGGAGTATTATGTTCAGAGCTCTGGGTGGGCGGTGGGGGAGATGGCTGCTGGGTACAGTGGGGTGGGCATGCATGGGCTGCAGGACTTTTGTTGTGGGGGGCAGAACCAAACTATCAGCAACACGAATGGTCAGTTAGTTTAGTATTTTTATTTTTCTACTTGATTTGGGGGGTGGCAGCTGCCCCCCTGCAACTCCCTGGCCATGCCCATGTGGGCAGAGCTTGCCACACACACACACATTCTTTCCATGGGTGTAAGGGATCATCTCTTATGATGCACAAAGCAATGGGGTGAAAGGCTGGGTCCGTCTCCTGGGTGACTTGCAAATGTCCACACATACAATACACAGGTGGTAGTGCCACAATTCGGCATCCCAACTGTCTTTGGGCACCACCACACTTAAGGAAGAGAGGTGGGGCACTAACATCGCACCACTTTTGCAACTCCACCGCAAGCGGAAGGGCGGCTCATTTCTGAAAGGAAGACACAAGCCACTTCTTCCTTCTGTTCCGACAGCAAAATGGGACTTGCTTGGAAGGTGGTGGACTCTCCTTCATTGGAGATTTTTAAGCAGAGGTTGGATGGCCATCTGTCATGGATGCTTTATAGTTGAGATTCGGGGTCCCTTACAACCCTACAGTTCTACGATTCCTCTTATTCTTCTGGCAGTGCATGCCTGCTACCTGGAGCATGTCGTGCCCTTCTCCCTATAGGCATGATCGAGGCGGCCAAGGCTTTTAAAGCATAGGAAGTGGCAAGTAGGGTTTGCCACCTTTGTTCTGGCAAAACATAGAGCGGGCTGGGTTTTTCTTTTCTTTCCTTTTCATCTGGCGCTGAAGTGACTTCAAAACAATCAATTACATTACAACCTAGAGCAGCCTAACAGGATGGCCCCTCTGGAATTTGTCACGCATGCGCACAAATTCGCAAATCTTGTGCTTGGCTATCTGGAGCTTAAACACACGACATCTCACACCCCCTTAAAAAAAAACCACATGCTTTTGGCCGAAGAAGATGAAAAAGATTGGCAAAACAAACTAATGAACTATGCAGGATTACACAATTTGAAACCCAAGAAAAGGATGTTGTTTTTCAAAAAATGGGAAAATGCTTAAGGCATATATTGCAAGCTTTGTGTATAGGTTTCTACATTAGTCAAACTTCTAAAAGTCACTTGTAACAACATGAGTAAGATTTTAAAATTGGACTGTTAAGAATATAAGATGCTACAGACGTGTATGAATTAGTATAAAATAATGGAACCAGGATTGGGATTGGAGAGAAGTCAATTAAGATATAGGAGTTAAATTTTTGATATGATGTTATTTTGGTTTTGTTGTTGTTGTTATTATAAAATTTATAAATTGTATCTTAAAAAAACAAAAAACCACGTGCTTTTGGAGAGGACCCCTAACTTTGCAAAGAGAGAGAGAGAGACCTGAAATACTGGACGAATATTTATCAACCCAGGACGTAGCATTTTACATTGAGGCAAGGGGAACGACAGAAACGCCCCCCGCCCTCCGCAGGCACCCTGGTCACGGGCCGCGCTCTCTGCACGCGCTCAGGAGCGCTGTTGCCGCCGCCGCCGCGAGGGTGGCAAACGCCTAGCAGCCCCCTAACGACGCGTTTATCCGGCAGCGGCCCCGGCCTCTCACCCCTGCGTCGGCGGCCAAGGACCAGCACGGGCTCCCGGCTCGGACCTCCTCCAGGGACCAGGCTCGCTCCCACAGCAGCAGCGCCGCCGCCGCAGCCGCCGTAGCCCCGGGGGGAGCCTCCGCCGCCGCCCCCGACGAGGACGACGCCGAGGACGACGCGGGAGGAGAAGCGGCCGACGACGACATGGTCGCTGACAGGAAGACGCTGAGGCGCCCCTCGCGACGGCGGTTTAACTGCCACCTTCGGCCCGGTGGTCAGCTGACTCCGGGTCGCGTGACTGGGCTGCCGGCTGTTAGAGGCAGGAAAAAAGGGGCAGAGCCGCTCCGCGGCTTCCGGCTTCATTTCGAGATTTCGGAAGCGCGGTGGGAGGGAGGGAGGGAGGGAACCGTGAGGGCGCCTGCGCGAGAAAGGGCTGTACGTTCCGCATAGAGCCCCGCCCCCTTCTCATGGAATCGTTCAGAAAGGGGAAAGGGGTTCCATGGCTCATCTAGTCCACCCCCCCCATAGCTGTCAACTTACAGATTTGAAAATAAGGGACCAGCAGCCTCGAAAATAAGGGATCAGCAGCCAAAATAAGGGATTTGGGCTTGTTGTTTAGTCGTTTAGTCGTGTCCGACTCTTCGTGACCCCCTGGACCAGAGCATGCCAGGCACTCCTGTCTTCCACTGCCTCCCGCAGTTTGGTCAGACTCATGTTTGTAGCTTCGAGAACACTGTCCAGCCATCTCGTCCTCTGTCCTCCCCTTCTCCTTGTGCCCTCCATCTTTCCCAACATCAGGGTCTTTTCCAGGGAGTCTTCTCTTCTCATGAGGTGGCCAAAGTATTGGAGCTTCACGATCTGTCCTTCCAGTGAGCACTCAGGGCTGATTTCCTTCAGAATGGAGAGGTTTGATCTTCTTGCAGTCCATGGGACTCTCAAGAGTCTCCTCCAACACCATAATTCAAAAGCATCAATTCTTCGGCGATCAGCCTTCTTTATGGTCCAGCTCTCACTTCCATACATCACTACTGGGAAAACCATAGCTGTTACTATACGGATCTTTGTTGGCAAGGTGATGTCTCTGCTTTTTAAGATGCTGTCAAGGTTTGTCATTGCTTTTCTCCCAAGAAGCAGGTGTCTTTTAATTTCGTGGCTGCTGTCATCATCTGCAGTGATCATGAAGCCCAAGAAAGTAAAATCTCTCACTGCCTCCATTTCTTCCCCTTCTATTTGCCAGGAGGTGATGGGACCAGTGGCCATGATCTTCGTTTTTTTGATGTTGAGCTTTAGACCATATGTTGCGCTCTCCTCTTTCACCCTCATTAAGAGGTTCTTTAATTCCTCCTCACTTTCTGCCATCAAGGTTGTGTCATCTGCATATCTGAGGTTGTTGATATTTCTTCTGGCAATCTTAATTCCGGCTAGGGATTTATCCAGCCCAAGCTTTCGCATGATTTGGGCTTAGCTTATACATCAATCTGGCACTGATGGAGCCATGCTGCTTTTGCTGAGACTATGTTTTGCAGGGGGTTTGACTAGATGATCCTAAGGGTCTACAACTCCAACCAAAGAAGAGTGGCAGACAAAACTGATGAACGACGTCGAGATGGCAAAGCTTACAGGCAGAATTAGAAACCAGGAAGGGGACCTCTTTAATAAAGAATGGGGAAAGTTTATAATTTAGTTGAAAAGCTATTGTAAAGAGTTACATACATTGGGAGGATTGACAGAAAACTTGTAGTAAAAATTTGAACTATGGATGGACAAATGATTGTTAAAAATAGAGTTATGAAAGGGATGCAGAGGGGGAAATCACTACATTAAGATGCTGCACTGGTTGGAGGGGATGCTAAGCAGCACGTCGGGGCTGCTGTCATTTTACATCCTTATCAATGACTTCGTCTCCTCTTTCCATGGTTCGTTTTACGTATCATAAATCCCTGCATATTTTACAAAAACTATACTGTTCAGTATTCCATTATTGCATCCATCAAAACCCGTTTACACTGTTGAATTTACAAGAAGAACCAAGTGTTTGTTCTGTTTAATTTGACAACTTTTTACAAATCCGTTGCATTCCATTGCCGACATTTACAACAGCGGTATTGATTCAAGGTCTCTGATTTTTTAAAATTAAATGTAACATTTTATTGATTGTGAAAATTGTATAGATATGAACAAAATGGTATATTATTTTTACAAAAGTTACAAAAAAGAAAACTCACATAACAGTAGGTTTCAAAACTCTTCATGATCAGTGTACCAGTATATACACTATCTTGTAATAAACATGTCAAGAATTATTCCAGAAGGTCTTACCCGCATGATTCCAGTGTAACATCTGCACCCTCAAATCCGCACCCTCAAATTAATTGTAATTAATGTTGGAATCTGCAGTTCTGCCCTTTGGAATCCAGAACTCAGCTTTGTGATCTTCTGGTACCTAGTTAATAGCATACTGGATGGACTAAAACCATTTTATGTGGTGTATCTTGCAAGTGTTGGGCTGAACTCCTACAGCAATCCTGCAGCGTACTGTATATGAATGCAAAAAAGTTTTTGTTTTTAAAGCCCGTTGGGTTTACATGAAATTACCTAGTCTTGGCCACAAGGTGGGGCAGGGGAACATGGAACCTCTGGAAGTGACTATTGATGTGATCATGAATTGGGCAACTTGCAAAAAGCAGGTGCAAAAATCTTTTCTTGGGCTGACTGGCAAAAGCAGTTGGTTTGTAGCCCTTTCCAGTGCTGTTCTCTAGCCATCCCCTCACTGAATTACTCTTGGAAATGCCAAGCCGTCTGGAGTATCAATTTGCTCCGATTTTGAGTAACATTTTTTTCCAGAGACATAAGTTAATAAACATTTCCTTGGGCTGTACTGTACTTGATACACAGATATATAGATCTGATTGGAAAGGGGTTTACTTCATAAACACTCTCCATCAGTTCCAGTTGAAAACTTATCTTTAAAAGCTCGAAAAATAGTAAAAGATTACCAGAATCCTCTCTAGCCTTACATCACCGGGGGGTGGGTGGGGGGTGGGTGGGTGAGGGTGTTCCACAATCAAGCATCCAAGATTATTTTATCAAGACAGCTTCCCTCACCCTTGAATTAAGGAAGCCTCAAAAATGTGTTTCCCTGTCTCCCATTCTAGCAGGCAAGAAAAAAGGACCAGCTGTTCAGACATTAAGGCTCCTTTCATCCCCTTCTTCTGACATAATTAGTTGTTACAAGGGGTGAAATGATAGCGTAGACATATTAACTTGTTCATTCTCAATTCTCTTTTCCATTTCTGGAAAAGGTTAGACACTCAGGTTCTTCAGGCTAAAACAGCCAAAGCGGACTCTTCTGACAATTCAATAAAAATCTCAGCTCCAGCCACAGAGCCATGAAGGCTCTGGCTCAACTATCTCCCTGCCCTAGATCCCAGTCTAACAAGTGAGGGATCAATAGGTTCATGGCTGGCCCAAGAGATTTTGGCAGCCGAGGCGAACGACAAAATGGCGCCTTCCCCATCTTGGGTGGAAGGGGTGAAGGAACCTATACATTGGGAACCGGGTGCGAGGATAAAGATCTACTTTGGGAACAAGCAGGAAGTGGGATTCAAAGGGCATTGCAGAGGGGAAAGGGGCCTGCTCTTGTATTATACAGGACAAGTGGCAACCCTATGTGTAGATCCTGCTGCCCGAGGCACCTTGCCTCATGGGTGGGCCGGCCCCGAATATGTTAGTTCAAATGTAGCCTAGGTGACCCAGCCGTAGTTGGTGAGCACATTCAGTTGCAAGCATATTGGGAGTGGGGAACATCAGGAGCATAGCTGTCACAGATTTGAAAATAAGGGACCAGCAGCCTCAAAAATAAGGGATCGGCAGCCAAAATAAGGGATTTTCCCAGCACAGGTATGTTCAACTTCTGAGCCCCTCCGAGCCAAAGGCAGAAAGCCCAGCCAGCAGCCAAACGAAGCCTCAAGCGGTGTTTCCCCAGCGCAGCAACCCGGCAAAGGGGATGCAGCAAGGGAAACCACCGTCACCTCTCCGCTGGGAAGCGCTGAGCAAAGGCGAGTCCCCAGGCAATGCGGCCAATTTGATCGGCACAAGGCATGCAAGCTCCACCCCCCAGTCGCTCTTAGACTCCTTATTGGGTGAGCAATGCAGCCAAGCAACACAGTTGGAGCCTCCCTCCTCCCTGGCCGGCAGGGAGGGAGGGAGAGGAGCTGCTTCCTTTGAAACCCGGGAAATTTAAGCGACATCATCAATAAGGGACAGCAGCGGGACACAGCACTGGGATAAGAGACTTTCCCGCCAAATAAGGGACGGTTGACAGCTATGATCAAGGAGCTGCTCTGGGAACCAGTAGAATACAATAGTGATGAGAAACCTTTTGCATTATTATCGTGGGTGCCATTTCCTTGGGGCCCACACGCCTTGGGTAGTCCAGAGCCTGCTGTGGGTGAGCCCAGAGCCCAGAGAGGGTAGAACCATCCCTTTTCTCTCTTGTTTTCTGCTTTCTCCTTCTTTTGCTTCCTCCCATCCAACAGGCTGGCAGGAGAAGGACCAATTGCTTTTTTCAGAGAGGGGGCTTCTCCCTTCCTTGTCCCACCATCCCACTTTAGTCCCACACCCCACTTTGCCCTTTCTCTCTCCCTCAGGGCTCCCAGGCTGTTATATACCGGAGTTCTCATTAACGGTTTTCGGTAATTCTCCATTTTGTTTATCAAAGGCTGCTTCACTCCACCAACTGATGTGACTCAAGGGGTTAAGTGTTTCATTTAGGAAATTGCGCTGTTCTCTGTGCTACTTAACATCATTTCGGACTCCATCTGGCATTAAGCTTTGACATCTGGGCTTATAGATGGACACTCTCAAGGATTTAATTGGATTTTGCCACCAGGGGAAGAAATGCTCAACTTGCTGCAGAAACATGGTGGAAAGGCAGTGATGCCCGATCAGAATCCAGTGGCAGTTTAAAGATTCCTGCGTTTAGGATTCACCCTAGTCGCAGATTTCCGAGATATTAAACGGGTTGGTGCAGACAAGGCTGCTGAGCCAATGGGCAAAACGTAAAGGTAAAGGTACCCCTGCCCGTACGGGCCAGTCGTGACCGACTCTAGGGTTGCGTGCTCATCTCGCTCAAGAGGCCGGGAGCCGGCGCCGTCCGAAGACACTTCCGGGTCACGTGGCCAGCGTGACGAAGCTGCAACTGGCGAGCCAGCACCAGCGCCGCACACGGAAACGCCGTTTACCTTCCCGCTATAAAGCGGTACCTATTTATCTACTTGCACTTAGGGGTGCTTTCGAACTGCTAGGTGGGCAG